CTTCTCCATCGGCCACGTATTGAGATACAGTCCGCACAATACTCTCCTACGCAAACTACTACTTACAGACCAGGTAATTGGCGATATTGTCTCGCTTGAACACTGCGAGCCAGTGGGCTGGTGGCATTTCTCGCACAGCTATGTTCGCGGTAATTGGCGACGAGCCACTGCTCTCGGCGATGGCTCTCTACTCACAAAGTCCTGTCACGACATCGACTTCATCCTGTGGCTTCTTTGCTCGCCGCCTTCGCTGGAAACAGCGCATGCATCGGGCTACGAGCCACATTTCCCGCGCTCGATCTCCTCGTTCGGATCCCTGACGCAATTCCGAAAGGCGCGTAAACCGGCCGCGGCGAAGGATGCGACAAATTGTCTTTCTTGTCCCGCTGAGCCTGATTGCAAATATAGCGCGCGGAAGATTTATAATGATCGCCATCTGGCGAAGGGTCATACGGCCTGGCCGGTTGATATTGTTAGCCCCGACATTGAAGATGTGTTTAAGGAGAATGGTCCCAAAGCTGCGGAGGTTCATTTGCTCTCACGACTGGAAGAGAATTACGACGTTGCTGCTGATGCAGATTCCACGATCGCGGCGCGGCCCTGGTATGGACGCTGTGTCTACGAAGCTGATAACAATGTATGTGATGATCAAGTTGTTACGCTTGCTTGGGACGATGAGGGCAAGGCACCTGGGCGTCTTGCGAAGACGGCGACGTTCCATATGATCGCTCCTACAGAACAGCAGTGCCAACGTCGGGGACGTGTCTATGGAACCTCTGGCGAGATTGAATACGATAGTAATAAGATTTCAATCTACGATTTTGCGACTGCGAAGACGACGACCATCGATGTGCCCAAGCCACCGCCGGACCAGAAAGAGTCTCATGGAGGTGGAGATTATGGTCTTGCGAGGCAATTTGTGAATGCAATTGAGGCAGTAGTGAATGATGGTTTGGATGTCGAGACAGCACAGGCCCGGTTTGTTGGGTGTACATTGGAAGAGGCGGTTATGAGCCATGCTGTTGTATTCGCAGCCGAAGAGGCGCGGAGAGAAGAGACTGTTGTCAAGTGGAAGGACTGGTGGCGAATGAAATTGGCGGCATCGGCTAAAGCTTGGACAGCATGATGGAAGTCTTTACCTTTGGAGATAGGTTCTATCCCATAATGATGCGATGAAGCCATGATTGTGATATTTAATGCATTTTTGAAAGGGATTGGCTACATTCGAAAATTGAAACGTGGAGTTGCCAAACGCGCTGGGAATGAACATAATATTACTAGAATGGAATATCCCTTATTGTATTTCATAAGTGGCTTTCGTTTTCGTCCGTCGTGTCTTCTCGTTAAGAGGAGTCGTGATGCCCATCCAGCGGGTCACAAGGAAGAAAAAAAAGGGAAGAATAGAGAACTTAGGTCTTAACGTCAGGCTCGTCACGGCCAACATTCTCCTTGAACTTGAGCAGGTTCAGAGCAAGAGAGACGTTATCCTTCAGGTATTCCTGGGCGTTCAGGCCGAACTTAGAGCTGTCGCTCTCGTAGCGCTCAACATACAGGCGGATGGTGGCGCCGCTGCTGCCAGTACCGGACAGACGAACAACGATGCGGCTACCATCGTCGAACTTGGTGTAAAGACCCTGGTTCTTGGAAACACTGCCGTCAAGGTCAGTGTAGGAGAAGTTACCAGCATCAACGACCTTGCGTCCCTCAATGCTGGAGCCGATGAAGGTATCGCGGTTGGCGACGAGGTCAGCCAGAATGCCGACGACCTTGTTGGCACCCTCGCTGTCGACGTTCTCGTAGTCGTAGCGGGTGAAGAAAGTACGGCCGTAGGTCTTCCAGAAGTCGTTCTGGATGGAGGCAATGCTGGGGGTCTCGTTGGGGGTCTGCTTGGCAACACCAGCGATGACGTTCAACCAGGCCACGACGGCCCAGACACCATCCTTCTCACGGATGTGGTTGCTGCCGGTGCCGAAGCTCTCCTCACCGCAGATGGAGATCTTCTTGTTGTCGAACAGGTTGCAGAAGAACTTCCAGCCGGTAGGCACCTCGTAGCTCTGCAGGCCCTGGGCCTCAGCCACACGGTCGACGGCACCTGAGGTAGGCATGGAACGGGCCAGGCCGTAGACGCCCTGCTTCTGGAACCAGGGGATGAGCTTGGCATGGTGGGCAATGATAGCCAAGCTGTCACCGGGGGAGACGAAGGTGTTGGCTCCGTAGATCATGTTACGGTCACCGTCGCCATCACTGGCAGCGCCGAAGTGCACACCGTTCTTGTTGACGGCCTCAACGAGCTCGTGAGCGTAAACCAGGTTGGGGTCGGGGTGACCGCCGCCAAAGTCCGGCTTGGGCTCGCAGTTCATGGTGCTGCTGGCGGGCAATCCGAGCTCCTTGACGAAAATGTCGGTACCGTAGGGACCCGTGACACCGTGCATACCGTCGAAGAGAACCTTGAAGTCCTTGTGGGAGCTGAGGAAGTCCTTGATCAGGTCGAAGTCGAAGATCTCCTTCATCATGGTCACATAGTCGGCAGTCGAGTGGACAACCTCCACCTCGAGGGGGCCGTAGCTCTTGGTGCCAATGCTGGAGGTGTCAACATCACCGACGTCGACATAGTTGTAGGAAGTCAGGGACTTGGAGGTTTCGTAGATCTTGTCGGTCACGGATTCAGGAGCGGGGGCGCCGTTGGCCAAGTTGTACTTGATACCAAAGTCGTTATCGGGGCCTGTGGAGTGGCGGGGATATGTTAAAAACAGCCATGACCGAAGGAGGTGGGGCTACTCACCACCAGGGTTGTGACTGGCGGTCAACAGAATACCACCAGTTGCCTTTCTCACGCGGATCAAGTTGCTGGCCGCAGGGGTACTCATGATACCATTCTGGCCGACCAGCAGCTTCTTGACACCGTAGGCGGCACCGATCTGGGCGATCTTGGAGATGACCTCAGGGTTGTAAAAGCGACCATCACCACCAATGACCAGGAAGGAATCCTTCACGCCCTCGGGGATCGACAGGAGAATACTGGTGATAAAGGACTCGGAGTAGTGGGGCTGCTGGAAGACCTTGACCTTCTTGCGAAGACCAGAGCTGCGGGAGACGTTATCAGTGGGGGGTGAACGTGGGTAAACAATTGAGGGAAGTAAAGCAAACACTTACGTGCCCGGCTTCTGGTCCGTAAAAGGCTTGATAGAGGCTGTCTGAACCGACATGGTGACAATTGTTTAGAGGAGGTGGGGGGAGAAGAGGAGGAGAGGAGAGCAGGGGGTTAAAAGTAAAAAGTGAAAGGTGAAAGGTAGAAGGGAGGGGCTGTCCGTCATGTGTTGATCATCCCACCAGTGGCGCCCCAACAGCTACACCTACAACATATTTAGTACTTTGTCCTTGGAGAGCTCTGCTTGCTTTGGTCCCCCTCTAAATTACATGCACAGCTGCATTGCCTCCTGTGAGAGACATTGTTTGAATTTCTATTTTTACATATTTCAAGTTTTCTTTCTCCCCACGGGCGCGGGCAGAGCTCCGGATGGAGGAAGCTAGATGTATGCATGGAGAACGGAGTACAGATTGCCGTAAGGAAATACTAGTATATAGCATTGGGTCTCAATCTCTTTATCTCCTCCTCATGAGAATAACTTTTCCTGGTAAAATTTCATCTCGGCAATGCTCTCAAGAATATCGTCGCGGGCCAGATGCACTTCACGCTTGGGTGGAACCTGTCTCAGGAGTTCCTCACTGCCCCAACGCCGGGCAGCCTCCTTAATGGTGCTCACATCAAGGATGCGATAGTGCAAGTGCTCCATGATCTTCGCATATGGCTCTCGGACGAGGAAGGCCTTGTCAGCGTGGACACTGTTGCCAGCGAGCAATGCGGTACGGGGAGTGGGGACATGACGCTGGATGTAGGCCAGCAACGAGTCGGCGGCGGCGCTGGCACTGGTCGTTGATGTACGCACTGCAGCGGTGAGGCCCGTGCGGCCGTGAGTGTCGATGCACCAGGGATTCATCGTGTCGAGGGTGGAGTCTGGATGGTGTACCACGACCTCAAAGCCATTTGGCTCTAGCACCTGCAGCTGGGCGTCGGTGATGAAGCAGCAGATTTGGAGAATTACGTCGGTCTCTGCGTCGAGACCGGTCATCTAGAGAAAGTAAAAGTAATCAGATCAGATCAGATCAGCCATGGGAGCCTCCAGCCACGGATAGAAATGGAGCTTACCTCGCAGTCGATCCAGACCAGAGGATCAGAAGAACGGGAGAGTGGCATGGCGTGTGTTGGACTGGAAGTAAATGTGCGAAATGGCTGAATTCCAAGTATCAATCAATGAGTGGACAGGTGGTGGGCAGCCAGAAGCGGCGGGCAGAATCGCTGACCTGGTGGAGAAAATTGCCGTGTTGGCCCAGAGAATATTTTCTGTTGTTTCTGTTGCACAGGATGACCGGTCTGGACAATGAGAATAGGCGAATACACCGGGAGCGCATCATCCAGATCCGATGGACATAGTGTAGGGAGGAAGTGAAGTCAGGGTAGACCTTTGCCAACCCCACAGCCGTCTACAACTTGACCCCAGGACCCTTGACTTGCATCGGGATGAGCCACCCCCGACCAGACCTCGTCCTAGATATCGCCAGTGGCCTAAGTATACGCCTATAGTGTGATTGAAAGGCCATGCAAGCTACAAGTATTCTACAATATTACCAGTACGATTTTGGACCTTTGATGAACAAGCCGCTTCCGAGCGGCACAGCTAATGTATTTCCTGTTCGGAATGCTTCCTGTAGTGTAGATCATGGGCATAACGGCGTCAAGGTTGATAATCAACGAAAAGACAAAGGAAAAAGATGAAACAAAAGTGCGCATCCCAAGCATCGCACTAGGAAGACGGGACCAGTCAAGCTGCATATGAACAGCGCTCCCGCTACCTCCCTTGTTCAGATAAGTGTGAGTGTCTATCAACAAAAATTCCTAGAGATGCCCGTTGAAGTGACCTATTTCACCTTCCCTATGTCATTCATAGCTCTTCATCATCATCGTCTTTTGATGAGTCAGGTGCAGTGGAATTCAGCTTGTCTCCGAATGACCCCGCCTGCTGAGCAGACTTGGAGTCGCTGTCGGTGGCAGTCCCGGTCCCAGTACCGGTCCCAAGGACTTCGCTGATCCGTCCGGAGGATTCGGCAATCCGGCGTCGGAGGGCGTTTTCATCGGCAGTAGAGACACTAGCTCTTTGCTTCTTCAGCGGGCTGCCAACAAACCCATCCGGTCCGTTGATGGTCGGAATAGGCTGTTCAGGGGCCGCAGAGCTTGCGGCTGCCTTTGGAGGGGTGATGGATCGCTCCGGGGCAGGAGGAGTAGTCCCAGAAGCCGGGGTGTCGGTAGATTCGGCGCCGCTACCATTGAAGGGCTCAGCTGAATGCTGGCGTTTAAGCTTTAAACACGTTAGACCGGAACATAGAGAGTAACTTGAGGTGGAAATGAACGTACCCGAATCTTGCGAACGCCCTCCTCCAGTTCACCTTGGCGTTTTATATCGTCAGGGGACAGGAACCGGTCATCATCCTTGCCCTCTTCGTCATCGGCTTTACTCAAAATGGGATTATCGGTGTCGTCATCGTCACTATCCATTTCATCGCCCCCCTTACTGCCCTTCCGCCCTGATTCCTGATCGCGGAAGTTCAGGAATCCAACAGTGCCGCCAGGCTTGAGAGCCCCGAGATTAGACAAATCGGCCTGGAGGGACTTCCGTTTCGCATTGGGCGTCTCTTGCGGCTTTTGGTCCTTCTTGATACCCATCTTTTGCAATTGACCTGAGCGCAGATATCAGTATTTGTAAGGTTGGGGAGATAGGCGTAGAAAAACACTCACGTTCGCCGCGATACATGAAAGTAAAGGTTGCATAGGGCTTGTCTGTCGGATCAATCCCAGTGACTGTCTGTGTACTGATGGTCTTCGGGTCTAGAGACTTGGGTTTCGCGAAGCTTGTAGTATGATCTACATCCGCATCACCTCCACCACCACTATTACCCCCTTGTTCACCCTCGTCGTCATCGTGTGCATCAAACTGTGGAGAGTACTCTCCACGCTTGATCTCACCAGATGCCAGAACTCGAAACAGTGCCACCTTAATTTGACCAGCGGTTTCAGGGATTGGGTCGTCATCGTCCGAATCAGAAGATAGGTCATCGTCCGAGACGTTCTCCAGCGGATCTTTCTCGTCATTCCCGTAGCGCATTATATTCTTGGGCTTCGAGCTGTTGAGCTCCATATCCATGCCACTATTTTCGGCCTGGCGCTTCGCACGGCGCTTTTCCATCTTCTGGCGCCGGCGCTCAATTTTGGCCGCGGCATCCTTGCCTTCCAAATCCAAGCCGTTCAACCAGCGTTCGAGGCCGACTTCGCGGAAAAGGAACTCGCGCTCGGCAATGCCGCCGTCGTCGGAGTTGACCCACCGCGAATTCACCCAAGTTTCCTCTCCTCTCCGCAATAACGTGGCTACCTCCTCCTTTTGTCTCCCGTCGAAATAGATATAGGCGGCGACGGTTTCGTTCGGAGAATTGGTCAAGGCCTGGTATGGCGCGACAGCTCCGGAGTACTGGCCGCGTTCACTGGTCTGGCTCGGGAGTCCTCCGACGACCTTCGGCTTCGGGGAGGGGCAATCGGGCGTGGGTTTCGGGGTGGAGTAAGGTACATCTTGGCTGGGGTTGAGGAGGGTGATTGAAATGGCGAAAGTCGATTGTTCAGGTTTGCCCTTTGACGAGGAGTCGGGGACTTTGGGCGGGGGAACAGGGATGAAACAAGCTATCCGCGAAGCTCGTGACTGCCGCTGAATCGAGTACTCTGAGATCGGTCCATCAGGGGTGTGGATGCTCACGGCAAGGCCTTTAAAGCAGGGCATGACGACGCTTCAGGTGCAGACCAGACGCTGTTTGCTGTTGTGAGATGTGATAGATGGTACAGTGGCGTGGATATAAAGGAGGTTGGGTTCACCCCACGCTCACGAGAGAGTGGTCACCGGGAGTGAAGCTGAGAAAGTAAGGCCGTGGGATCCGACTCGGGCGGGGGGAGTAGCGTGTGGTTCTTCACTTTTTTTTTCTGAGTCCCACGACAAGGGAGAGTTAGCTATAGCGCGAGAGGCGGTCAAGATAATCCGATCTAGTCTGGGAGCAACCAGCAGCCAACTGGGTCTGGACCCCACTGCTGCTGGTATAGCGGAGGCTGGTGTCGACCGAAATTTTGTGTGTGGGGGGGGCAGGGTGGATAGATAGCGGGGCAAACGAACAATCACGTCGAAAAAAGATCTCACAGTTGAAGCAACATCCGCAGTCACAGAGCCGGGTAGACCAGCACATCCATGAAGAATAGAAGCAGGTTGCGCTTGGGCAGAGAGAGGGGCGGGAGTGGACCAAAACATGAGAATGTCGAACCCCACGTGATACACCTTATACACGCGTGCACAAGAGAGCGTGACCTGATGAGCCCTATGACTCGAGTCTTTTCTACTAACTTCGACCAGCTTAGATCCTGCACCTGATTATAAACTGCTTAAGTTCACTGAAAAGTCTCCTGGACATTGCTGTTGACCTCGTCATCCCCCACTGTACCCACATTCACCTGACTCTGCCGACCATGGATCAGATACGATCCCCCAGGGTCCGCTGGGGTGAAGTGGGAATGACCAAAACAATGCCCCTGACAGTGATTTGGTATCTTTACATGGAGGGGAAATATCAGCCTGTATCAGAGTTGAAAAATAAAATAAAATAAAAACTGGTTATCTCATAATTCGTGTTTGCCGAAGTAAAGCATTTAGAGCGGGTACTAGTAGTATATACCCGCACCAGCCAAATTATCCCAATTACCACCACCACAACTTGAACCTGGGAATTCAAAAATAAAAACTGAAGTGATAAAAAGAACCTTGGAAGCTTCCATCTAGGAACTGGTCTTTTCAGAGATAGTTCCACTCTTCTGAGTCTCCGTCGCCACTTTTTGACTCGTTGCCAGGTTGTCAAATTGATAAAGAGGCTCCAGCTCGACGTTCATACGGAAGATATAGCGTTTGAACCAATAAGGCAAAGCCTTGCACACCTGATACCTCATGTGAACTCGAGTGGGGACTGCAAAAATGTAATCGAGCTCCTCGAGAGTCCGCTGCTTTGTCTCAGGAACGAAAAGGAAGATCATCACTAGCGCAGTCACATTCAAACCACTAACCCAAATAGTCAGCGATTTGCAAATCATCTCATCATACTCGAAGAACTAGACTTACGCATAAAAGCAAAAGGCTCCAGTGGGAGTCATAGCCCACAGCATACGGGGAAATGTAATCGATAGTACGGCGGCCCATCCTAGGCAGGTAGCGACGGCCCAAGACATTCCAACCTCTACGGTAAACATTAGCAAGAGATGTCGATATGGAACGGGGGAAAACATACCACGATGCGATAGCGGGAACACCTCGGCGGAGTAAGTGAACGGCACAGGGCCTTCACCAGGAGAGTAGAAGGCAGCAAACAAGAAAATGAAGAGAGCAATGCTACCAAGGTGAGCTCCTCCATTACCTGGAACATAAAAGCAGAATGCGGCAGCGAGCAAAGTCCAGGCCATCTGGGGAAAGGTGAAAAGAAGAAGGGCACGGCGTCCATAGGTATCAATCGTCCAAATTGCCGGGAAGGCGAAGAGGAAATTGACTAGACCGAACCCCCACGAGGCAAAAAGTGCATCTGTATCACTGGCACCAGCGCTCTGTCAAAATTATTAATAATCTATCTCTTTGAAGCTTGATTGTAACGTTTATACTCACTTGAAACACGGTTGAGCTGTAGAAGGCAATGATGTTGACTGTGAGAGATTAACGTTAATGAAAACGCCTAGCATCAGCGGGTAATATGGGATAAACTCACTGCCACACATCTGTTGCGCAATCATGACTGTGAATGAAGCCAGAGTAGCTCGGCGAACCCGAGGAATTGTGAACAGCTCGACAAATCGAGTAACATAGTTACTCTCTCCAATTATACTTTGCTCGATCTGAATCTGCGCATGGATGTAGTAAAGATCACGAGCAGCTTGCAGAGGGGTATTTCGAAGACGGCAGAGAGACTTATAAGCCTTGGCCATCTCCCCTTTCCGGATATACCAGCGGGGAGATTCTGGACAAAAGAATACACCAATAGCTAGGGGCACTGCTGGGATAAATGCCGATCCCAGCTGCAAACGCCAGGAGAGCGCACCGGTGTCCTTCACTGCGAGGTTCGCACTAAAGCCGAGGAAGATGCCGAAGGCAGTCCAAAGCTGCCAGCACATAACCAATCCACCACGGATCACAGCGGGCGTATTCTCAGCGCAGAAGATTGGAATGGTAGATGCCTTAAGACCCATACCAATACCAAGAAGTAGACGAATAATGAAGAGCTGAGGCCAGTTTTGAGCGAATCCAGAGCCAATGGGAGTAATCACGCAGAAGATAGCGGAAATGAAGATTGTACCACGGCGGCCAAGGATGCGATTGCAGGGGTCGGATAGCCAGCAGCCTAGACAGGCACTGGCAATGTATGGAGCAGCATTGACAATTCCAACTAGCCATTGATTTCGCACATTTCCATCTTCAGGTATACCAAAAGCGTCGGGGAAAGAGAGATTAGCGCCGTTCGAACCAGTTTGGTCCCAGCCTCTGTTGGTGGTTAGTATCGCAAACAATTTGTCATAGAAAGGGAAAAGCATACTGTACGGCGGCACCGATGGAACAAAGGATAATAGTAAAGTAGAGGGACTTTGGCTGGCGCCATTTGTGAAGTACCTCGTCGCTTAATGACGTCGCTTCGGCCTCAGTAAGATCTGGGACCGATTGGAACTCCTCGGGGTCACGCGCAACCAAGGCGCCTTTCTTCAGTAGAGGTAGGATATCTGTGACCTGGTACTCATTGGCAAATTCTTCGACATCGTGGAGGACCTGAGACTTGCTCAGGTCGGCGAGGGGGTTTTTGATTCTATTTTTGATTAGAAATCTGTTAAGTGGACAACGCAATGGGTTTAAATAGCCATGAGAACTTACTTTGCCGAAACGTTACTTTGCAAATTCACCTCTTCGACATGATGGCCTTTTTCTTCACTGCTATGACCATCACTAGATCTGATTTGAATTAGCCCTGGACATTGATGATATTGAAAGCTATCCTACCGATCTGGCGAGTCAACTTGTGTCACCGTATCCTTCTCCATAGTGGGAATAGGCGGGTCGACTAGACCAATAGAGCTGAAGTGTGGATGATGAAGGAGGGCGATAGGAAGGCGAAGCAGAGGTAAGTATAGTGCCGCCTCAAGTAACTCAATGCTTCGAAAGAGAAAGAGTAAGATAGAGCGGGCAACGGGAGAGAGTGAAATTTTCTGGGGCGACCACCGGATTTTATGCTTTTTACATCGCGCATAGGACAGGAAAGACTTCTTTTCACAGCTAGCCCGTTTGGAAAGGGCATCATGGCTTGATTGGGTGTCATGCAAGAAACCTCGAAACCCACTGGAGCCAGACCAAGAGGCAAAGTGAACTGGGTTCACACTTGGACCAGCCCGGGTCAGATCTACTTCCTGAAACGGCGTGCCCCATCTTGGGGTTGAAGCGTGGGGTCAACTTGCCCATGGGGGAGCCCCCAGTTTCCCGGAAGAAAGATATACAGCTGCCAGTGCGGGGTCCAAATGTTACGCTAGAAAGACGAGGCCCAGGATTTGCTCACTAGTTAGTGCATGGTGGTCAATGATCAATCTTACCAAGTCGTGCAGACTGCTTCGCAGAACGCCTTGACACAGACATACATCAACCCCTGAGCAGTGGCAGAAGGCTAGACAGAGAGGAGATGCGTCTCAAGTGTAGAATCACCGCTTGAGGTGGTTGATTCTTTCTATCGTAGATTTTCGAGGGGCGGCATCCCGGTCCTCTCCTCGGAGTGGAGTCGCCCAATGGTGCAATGTGTACTCCGTACTTCGTAAAAACCCAGAGAAACAGATGATTGAACCACCAGGCTAGATTTCCCGAGCGGGATTTACCCCACTGTGATCGGCCCATAGATCGCGTGGCCTTCTTCCCCAGGTCCATGTGGCAATGGTTGCGGAAGGAGGTCGCAAATCGCACGTCCTCTATCGCCGCACTGGGAATGTAGCTTCCAGACCTTTGATTTTCGAATTCCAGTAAACTTAAAAGTCATCTGAGCAAACCTGGAGAACGTAACATACTAAACGCCACGGGCGTCACCTTCGGCGAGCCGAGACAGACATTTGGGTTATATTGATTCGGACATAGGCCGGTACAGACTTTGATTGGCGGGTCCAGGGGTCCTAGGCATCATGTATTTGCACAGAAGTACGGAGTACTACTCGTATTTCGCTGATGGCCAAATTGAGTCCAAAAGATGTTCATTGACTACGCCGGATCGGGCCTAACGCGGCCAACCCTTGCCGGGCGAAGGCTTGACTTTGCGGGAGGCTGGTCAAATGTGGTGGCGATCGACTGGTAAGTGCAGGTGAGCGAGGCTTCACCGCAGATCGAGGGATTCTCGATCAAAACTAACATGATTTTCCATCCTATGCATCATGGCACTTGAGTCTATATCAATTACGGAGTAGAGAACATCGATCTCTTCAAGTGACAGTGGAGAGCGGAGGAAAAAATCCGGGGGGAGGTGGAGTTAGGTTCGGCCCAACTTACCTAACTGCCTGCGATCAGGCACACTTTTAAGCTCTCCCGTTGGTGCTGGTTGCCCGACGCTAGACAACCAAGGGGGGTTTTGAGGCCCACTCTTTTCTTCCTTTTTCACTTTTGTCCAGACTTTCGCTCGGGCTGCGCTTCCCTTGCATCAAAATGTCCGTGGGTGGTAGGGGTAGGGAAAATATTGAGCGACAAGCAGCCCGAACTTACAAGTCGATGCCGACGCCGTTCGGCTTCGCACCGAGATATTTATGGATCAGGGAGAGGTGTCTCCTCCGTACGGATACTCGTAGATAGCCATGCAATAGATGCCCCCTCCCCCCCCCATTGCCTATCTCTTGCCCAGGTGAGAGTGTCTCATGCATGGGGCGGGCGAAGTAATATCGTTACTCAATAGAAGCAGATTCCACCCACTCTTAGAATCAAGATGACAAGGCATTACCACACTGTGCATGCCAGACTCCCGCGAGTCCGTACTCGGCCACCGACATGGCAACTTCTCGGCGAGACGCGAGCGAGGGGCCTCTTTCCTCCCGGAACTTGAACTCGTAGCGCTAAGAGGGCGCGTGGCTTTGAACTATGTGGAGATCACTTAGTTACCAAAGGCGGGCTTTCTCCGATAGGTGAGTGAACTGAAATATCTGAGCGTTTAAATAATCTACCTACTATTAGCCTAAAGCTTAGATTAAAAGACAAGACGATACAGATTAGCTAGAGCTTGGTCTCGATGCAGGTTGTTACACAGTCAAATGACTATTCCTACACCAGCGATGCCGCATTGCCCTATTGCCCTAGCCTAGTCTATTTGGGGCGTTCGTGCGTGTATGGGATTTATTTTGCATTTATTGTTATTTTTATAATAGTAATAAATTCCACATGCTTGGCAGAAACAATTAGATGAATATCGATGAGTCGGCCTCTTCATAATTACTAGTACGCTCAACTATACGCGAGCCGGGCAAAATTCCCACAAGAAAGGATTTGATAGGACTATTGCGTAAGCTATGATATGAGTTATGTTAATCCGAATTCAGGAGGTCTTTCTTTTCTGAAATATTCAAATCTATAAATGCACTGGCTCCTATGTGGTTGGCTGTCTCGGTACTTGCTAGACTCGCAGGAACCCTTCCGAGGTTTCAAGAATGCTTCAGCTTATTATTTAGGAAATCGCCTTCAAGTTGTCAACTTAGATATTTGGAGGCCTTTTCAACATTATCTTACATCCAAAATACGGTCACCTTCCAAAGGGTTGAATTTTAGCTACCATATACTAGCTTGACGCCGGTCGGAGGTCAAGGAGGCTGACAACGGCGAAGTCACTTCAACATCAACGATCTAATTATACAATCAATATGACCACTGATCCGGAACTAACTGACCAAAGACCGACCGAGCATTGGTAATCAAAACGAGATATTCGCGAATTTTGAGGAGAAGCTCGGCGTCATGACTCTGACATCATTTGTCATCGCAACGGCGAGTGAGCTGACAAATGGAATCAGTGCTGACCCAAGGACGCGGGGATTTCAACCCCCAGCTAGTCGCGCGTGTAGAGTTGCTTCTACATATATCAGTGATGCTCCCTCGTAGCTTCACTTCCAGTACATGCAAAGCTGCCTCGCGACTCTCCCAGTCCTCATCTACAATCGCGCCATATTCCACCATGTCGTCCAACATCACACTCTACTCCTGGCCCACTCCAAACGGCATCAAGGCCTCAATCACCCTAGAGGAGCTTGGGCTTTCATACAAAACTGTTCCAATTGACATCAGCACAAATATTCAGAAAGAAGAGTGAGCTTTAGCGACCGACCGAATACGCATCGCGAAGCTAATCCCCCAATAGGTGGTTCTTAAAGATCAACCCCAATGGCCGTATCCCTGCGATCCAGGATGGATCCCAGCGCGTGTTTGAAAGCGGATCGGTCATGCTTTATCTGGTCGACAAGTACGACACCGACCGGAAGATTAGCTACGCTTCCGGATCACCCGAGTACATTGAGCAGGTGTCCTGGCTGATGTTCCAAATGGGTGGCCTCGGACCGATGCAGGGTAAGCAGGCGCAATGACCCAGATCGAAACAATTGATTACAGCTGCTAAAATGTTCAAAAGGTCAAGCAAACCACTTCCGCCTCTTTGCCGGTGCTCGATCAGACTACGGCATCAAGCGGTACATCGACGAGACAAAGCGTCTCTATGAGGTCCTTGATTCCCGTCTAAAAGAGAGTCCCTACCTGGCCGGTGACAAGTACACCATTGCGGATATTGCAAACTACTCCTGGGTTCGCAGTGCAACGGGATCACTGGAAATCGATTTATCCGAATTCCCTGCTTTGAAGAAGTGGAGCGATGAGATCGGCAAGCGTGCGGCTGTCACGAAGGGTGCGGATGTGCCCCAGACCGGTCGAACCGAAGAGCAGAGACAGGAGTTTTTCAAGAATGCGCGCGCAAAAATTGATGCCATGACCAATTCCGATAAGCATTAGAGTGCGGAATTGTTCCGTGCTCCGTGTATCTTTTCTGCGCCCCTGTGTCTAGCGACAAAATGTGATATGATTTAACTAGCCAAACAAATTAACTCTTTATTGCTTTAATTTATCCGAAAGAACCTCATAACTCTTTGTGTCCCATTACCGAGGGTAGAAATCAAGAGAATTCCCTTGTTGAGGATGGGACAAAGGACTTTGATCCGACAAATTATTTGATATAATAGACGCTCACCCCTTCCTTATTCTGACTCGATAAGTAACTAGAGACAATTATACCTCATCCAAGTCTAGCCCACTAAAACCACAAGCCGTTCTATTCAACCTTGAAATGTGTACCTACAAGTTCGTCTCATATACCGGCCCACACAGCTGTGGCCACGAGCTGCTCGTGGATTCGAAACAATGCGAGGAAGCAAAAGTCCAGGGTGTAAGCTTTTGGTGTGAGGAGCCGAAGAAGAAGGGTGTTGTTCCTCGCATCAGATCGCTGGATGACCTTATCCAGATGCTTCGACCGGGGTTCCCAAGACTTGCAGGCCCATGCCCTGCTTGCTTGATTAAGGGGTGCCCTGATTTTGAATTGCCCACATTTATGTGGCGTCATTCCAAAGGACAATGAAGGATTATATTTTGCTTTTTTAACAAATATTTCTATTCTATATCATTCTGATTTGTATTTTAATTGATTTGTCTTTAAACCCTTTAATAAAGGAAAACGATACAAGTATGGTATCAAGGATTTCCTTAAAAATTTCCATATTAGGTTCAGTTCCAAATGAAGTTCTTTGATATTTGGTTATTTCTCATGGCAACTACTCTGAATAGGATCCGATGTAGTTAGAAAATGGGCCGTGCCACCCACCATACTGCTTCAAAGCTGATTTGCACCTGCGGGCAGTAGCTTCTGTTTTGCTTCGTACTTTGAAATTCAGAAAGTAGGATACTTTAAAACTGGATTGATGTATAATCTAATCGCTAATTGTAATCGACCGTCCATAGTGGAACGGAATAGATGGAGTAAAAATAACCAATGGGTGCCACTGAAGAAAGCCAACTCAGAGGTATAGCAGAGGAAGTTGAGACTAACTATAGGCCAGCCCTCAGATCTGACCAGGTCGATAGCTCCGCCAAGTCTCAAACCCGGCCTTTTCATAATATCCCTGTAGAGCAACCCAGTCAACGAAAACCCCCCTGGACGCCCCGTTGCTTCATGTTCTCCACAGCATGGCAGACCATTGCAAGCCCGATTCCTGATTTACGATGCGCTTCATCAACGCCCACACAGCCAATCAGGCCTGTATTCGGACCACACATCTGAGGAAATGCCCAAACGTAATTAATGACTTCAGAAGATCCTAGCATCAAGGTCCAGCCCACTTGCTGGCCCTGGGAGTCATATGCAACCATCACGCTGTCCGGGTATTTGCTGGGGTGCAGCGTAACAAAGGCCTCTACCCAGCCCTGCAAAGGAAAGTTAGCATCGTAGTGCGTTAATACATGGTCTTTGTAGGTCATACCGCTTTGTCAGAGAAGTTCTTCCGCTGGCCAACCAAACACGCGTCGTAGTCTTCGGGTTTCAGCGGAGCAAATGTAAAGCCACGCTCTTTAGCACGAGTCATGTACTTCTCGGGAGCCTGAAAATCCTTGATGGCCTGGTATAAATCGACCGATCTGCTCTCGGGAGGACTGAGTCGCCAGCCGCGATGAGTGAAGAAGTTTTGAATATCTTCACCAAGGTCGCGGGGCACACCGGGCCAGAAGCGAGGAAATGAACTGCCTAAATTCAAGTTCTCGAGACCGAATTGGTTTCTGAAGAAGGATCGTACTTCAGTCAAAAGCGCTGTACCAATTCCTATGTTCTGATGGGCCGGGTCAACTGCCAACACGGCGACGTGAACCGTCTTTGGGGGCCCATCGGCATTGAAGTAGGCGAGACAAAACCCAACAACCTTTGAGTCGATACGAGCCACATAGTGGCGGGCATTTGGGCGGACAAATAGTGCACACAAACTCTCCCGGGGTAAAGGATAGGTTGACAAGGCTGTCTCCCAAATATCTATCATGCCTTCGACGTCCCTTTCCGCATCATACAATTCAAAAATCGCGTTGGACTTAGCTGAGACTGTAGGACCAACTGGTAAAGATCCCTTCGATGCTTCTTTTCCAAAAATGATTTCAGCCGCCACGGAAAAGGCTTCGATTGTGGGTTCGTAAGTGGCGAGATATGTCTGAATTTCAGGAACTTCAAGGAAGTCATAAGGGTTACATGCAGCAATTGCCACCAACGAGCGGGTTAATCGTGGAAGCTCGAGACCAAGCCTTTCTTGATACGGTGATTCCCGTGCATTGAGAGAAACAAAGATCACGGCATCAGCGTTCTTGACCGTATCCCACTCTTCGGTTGAGAGACCCGCCTCTCCATACTTCAACTCGGTGGTAGACGGATTATGGACTCGAATGGCCTCAAGGTACGGGGTAGCCTCATATGATCCCTGTCTCCCCATACCTTCGCCATCCACCGCGCCTCCGGCGGGAGTTCCATCGCCTGGGAAAAGAACCACTACCTTGGAAGATTGAGACAGTGGAAGCACGCTAGCACTGTCGCGAACCAGAGTTGTAGAATGCGAGTATGCTTCTTGTGATAAAGCGGCGACCTTTTGGTTTATAGTGTCGAGCTGTGCAAGATCATTTTTGCGCAAAGCAGTATCCCAGCTAAGAAACTTGTCCTTCACTGATGCAACCCGACGACAAGCCGACTCGAAACGAGAGGGCTCAATTGCACCAGATTGAACTGCTTCACAAACCTTCTTGATAGAACCCGCTTGCACGTCGAATGTATGACACACCATCAAGCTATCACTACCAGCCTGCAATGCCAGCACGGATCCCTGCTCTGTGCCGTAGGTAGCTCGAATTCCATCCATCTCAAGACAGTCTGTGATGATCATTCCATCATAAGCCATATCCTTACGCAATATCCCTAAGACCTTTGGCGATAACGTCGCGGGTAGTTTGTCATCGATCTGGGGTAGGGAGATGTGTGCAGTCATGACTGTTTCCACTCCTTCGGCCACAGCTCGGCGAAAGGGGATTAATTCTAACCGCTCCAAATCATCTCTCCCTTTTGCGATGATTGGAAGGCCGTAGTGAGAGTCGGTTGCGGTATCGCCATGGCCCGGGAAATGCTTGACACTCGGTATAATGCGCTGCTCTCTCAGGCCACGTGCAGTTGCGGAGGCGAACCGACCGACAAACTCCGGATTATCACCAGGGCTGCGCACACCAATAACGGGGTTTAGTGGTTCCGAATTGATATCACACACTGGACCGTAGTCCATGTTGATACCAAAGAAGTTCAGGATCTCGCCAGTTGATTTGCCCGCCTGATAAGCGAATCTCGGGTCATGGGTTGCACCGAGAGCCATTGGGCCCGGGACCTGAGCAGCGATAGGAGGGGAGATTCGGGTGACAAGACCATTTTCCTGATCGATCCCGATAAGAAGAGGGCGTTTATGTCCTGCTAGGCGAGCTTCATGCTGAAGAGCGAATGTTAAAGCCTATATTGTTGAACAGTTAGTTCACGGATTCCATGTAAGTAAAGTGTACTCTTGAGTTGACCTGTAACTGCTCCGCATTCTGAAAATTGCGTGAAAAAAGAACGATCCCACCAAGGTGGTAGTCGTGGATCAATGTCTTGATTTCTGGACTGGGTGTGTAGCCGTGGAAACCGACCGCAAATAGCTATAGCTCGTCAGAAGCTTCTTCTCATATCATGTCAACTGTCTCAAATGCATACCTGGCCTACTTGTCTCTGTAGATCAGTTGATGCCATTGTTTTGGACGACAGCAGATTCGGAGTGTCGAGAGAGAAAGGCCGCGGTCCAAAAGTGGATTCGCGGGGGAGAAGAAGTGTGGCAGTGACAGCCCCCATTGGCGTCCCCACTTGTGTGGTCTTCAATGCAACCTCTCAATGACAGAGTAGCCTAGATGTTCCTAGGGTGAACTAGTCAGTGGTCAGCTTGAATACGACCATCTGAAAGACACTTGACTGATAAGAGATCTAAATTGATCGTCAAGGTCATACCCTAAGAATGCAACTCCCCTGGAATGCGGGGTAAAACAACCACCAAAGGGTACAACTAGTGCCATAACTCTCCTTCTTCTTTATTCCGAGGTTACTCAAGTTTCTAATCGATTTGCTTGAGAGCTATGGCGAGTTCAAAAGTCGATCAAATGAATGGGGAGGAGCAAGGACCAAAGCCTAATGCTGCTGTCGAAGTGGCAGCCACAACAACACCACAGGCTCGTAACACGCTTGAGGAGTATGAGCGGCTGTTCGGCGTGGATGAGGATGCATACGAGCAACCTACCACAACCCGCAAAGAGTTATGGGCATATTATCTTTATTACAACGGTAATGGAACTCTCTATCAATCTTATAGATCTCTGAACTCCGATCTGACAAATACTCCTTGGGATTAATAGGCGACAATGGTGTCGGTCCCGGTTCCTACAGCCAAGCCCTGTTAGTACAACCTACCTGGAGTCAGGAAACAATCATATCTGACAGGATTCAGCTTCCAATGGGCCCTCAATAAAGCTGGACACCAGCCCGATACTAATCCGCCCCAACCGTGTACCGATTCCTCCGCCTGTGTGGTACCCTGGGCGGGAAGCACACGATCGATCTCCTCAGTTGTCCTCATCGCAAATGGACTCTGTTTTGCCTTTATGACTGTAATCTTTGTTTGGCTTGGTAGTGCTGCTGACTACGGCTCGTTTGGCCGATGGTTGCTATTGGGACTGACCGTCGTTTGCTGGGCATTGCAGTATGGTATGCTGGCTATCCGAGACCCAAGCCAATGGCCATCCGCTATGGGCATGTACATCGTTGCATACGTGGCATACGGTGCAACACTGGTATTTTATGCGGCAGTGTTTCCTCGACTGGCACGGTATACGCCGCACGTACGCAAGGCACGGGAGGAAGACCTCCGAGAGGGCAAGATCAACCAGCAGGAGTACGACCAGATTGAGTCGCTGGAGCGAAATCACATCAGGTCGGTTCTGTAACTCATCTCTAAAAGGTGTATTCTGACTCGACTTGCAGTAATATCTCCACTGCACACAGCAATATTGGCTATCTGTTGACTCTCGCGCTCAATCTGAGTGTGCTGCTGCCCATGCAGAACAACCAATATGCAAACAACCTGGCTCTGTGTTTGACCAATTCTTGTAAGAGCCCCTATAATTAGCTGATGCCAGCGATGTATCTAACAAATCTGCAGACTGGGTGGTCCTAGGAATTTGGTGGTTCATCTTCCAGCAGAAGAGACCCGGCCCCAAAATCCCGAAGGGCTCAAGCTATGCTACCATTGGCTTTAAGCAGATCTGGCTCGCGATCAAAGAAGTCCGATCGCTTCCACAAACCTTCTTGTATTTCCTGGCGTACTTTCTGCTGGCGGATGGGCTGAACACCACAGGTTAGTTTATCCTGCAGTTTGGCAGCATCACCCGCTAACAACCCAAGGCACCCTCGTTTCAATTATCCAAAATGATTACGTCTCATTTTCTTTCTTGCAAATTACCTACCTTGGCATCACGCAGGCGGCATGCTCGATCACATCGACGTTCGGATTTTGGTATATCCAGCGTTACTTCAAGTTCAAGACCAAAACCATGTTCCTTGTCACCAACTTCTTCAGTGTCCTCATCCCATTTTGGGGCATGCTGGGACTGTGGACCACTAGAGTTGGATATCATAATACGGTATGCTTGGAGCCATGACATGGAAAGCGTTTCATACTGACATATTGTAGTGGGAATTTTACTTCTATAATATCATTTTCGGGCTGTTTCAGGCTCCATACTACGCGGTAAGTTACCCCTTTCCGCCGATTCTATAATCAGTCTGACTCTTTTTCTTATCATATCAGTATGCGCAAACAATGATCAGTGAGCTGATGCCTCGAGGCTTTGACAATATGTTCTTCGCTCTCTTCGGAATCACAAACCGAGCTGTAAGCATCCCAACATCTTACTCGCATTTTCCAGACTTAACAAAAGGTTAGTCTTCGATCATCGGACCGAACGTCATCCAGGCCATCATCAATGACACTCGAAACAACTGGATGGGATTCCCCTTCTTATTTGCTATTTGCGCCGGTGCGATGATTGCGATCGGGTTTGTAGACATCGAGAAGGGACGAGAAGATGCTAGACGTTTCACCGAAAGAACAAAGGTAAACCGAGTTGTTGCTGAGACAGGGTTGAGCGCCGATGCAATTGTGAAAGGCAAGATTCCCGTGGAAAATGAAGGCACGACTGCGGAAATCGCCGAATCTTCGGAACAAACCACAGGTGCTCATGATACGGTAAGAGATTCTTAAAGGAACTTTGAAGTCTCGTCAATTCATTAGATTCATTCGATCTATCGTTCAATCTATTTTGAATACCATTAAATATTGGGAGGCCGAAATGCATAAGCAGATAATAATAATCTCAAGTAAACCATCGCTCATCACCTCATACCTCTACTTTTGTTTTTGTATCCTGCTGAGATGGTGCCTCCTCGACCTTCTGGGCAGCCTTATCCCGATTCTTCGCATCAATCTTTGTACGCCACTCATCGCCGTAGATGGTAGTAGCCCATACACAGCACCCAGCAAAGACCAAGAATAAGGCACTGATGGTGCTAAACCATCCAACACCAATTGCCTCGACGGCGGGAAGCACAAGGCCGGATCCTAGGGCAGCGAAGACGTACCGGAACATGTAGTTACCCGCTACGACTTCAGCACTTCGTCCGCTGGATTGCATGACGTCTCAGACAAAACGTGTTCAAACTGGGGAAGCAGAATAGCTGAGCCACTCCCTGAAGGAACATAGCCAGGACAGGCACGGGGATTCCACCGGCAGCCTTCTCGACGGTCCAGCCGTAGACAAGGATACACGCAGGGATGATGATTCCCAGGAAGACCAAGCATGATTTAAGTCGATCCTCTGGTACACGTCTCCCACGCTTGGCGATCCATTTCTTCACGGTGTGGTCGGCCCAGCGACCGCCCATGAATGTACCAACCAGGTAACCGCAGCCCGGCGCGATGTAGAACAAAGCCGATTGGATGGGGCTGGTCAGATTGAACCGTGGATTGAGCACATATCGGATTGGCGTTAGGAGAGAATACTGGTTCCAGACAAGGGCACCGGCCGCAATTCCAGCGAAGAAGAGATTGGGGTATGTAAAGAGGAGAATGCCGACTCGAAGGGGATTGACACGGTGCCAGAGGTACTTTGCCTTTTCTGATGCAGGCTTGTCGGTCACTTCAGACTTGTTGAGATGCGGGTATGTCTCTGGGAAGAAGAAGAAGACCAGTATTGTGCCACAGCCTCCGAGGGCAGTCTGTAGCCAAAAGACAACTCTCCAGGAACAGAATGTGACAATAACACCCTATATTATGGAAGTATGAATTAGACCGACGCATTATATTTGGGGGCATTTGCTAGGGTTGGGGTCTTGAACGCACGCCAATAAAAGGGCCAAGGGCTGGGCCGATCAGAGTACCGGAAAGGAACCAGCCCAGTGCTGTTGCTCGTGCACGAGGCTCATATACATCGCCAATGGCGGAACTGCCCACGACCAGGAAAGAAGTGCCTTGGAAGGCTGTGAGAACGCGAAAAATGTAGTAGGCCGGCAAATTGGGCGCCAATGCAGTGCCAATGCTGAAGGCAAAGAAGAGAAATGCGCTGACCAAGAAAATCTAAAGATTGGCGATTAGTATATCATGGAATGACGTGTGAATTATCAATTGATTGATTGATTGACTGACTGGGCGTCGTCCCCACACTTGACTGAATGGACCCCAGAATGGAGCGGCAATCCCCATAAACGCCAAGTACAAGGCATTACTGGCATTGATAATACTACCAGTCGTATTATAGGTCTCTGCTACCTCGGGAATGCCCGAGAGAATGGATGTTGAAGAAATTGGAGCCAGAAAAGAGCAGAAGGAGAGTACGGCGACGATGACGATTTTGCGGGATGGCGAAAAACGCAAGTATTGTTCTGCATCGACTTCGCGAAACTCGCTTGTCACGGGCATGTCATGATGGGACATGTGGCTTTGCACGAGATGCAAATCATTCGGATCTTCGGCTTGGTTTTGCGCTTTGGATTCCTTTGTTTGGATCGGCTCCATGCGAGGCATGGCGTCTTCAACACTCGAAGCTCTTGAATGAGTTGGAGACATGGTATCGGAGGTGCCCATTATTCAGGAGAGTGATCAATTCAAAAGGCAAAAGTCAGGTCGAATTGCTGGCATTGGGTCTGTCGAGCTTTGTTTGGAAAGCTCTGCGTCTGGCGTCGGGAGGAGTGAACTGAATATTTCTTGAAGTTTCAACGGCGGCTGTCCGCAAACATACTCTGGGAAATGTATAGTTCCCAAAACGGTAGAAGTATTTGAATGTAAGTCAAAACAATAGATTGATTGAGATGAGAAATTTTCGTAGGGTATATAGGATTATAGAAGTGAGTCACAAGAGAAAGAGAGAAAAAGACAAAAGAAAAAAAAAAATCAAAAGGCCGTTCGGCGCTCTGGATAGTTGGCCGAGGATCGGCGCGGGGGTCGCATCTCTCAGCGACGCAGCAGGGGGAAGGCGTCCACACAGCGAAGCCGATTGTTATCTAGCCAGGGTCCATTTTCCTAGGATGGTCCCCAGTTTCTCTCCATAATCCGGCAGGGCAGACCAATGATTCGGGGTGTTCGGCCAGAAGGCCGTGGGGAACCCATCGCCACCACAGTATTTTAGGGTCAGAAGGCGGAAAAGAATCCGTGTTCTAGCCTAATCGACTGGCTCGACTTGACCTGACTGTATGAGCTGGACTTGAGTCAATTCAGTTCAATTTTCGTGAGAGTTAGTTCAAGGTCTCTGATAAATGAGGTTTATTGGAAGAAAATCTCCGAAAAAAAAGAAAGTTGCGCCTGTTGTGAACCAGGAGGGGTGGGGGACCACACCCCTCCACCATGATGTGGCTGGGCCGGTTGGCAATCAGAGGTGATGTATGATGTAGATGTATTATAAGGTGCCCATCTGGATAGTACTGGATAGCATTGTCAAGTATTGTGAGCATGGGACTGGATAGCATTGTCAAGTATTGTGAGCATGGGATGAGAATGAAGAGAGCTTGAAGTTAAGAGAAGAGGAGGGATGAACGAAGTGGCTGTGGCTGTGGCCCTGGAGCCATGACGTACGTATCCCCCTCCGGCGGTCAAGTGTCAACTCCAACTCCAAACTTGACGTGAAACTTGCGAACTCCACCACTCCCCGCGATCTTGTCTTTTTTTTGGTCCTGCTCCTTTTGGAAGATTCCCCATTTATCTCTCCCCAAATCTAGTATTATGTCTTCTAGCAAAGAGCCCCAGAGCCAAGTCCCCGCTGGCAGCAAGGGATCTTGGTCCAGTTTCCTCAAGGTAGACCCCTCCGCTGGACGCGCAATCCTCCACTTCATTACTTGAAAGACAACTGACAATGATAACAGTCCATTGCCTCGTTCAACGGAGATCTCTCGTCCCTCACAGCACCCCCTTTTATCCTGTCATCCACCTCCCTGACCGAGTACTCCGCCTACTGGGCCGAACACCCCACCGTCTTTGTCGCTCCCGCCAAGGAGGCTGACCCCGAGAAACGAGCCCTCCTCGTCCTCAAGTGGTTCCTCACTACCCTTCACCAGCAATACTGCAGTCGTAGTGAGAAGCTTGGAAGTGAGAAGAAGCCTCTGAATCCCTTCCTGGGTGAACTCTTCCTCGGCAAGTGGCTCGCCAACGGCGACTCGGACCTTGGAGAGACTCAGCTGTTCAGTGAGCAAGTCAGGTAGGTGGCAGCGCTCCTCATCAAACGTCAAACAATGAGATGAATTTTCAAGTGCTAATTCTGTACAGTCACCATCCCCCTGCCACCGCCTATGCCATCACCAACAACAAGCATGCGATTGAGGTAAGTACACACAATTTAGAGACACGCCACCTCGCCATGGCCGAGGACGCTAGAGAATAACAATGTTCGCATCATTAGCTCCAAGGATATAACGCCCAGAAGGCCTCTTTCTCGAGCACTATTCAAGTGAAGCAACTCGGACATGCTCAGTACACTCTCACCCCACCCGGGTCCAGCGAGAAGGAAAAATATGTGATCACCCTGCCCAACCTGCACATCGAATCGCTCATCTACGGAACTCCCTTCGTGGAGCTAGAAAAGACCGCCAAGATCGTCAGCAGCAGCGGCTACGTCGCAAAGATCGACTTCTCCGGCAAGGGCTGGCTGAGCGGAAAGAAGAACACCTTCACCGCATGCCTGCACAAGGCCAGTGAAGGCGAGAAGAAGCCTCTCTACACCATCGATGGGCAGTGGTCGAATACCTTCACCATCAAGGATGCCCGCACCAAGGAGGTTGTTGACAAGTGGGTCGTGAACGACAATAAAACTACCCCACTTGACCTGGCCCCCGTTGAAGAGCAGGACCTTTACGAGAGCCGACGTGCCTGGAAGGAGGTTGCTGAGAACATCCAGGGTGGTAACATGGATGCTGTCTCCGCTCACAAGTCCCGCATCGAGAATGCCCAGCGTGAGCTGCGCCGCGCTGAGCAGTCCGAAGGCCGTGAATGGGAGCGCCGCTTCTTCAACCGTATCGAAGAGCAGGATGACGATCCTCTCTTCCAGAAGCTTGCGGCCGAGCTTGGCATCTCTGGTAACCTGGAAGGTGAAAAGACCGGTGGTATCTGGCGCTTTGATGCCGCCAAGGCCGCCGATGCCAAGCCCCCCTACCACAAGATTGGTGGCGAGGGACTGGGTATCACCGAGTAAACCGTCCGCGTCTTTTCTCCTCACCTCCATCGGTGAATGATAAGAAGAATCCCGCTTTACTTGAGCCCGGGATGTGGAATACCGGCCCGCCTCGCTGGATTGTACCCTCATCTCCAACCCCATTTGTCTGCAAACATAGAGAGTTGACCTTTTAGTGTACCCTGTTTTCCTACACGGCCAGGGACCATGTCACGCTGCATTTCGATTGTATATACTAGTTTCGGATCGAGGCGATGCCGCTCATGCTTGGGAAAGCGGCTTCAACTACCGCCCATCTAATTTCATCTTTCATGTCTTTACTTTTTGTTATATACTCAACATCTTCAACGAGATATTTTTCAAATTTCAAATTTCAAAAAATGTATTCCATAGATCATACCTAGTAGGTACTTGAACACATAGCAGGTAACTAACTAGTTGATGCGGTTCTTCAAGTTTGTACGCTTAAACATCCCAGGGCTGTCACTTGCAACTAAGCACACTACCACCCCGGGAGGGCTCATCCAAAAAGAAATGCTCGACTGAATGAAGATCCAACTTCCGAGATCAGTACTTTTCTACTCATACAATGCTACACGGCATAAATGATGAGTGCATAAGTGGGCCTGGAATGTTTGATTTGTATAGGAGCGTACATAACTCGTCACTTTTTGATAGGCCCAGTAACATGAGCAGTCCATCACGATCTACCCCTCTACCAGACCCAACAAGCATCAATGATCAACATTGCACACGGTGGAGGACAGGTAATGAAACAGGGAACTTGAAAACCAAACCCCATCGTCACAAAATGGACACCCACACCGGAACCCGAATTGACACCGTGAGCCAGGGCGGAGGAAAATAGGGCAAGGAAAAAAAAGAAAACCTTGGGAGAATGGGTGGATTTAATACAGACCGCATCGGCGGGGAGCGGTAGTAGCAAAAGGGAAAAAAGAGGAAAAGGAAAAAAAGGCAACAAAGAAGAAAAGGAAAAACGTAAATAGAGTGGAAACAGGAGAACCAAACGAAGACACATTTCTCCATACCGGGAAAATCCAACCAAGGTCCCAGAGAGTAGAAATTACACAAATGTTGAGGTGAAGGAAAGATGAAGAGAAAATTTGGGTTTAAGTCCAGGTGAACAAGGCATGGATTGGTTTCCATGCTTCCCCTCTTCCCTTGTGATGTGGAAGACAAAACGAAAAACCCCGGTTTCAAATCACTCGCAAATGCAACGCCATATGTGTTCGTGTGGTCAGGGAGTAGAAGGGAATATAACGACTCCCTAAATTAGTGGCCATAGTTGCCACCCCAGCCACCGCGGTTGCTGTTTCCGTAGTAGTTACTGAAACCCGCGCCGTAGTTACCGTAGCCGGAAGCTTGGTGAGTCTGCGAGGCCGCACCCTGGTGACCGCCAAGGCCACTAAGTCCACCATACTGGGGGTTCAGGTTAGGGTAGTTGCCGAAAGCCTGCTGTCCCTGCTGACCCTGCAGCGGGGGAAGGCCGGTCTGAGCCTGGGGCTGACCAGGGATGCTGTTGGTAGCAGAGCCGGGGCGGTTTGCCTGAGCAAGCGACGGGCTGGGTCCACCAGTCTTGGAGGCATCGAAGCCCTTGGTCTCCTCGGTGCTCACAGGGGGCTGCTGGGTGACAGGAGCGGTACGGCCAAATCCGGCCTGGGGCTGCGCGAAGACATCAGTCATGCCAGAGCCAAAGGTGTTGGAGCCGGTGGCAGATTGCTGGGTGTCGGAGGGTTGAGTCGAGCCAGTGCGGCCATAGACAGAGTCACGACCGGGCATGCCCTGGTTGAAGGAGCCGGCGTTTGCAGGGGAGGTGTGGTCGTAGGAGAAGGCGTGGGGCTGCTGTCCATACATTCCGCCCTTGCCACCGTAGGGGCCGTACTGCTGGCTGCCGTAACCGTATTGGTTGTTGTGCGGCATACCGTAGTGCTGCTGCTGTTGCTGCTGCTGCTGCTGCTCCTCGTAGCGGCGGGCGTCATCATACATTGGGCGGTTCCGGCCGTACTGGTGCTGCTGGTTCATCTGGTTCATGTACGAAGCGTAATGGGGGTTGTTTTGGTAGTAGGGGTAGTTGTAGCCATAGCCGTGAGCGGCCTGGCCTGGCATCTGCTGAGGAGTCTGGGTGGTGGCAGGCAGAGTCGGGTTAGGAGTGTTGTGGCCACTGTTGGTCGCATCAACGGGACCGTAGCGGCCGGGGGGGTTGAGTAGTGGGGATTTGAGGCTGAGCCTCAGCAGCAGAGACACCGAATCCAGCACCAGCCCGGGCACCGGCATCCTGGGTCTGACCATAGTTGCCATAGTTGTTGTAGTAGGGGAACCGCTGGTCGGAGGCGTAGAAGGAGGAGTAATCGGCGCCAGTGGTGGCAGCGGGCTGAGCGGGAGCCTGGTTGGCGAAAGGCTCTTGGATCTGCTGCTGGGGCTGGCTGAAGGGATCCGCGAAGCGTGAGAAGTCACCGAAAGACTCGGCGGCAGAGGCTTGAGGAACGGGAGGAAGGCCAGGTGCGGGGCGAGCGGCGCCAGTTGTCTCGCCAGCTCCCTGGGTTGAAGGAGGCAAAGAAGCCCGAGGAGCGACAGGAGAGTGTTGGGGAGGTTGAGCACGGGTCTCGGCCTCCTCGCGGTTCTCGTCAATATCGACAGCATCACCATTCAGGCCCATGCTACCGAACTGAACGGCGGCACGGTCCACAGCATGGTTACCAGGCATAACCACAGCCTGCTGCTGCTCCATGACACGGCGCTGGAAGCCAGGAGTACGGCCATGCTTCAATGCACTGCCGGGGAGACCAGGTTGAGGGGCGCGGGAGGGAGTGACGTTGGCTGCCAAGGACGGGTCGAGAGCACTGCCAACGGTGCTGGCAGCAGTCGCGGTAGGGGCAGGGGCAGAGACATCGGGGATTTGTTCGAGGTTTGTTTCGGTCAAGTCATCGGTGGGTAGCTTCGGGGCCGCAACGGGGATGGCAGGGATAGCGGGTTGAGCAGGCTTCGCAACGGGGGTCTTCTGGGAGGCGGCGGCGGGGACGGGGGCAGGGACGGGAGCGGGTTCAGGAGCCTTCTTCTGCTCGGTGAGAGGCTCAGCGGGCTTTTCGAGGGCGGGCGCAGGCACAGGAGCTGCTGTCGGGGCCTTCTTCTGGAGCGGAGCTGGTGCAGGTGCAGGTTTGGCAAAGAGGCTTGCCCAACCCCCCCTTCTTGGGGCCGGCCTCAGGGATCACACTGGGCTTCACTTCGCCCGACTGTGTGGTCTCACCAGCCGCAGGTTGTTCAACCTCTCCTCCCACCTTGGGAGCCACGGGTTCCGTCACCGGGACAGTTGCTGCGGGCTCCGTAGCGCTGGTAGTTGTGCGGGTTCCATTTGCAGTCTGGGCACCTGCGCGACCACCACGGCCGCCACGACCCCGATCTCCACGGGCACGTCCACGGCTCTCGAATCCGCCACGACCACGTCCACCTCGGACGGAAGCTGAAGCAGGCTCGGTCTGGGTGTTCTGGGTTTCCTTGGGCTTGGGTCGAGTTCGGTCTGTGGCCTTTTTGACCTCTCCCCACTGAGACACGTTGCCTAAGAAAAAGAAACAAGAAATGTCAATAAAAACCAGCCAAGGACGGGACATAAAGTCTCATGGACATTGGGATGATAAGGGAATTCCAACCTTCGGTAATGCGCACAATTGCATCCTCGAGCTCGCCATTCGAGTCTTCCAGGGCGAAAATGAGGTCTTCATCCTTCCAGTCTGGGAACAACTCCTTAAGAGTGGGTAGAGTGTCGGAGTACTTCTTTCTCATTTGTCCAATCTCACCCTCTTCGAATGAGGGAGCGTCTGAGTTGTCGGCATTCGCAGATCTGGTGCTTCCACCACGGCCACCTCTAGAGCTGAAGCCACCACGGCCACCACGGGAGGATACTCTGCCGCGCGCAGACGATCGGCTTTGAACTTCGGACATGATGTTAAAGGTATATGTGAGATGAAACAAACGGAATTGGGAGGAAGGTCACGATGGATGTCGCAAGGGTGTGTAAGGAGGAAGGATCTGAATGGTAGAATGAGTCGGATGCACCCTCGCAAGAGAGGAACAGCACCAAGACCACAGGGCACAAAGGCCGATAAGAATCCAGACAGAGGAGGAAGTATAAATTGGGATGGGGGGAGTAGCGTAGGAGGGGAGGTCGCGGAGAGAAGGAGGGATGAGATGTGAATGGGGAAGGCGAAAGCTCAGAGTTCGCGGATGTGTTGCTCGCAGTTGCAGCTGGTCTTGGCACCGCCTGGCTTTTTAGCGAGTGGCGCCTGGCATTGGGTCTTACTACTAGTAGTACTACTACTAGTCTACGATTCCTTTATATCTTTGATCTTTGATCTTTATTTTACCTGGATTGTCATTAGCGTCTCTTTAACAGTACTCTAGTAACTAGTTATCACATCACCTCCTCATTCCCACGCCAAGCATCTCCAATATCTCACTCGAAACCCCATCTCTGTGTGTGCTCGTCATCCACTTTGGGCACCATCCCGGCTTCCCCCCCCTCTGACCGCCCACCCCTCGCGGCCCGGGGCTGATCTTCCTACATACACTCGACGCACAAGGGGGGAGTCATACCATTGATTCACTCACCGACATACTGTACTCATCATGAAGGGAACTTCCATCTTTCAATTCAAGTCCTGGCCAAAGATTCATCAGCCGTTACCCAGGAGCCCGCGCGAGTCCCAGCAGCTACTCAGTGCCCTCACCTCCTCATTTCGCCGTCAGTTGGACCACGCGTATCCCGTAACGAACAATTCCAATCATGACGCCGATCGACAACCCTTGAATACCGACTCCTCCGCTCATGCGACCGATCAGCACCTACACACCATCCTGGATAACCCTTTGTTTCGTATCGTACCTCCCAAGGGGGCACCACCTCATGACCACCATGCAGTTCGAAGGCTGGAGGAACAACGACGCCTGGCTACGGAGCCCATGCTGGTTCTCGATGAGATGGTAGCCTCGGGCTCCGCCACATCAGCAGTCATACTTGACTGTCTAAAGTCACAACTTCTCCTAGCTAGGTCGACTATCGACATGGAGTCATCTCGAGCAGGCTCGAGAGTGGAGCATTGGTTCTGGTCCTCTGACGGAGCTTCTAGACAGATGCTCCTTCAGTCACGAGGATCAACTGCTGCTTTAACTAAATTCATGGTTGCGGAGGGCTTACAGTCCACCATCTTGGAATGGTTGAAAATGGCGCTAGCCCAGGATCTCGGCGGATACAACGGCCGAATGACAGAAGAACAGTCCCGACAAACCGTTGGCCACCTTCTCGTCAGCTTCATAGAGGCTGAGGTTCGATACGGAGCGGGCTTCGGCGCGGCTCTACGGTACTATCTACGAGTCTGCCAAATGCACTTTTCGACCCATCTCGCGGACGGTGTACCTTCTGGCAAATCAATGTTTCTCGCAGCCGGTGCTCACTTGAGCCGTACAGCCATGGACCAAAAGCCATCCATCGAGCAGGTTTCGCAGGGCCTTTACGAGGAATTCTCCGAGGTTATTTCAACTCTGTCATCTTCCCGGTCCTTGCTGTTCGCCTCCGTCGCTCTATGCCACCCCGGAAAGCCAAATCCTCAACCTTTTATTCGCTTTGTAGATGGTCTTTCGCCAACTAGGTTTCAGACCTGGTCCGAAGCTAGACGGGATGCTTTCCTGCGCATTGGCTGTGACACTCTGCGCATTTTAATTGACCGGAAGAAGATTCGAGAGGCCACCAGCCTAGCGCAAAAAATCCAACTCGTTCTCCCAGAGGAAACGACCACTGCTTCGATTGAAGCGACTCGCACTCGCACTCGCACCGCTGCAGAAGAGGATTATCTGCTCTCTCGCTTGGATTTGAATTTGACCTAATGGACGGGTTGTAAACTCACCAATCTAACATTCCCATCTCCCCCGCCACCCCATGCCGTTCCTGGTACCAGAGTACCGGAGACAGACCCCTCAGGGGCCAGTTGGTATTAAACTGGTCCCTGCTTCGAGACGCATCGCCTCTTGTCTCCATTACTTGGAAATTCCCCACCCAGCTCCCTGGCATTGCCGGAATCGACATGCGCAATTCGAGTAAGCCCCAGCGCCATCCCATCTACATATTCTCAGATCATGGATACGCCAGATCGCTATGTATGGAGAACACTGTTTTCTCCGAGCGACGATCACCGACTTGTGGCTGGCTGTCGGAGCGCTGCAGTGCGATGGCGATGATCTCAGGTACTCCGCACAGACTACTCCACAGTAGCTGCGCCATCCTTCTACGGTACGAGTACATTCATAATCCCATTTGGTCATTACATTGGCAACCCTCTGGAAGGAAACCCACCAGAAAGCAACCCCCAGAATCAACGACGGATTTAGCAGAGGGTAATGACGTTGGAATACCCTGTGGTGAAATGGGGGGGGACCAAGTTGTGCGACGACAGGACCGGGTCGTGGGCAGCGAATCATCAGCCCTGTACGGAGTACTGCATGGTACAATGAATGGGGTTACCGCCTCCCGGCTCCTCTTAGTAAACGTCACCGCGCAACCTCACCTCTTTCCCTCAAAGATCAATCGATCCCATTCCAGCTCCTGTTTTTCCTCGTAAACCATCATCCTCTTCTTAACAACCCTCTTCCCACTCTCGCGACTCCGTTTGTCCTGTGGAAGCCTCCATTCCTCGTCGCACGTGCCATTATCTGACATCATCGATCCACCATGACCACTGAGGGCATCTTCTCCGCGTACAACGCTCCCCCAGCTTCCGGTACGTTTTTCCACATCGATGGTGGCGATTCTATGAGCAAATTGGTCGCGCACCAAACATGCTCTATCCATTTCATCCCCCAGACAGAGTCCGACGATGGCTCGCTATCGTGGTGATAATTGTCCCGCTTTCAGTATGCGCTGACTAAGGATCTCCAGCTGCTACGCCAGTGGTCAGCGAACAGTCGCAACCGGTTCACAGTGTATTGAATACAGCCCAGAAAGAAAGCGAAGGCTCTTTCTTTGAAAAATCAAAGGCGGCAGCCGGCGGCGAAAATCCAGAGGCTCCCAGGTCGCCGCAGCAAGTCAAGCCAACTGCGGAATCGTCTACAGAGCACCCGCTCAGCGGCTCCATCGCGTCTTCGGAACCCACTGCTCCAGTAGAGAGTCGGAAGGGAGAGGCCGATGATACCAAACCAGAGCCGCAGACCGGTGAAAAGCGTGCTTTTGATTCTACTGTCATCGCTAATTCGGCTCCTGCTCCTCCCCCGGTCCCAGCAACTGCTCCTGCTCCAGTCTCTGAAATTACGACTCCAGCAGCGCCGGCCCCTGCATCTATTCCTGAAGCCACTTCTCAATTCGAGCCTATCACTCATCCGGCCCCGGCTCCAGCCTCGGTGCCTGTCCCAGTCCCCGCACCGGCTCCTGCTTCGGATGAAAGAGACAAACCGCTTCCTGAGAAGTCGGACGAGCCAGAAGCCAAGAAGCAGAAAGTCGACCCGGAGCCTTCCAAGGATTCCAATAACTCTGCACCTTCTGGCTCTGTGGAGAAGGCCAACGGAGAGCAGAAGAAGCCTGCGCCCACCAAAAAGGAGAAGGTGAAAGATGCCGTGAAGAAAATCATCCCAGGCGATGGGCCCGGTAGCCGCACCCGCAGCCGTACCAAGCCCACTTAGGACTCTAGCCTCCGAAGTGCTCTAACTTCACGCTTTGGCTGTGCTTGTCCTAGGGACCCGCTTCCAAGCGCACCTTTGACTGTCTGTGTTCGTCTGTGTTCGACCACGAAGACGATTTCTGTGATGGAAACTTTATAGGCGGTATTCTAATCAGCAATCAAAAGTATTCTTAATAAAAATAAGTCTCTCGTAAACACCTATGTGCTTGTACTACTCCTACGCCTATTGGACACACCCCGACTGCTTGATGCGGGAGGCTTCGCCGATGATCGGGCTGAGTCATTTTCGGACCGGAACAACCACCCCGCCATTGCTGTCATTAGCAGTCAAAAGTGCAATTCGGCGGTGACTTTTCTTTTGTTGAACATTTTTACAGACACTCAATTCTCCAACCCCATTTACTCATAATGCCTGGACAAAAGATTTGGCTGCGCGCCGAGACCAAGCCCGCTGAGGCTCGGTCTGCTTGTCAGTGCCTCCCCCACCAACGAATTCTGGGGGCGACTTATCAGCTCATAGAGGGGGTTGCTTGCTAACGAATTGGAATGAATAGTGACCCCAACCACCTGCAAGGCATTGATGGATGCCGGCTACGATGTGACTGTCGAGCGTTCCACACAGCGTATCTTTGATGGTGGGTGCCCTTGATTTGGACTTCGTTTCCAATTCCCCCACACATTGATATGAGTCAACCAACTAATCACCTTTTTAGATGAGGAATTCTCCAAGGTTCGCCCGTTTCCGCCCAATGCCTTCCTTTCACAATTGCAACAATCCTAACGAAATCCATTGAATATAGATCGGAGCTCCTCTTGTCGCCGAGGGCTCGTGGGTTAAGGACGCCCCCAAGGATGCTGTCATTCTGGGCCTGAAGGAGCTTCCTGAGGATGATTTCCCTCTGGAGCATGTCCACGTCACTTTTGCCCACTGCTACAAGAAGCAGGGTGGTTGGGATCAGGTTCTGAGCCGCTGGTCCCGTGGTAAGGGTCTGCTGCTTGATCTGGAGTTCCTCACCGATGATGTTGGCCGTCGCGTTGCTGCTTTCGGCTTCTCTGCAGGCTATGCTGGTTCTGCACTTGCTGTCAAGAACTGGGCCTGGCAATTGGCCCACCCCGAGGGTACTCCCTTGTCCGGTGAGGTCCCTTACGCCAACCAGGATCTCCTGATCGAGTCTGTTAAGGAGACCCTCGAGGCTGGCAAGAAGGTCGCTGGCCGTACCCCCAAGATCCTTGTGATTGGAGCTGTAAGTGATGTTCTACCTTTTTTTAATCTTATCCTCTTCCTGCTTGCTAATCTTGCTGTAGCTCGGCCGCTGTGGAAAGGGTGCCGTTCAGCTCGCCAAGGATGTTGGTGTCCCCGAAGAGAACATCATCCAGTGGGATATGGCCGAGACCAAGAAGGGTGGTCCTTTCCAGGAGATCATTGATGCCGACATCTTCGTGAACTGCATTTACCTCTCCGACCCCATTCCTCCTTTCGTCAACACCGAGACTCTTTCCTCCCCGACCCGCAACCTTTCCGTTGTTTGCGATGTCAGCGCCGACACGTAAGTGGCCACTAGCATTTGTCACCCTGTCTATACATTAACACTTTCCAGAACAAACCCCCACAACCCTATCCCCATCTACGACATCACCACCACATTCGACAAGCCGACTGTTCCAGTTACCCTGCCCGCTGGTACCCAGGGCCCTCGTCTCAGCGTGATCAGCATTGACCATCTCCCCTCCCTCCTTCCCCGTGAGAGTTCCGAGATGTTCAGCGAGGCTCTGTTGCCCAGTCTCCTCCAGCTGAAGGACCGGACCACCGCCCGGGTATGGAAGCAGGCCGAGCAACTCTTCGACGAGAAGGTCGCTACTTTGCCCGAGTCTCTGCGTGCATAAATGCGCGTTCTAGTTATGAAGATATATGACTTGATTGTGCGCTGATAGATTTTGGTTTGGTTTGGTATGGATATGAGGCTGAGGCGGAAATACTATATAAAAGTCTTTGCATGTCCGTACGACACAATTTCGGGAATAAATAACTCGACTACGTACTCGAGATACACTTTACCGAAACATACATTTCCTTGCCCTTGGTGATCTAGCGGCTGGAAGCATCTGACTTTGAGTTGGCTGTGCAGTACTGGTATTTCTATTCTACTAGTTAGTAGGTAGCACTACTACTAGGTATCCATGGATGTTGGTGGCTTTCTCGGGTAATTCCGCCTCGAGTCAGCCACTGGCACTCGCACGCAATGCCCAGGTAGGCATCAATTTTCTCTCGAATTCTGTGCTTCCAGATGACTACCTCTACTAGTAGTAGTAACATCACAGTTGTACTATCAGTATTATATTCGAAACCGAAGGGCTGGTCTCTCATAATTTACCGTAGTGTACTCAGATGTCCGTCTGGCGTATACTGCCAGTGGCACCCGTGGACTAGCATAGAATGATATATATTTCAAATGGGACCAGGTGCTCACTAATAAACTTGAACGAGAGCCCCTCAACAAAAAGGGGACTTCTAACAAGATCAAAATCAATTCCCACCTCTTTAACCGCAACCAAAATGCGGGGTTTCATGAATTGCGGACATCCGAAAGATCCGTCGCGGGGGAGACGATTCGATGCAGCCAAGCGGAGCGCCCCAATGTACTGGATAATTATTCAAGGCAGGTTCAAGCAGAGTCAAGTTCACTTAGCCTGATACCCCGCCCAGGGATCCGAAGAAGTTGAACTCGACCTCGAATTGGCTCGGAGATTCGCCCTTGAAGCAGGACCGAGGAGAGTAAGATATATGAAATCCCTTGCACCGTGACCCTGGAAGTTGAAGGGGCCCCATTTTCTCCGCATGAACACTCCGGTCCACTTCCGATTTCTCATTCTCTCCCCTCTTCCCCATATCTTCAACACTGTCACTCTCACTCATTACAGTAAATTGCTCCCGTGCTTACTCTCTTTTCCCGGACACTTACCGCCATTCTTCCCTCCCATTCGCCTGCATCAATTTGACCATGGGGAATTAGATGAATTCTGAAGTCTGACCTACCTCGACATTTACGCCACGAAATCCCCCGAGACCGAGACCTTCTTTCCCTCCCCTCCCCTCTCTGCCACATACTCGATGCAAGAAAGGCCCACTACAGTCGCCGCATATGCGGCTGGGGCTTCACTCGCCGCCGTCGCTCTCATTCTACGTCTTCGGCCCCAACTACACAATCGACGGAGACGAGTCCAATGACAGTAACCGCAAGAAAAGCATCGTTGGTCTCTCCAATGTCGCCAATGACTGTTTTATCAACTCGGTGCTCCAGGCCCTGGCCGGTCTGGGTGACCTGCGCGTCTATTTGATCCGTGAGTTGCACCGGCGCGAGCTGGATGGTCCGGAGATGTACCACGCGGTGCCGAACGAAGACGAACTTCCACGCGGACAGCGGCCGGACAAGCTGCGGGACTTGCAGCAGGGAATCGTCACAAAGGCATTGAAGGAAATGCTGGATCGGTTGAACGAGCGTCCGATCTACAGGAAGACTATCTCCGCGCGCGGCTTCATCGAGGCCCTTGAATTCGCGTACCGCACACGCATTAGCCGCAACCAACAAGACGCGCAGGAATTCTTGCAGATTGTGCTGGAGCGGCTCTGCGACGAATACCATGCTGGTGTCCGTGCTCGGCGGCGCGCACTTGGCCCCATTGGAGCACCTGCTGGTTCAGGCGCCGTGGGTGCAGAGTCTGAGGCCGAGAGCCCGGACAGCCCGGGGGTCGAAGTGCGGATTGATGATGGATCTGCCAATGGACTTCCTGCCATTATTGATAACAAATTGAGAGAGATCGACAATGAGTCTGGATTTCCTCTGGAGGGAAAACTGGAGTCGCAGATCGAATGCCAGTCTTGCCACTACCAGTACAAGCCCAATCAGACTTCGTTTGTGAATCTTACCCTGCAAGTACCCCAGAAAAGCTCGACCACCCTGAATTCTTGCTTTGACGGTCTCTTGAAAACCGAATACATTGAAGATTTCCGATGCGACCGGTGCCGCCTACAGCATGCCGTCGACATGAAGATTTCCGAGAAGATCCGTACTAGTTCACAGAGCGATCGGGATCGGTTAGGAGAAGAGATTGAGCGCCTTCGGGATGCCCTGGAGAATGACCCTGAGCGCGAACTTGAAGGCATTGAGTTTCCACCAGCAGAGCTTGCGCCTAAACGACGAATCGCTCGACACATGCGTATCACGTCTTTCCCCAAAATCATCGCAGTTCATCTGTCACGGTCGATCTTTGATCGCAGCAGTTCATCGAAGAACGCTGCCAAGGTGTCATTCCCCGAGCGATTGCCTCTGGGAGGAATCTTAAATCAGACGTGGTTTAAGTTGCTTGCGATTGTTTGCCACAAGGGCAGCCACCACAGCGGTCACTACGAGTCGTTTCGCCGCAATCACCTCTATGCGCCATTCTCCACCCCAGAGGTTTTTAGTTCCTATGCGGCAAGCCGAGTCGCTAGCCAGAACCCGTCCCAGGCACCGAGTCCACGATTGATGCCACGCAGCAGCCCTGATCCTGATACTGGTGCCAGCAGTGGACTATCCACCGCGACTTCCTCCACCTCCCTCTCGGGTACATCGCCGTCGACGCAGCTCACGCCGCCGCTGCCCCGTCCCACTACGTCCAGCTCGCGGCGTTCCTTCCAGAGCACGTTTTCTCGGTCGTCGCGCTCGTCGACACCACAACCTACGGTGGATTCGGATAGCAATAGTCCATCGACGGATCAAGGACGATTCAGCATCTCGTCGGCCACGCGCTCCTCCCGAAATATCCCCCGGTCATCCGGCGAGCCCCCGTCGGGAGTCAGTTCGCGGCTTCGACGGCGTCGCAAGCCGAATGACCGATGGTGGCGGATTTCGGATGAGAAGATCAAAGAGTGCAAGACCTCGGACGTGCTGGGCATGCAGAAGGAGGTCTACATGTTGTTTTACGAGATTGAGAAACCGGACTCGAGCCCCGCGGATGGGCGGACATGAGAGGTCCGGGCCTCGGTTTGCATCGCATGGCATCGCATCCCCTCCACCAGCAGCAGCACCACCACCTAGCCCATTCCATTCCGTTCCAATTGTTGTTTCATATTCAATTTTTTCCCCCCAATTGAGGTCATTGTTCCCTCTGCAGGTGCCATGTAGATGATGGAGTTGAGCCTAGTATATAACCAAACACATGCATATATGCATCGGACGCGTTGGTGGGGGCGAGGGGCAGCGCGCAAGAAAAATAGAGAATAGAGAAGCGAAGGCAACGCATTGAATCCATTGAAGGGTGTTTAGTGATATTCCGATTGTTTCAAGTTTCCTGTAGGTGTTGTCATAATTGGTTAGTACTAGTGAAGCTGTGGTAACCAGGCACTTCGTTGAGTGCCCAACCGGCCAACCGGTTGCCCCGCTGATGTCACAGCTCCAACGCAGCTCCGAATGCTTGGAGTTGGAGGGGTTCTCCAGGATTCTCCAATGCTCCGTGTCTTGCAGGATGGAATCTGGATATGCAGGATATAGCAAGATATAGTCCAGGAGTCGCTAGATATGAGTACACCATGAGGTATGAAGTGGAATCTCGGCTCGCCGGTCGGGGAATTCCTCGGTTGCCGGACGAACAAATTACGGAGGGGAAGAAGTCTTTTTCGGTATACGGGGAGGCCATGCTCTAGATGTACAGCATAGTTACTACATACAGGTACTCTACTAGGAACTAAATCTCGCTGTAGAGTGACTCTAGGCTATATCATATCATGGCACAGTGGCCATGTAGTAAAATGCTTACCTTGAATTGTTTAATTCCTATTCTAGCATGCATCACCACCTAGTCACTACTGCCATTGAGCTGCATGATATCCACCATTCCCTTTACCCCTCCGTTGAGCAACCGACGGTCGGGATCATCACGGGGAGACTCGGAGGAGGACGAGGACGAGTATATAATAGAATAACCCAGCTGCTCCGAAACTGAAACTGAAATCATTCTGATCTAAGTTCCACGGATCCAGATCCACTTCACCCTTTCCCACCGGTGAGTAACTTCGATGACGTTCAACTTGCCCCTCCTATTCCCAAACCTGCCCGCTTTCGTCGTCCGGTAAAGCGTGGGTGATTACCATTCCTTCTTAAGACTGACCCGTGTTTTCCTCTTTCTTCTTCTTAGCTTCTACCATCTTCATCACTACTATCTCTACCCCCCCTTGTACATTTCTACATTACCAATCTTCCATAATGGGTGTCCTTGAGCAACTTAACCGCAAGGCCGGTGTCATCGTCGGCGACGACGTCCTGCGTCTCTTCGAGTACGCCCAGGAGAAGCAGTTTGCTATCCCCGCCATTGTGAGTACCCCGCCACCATCATCGCCATCATCATTATCCTCACCCTCACCCCTCATTTCTGGTGATGCACCACGGTGCACACCACAATTCCAATTGCACCCCCACTAACTCATCCTCCAGAACGTCACCTCCTCCTCCACCGTCGTCGCTGCCCTTGAGGCCGCTCGCGACCAGAAGTGCCCCGTCATCCTGCAGACCTCTCAGGGTGGTGCCGCCTTTTTCGCTGGCAAGGTATGTGCATTCTCCAGCTCCAGTTCTACCCCCACCCACGAGACCTTCAAAGCTAACTCCCACCAGGGTGTCAGCAACGAGGGCCAGGCCGCCTCCATTGCCGGTGCTATCGCCGCTGCCCACTACATCCGCAGCATTGCCCCCGCCTACGGTATCCCCGTCATCCTCCACACTGACCACTGCGCCAAGAAGCTCCTGCCCTGGCTCGATGGCATGCTCGATGAGGACGAGCGCTACTTCAAGCTCCACGGCGAGCCCCTCTTCTCCTCTCACATGATTGATCTGTCCGAGGAGGATGTTGACTACAACATCAAGACCACCGCCGCCTACCTCAAGCGTGCTGCCCCCATGAAGCAGTGGCTCGAGATGGTACGTTTTACTATAAACCTTAAACCCGATTTCCCAGGACCCCAGCTAACAAATCTTACAGGAGATCGGTATCACCGGTGGTGAGGAGGACGGTGTCAACAACGAGGACGTCGACAACAACTCCCTCTACACCCAGCCCGAGGACATCCTGGCCATCCACAACGCCCTGTCCGCTGTCAGCCCCTACTTCTCCATCGCCGCTGGATTCGGTAACGTCCACGGTGTCTACAAGCCCGGTAACGTCCGCCTGCACCCCGAGCTGCTCTCCAAGCACCAGGCCTACGTCAAGGAGCAGACCAAGTCCAAGAAGGACAAGCCCGTCTTCTTCGTCTTCCACGGTGGCTCCGGCTCCTCCAAGGCCGAGTTCAAGGAGGCCATCAGCTACGGTGTCGTCAAGGTCAACGTCGACACTGACATGCAGTGGGCCTACCTCGCCGGTGTCCGTGACTACGTCCTCAACAAGAAGGACTACCTCCTCACCCAGGTCGGTAACCCCGATGGCGCCGACAAGCCCAACAAGAAGTACTTCGACCCCCGTGTCTGGGTCCGTGAGGGTGAGAAGACCATGTCCAAGCGCACCCAGGAGGCCCTTGAGGACTTCAACACTTCCGGTCAGCTGTAAGGGAAAGCAATGCAATCCACTGCACTGCACTGCAAAGCAAACAAAAATAAATACCCTTTATTCCTACTTACTTATCTGACCTGTCTTTTAACGGCTTGATGAAAAATTGATACGTTTGTCGGCTTTCGTCCGACCTGTGATCCTTTTCCTTTTTCCTTTTTCCTCTTTCATATATATATTACATGCTGCTGGAGAATTCGGCGCGCCGGGGATGAGTGGGGCGTACCGGTTTGAGTTGTATGTACTAGTAGCGATTTATTCCACCTTGTAATGAATCGTTGGAAATATCTATATCCAGGTACCCATAATTTGTTGTTGATAGTTTGCTGCCATCGAAGCGACTAGTAGTGTGAGGATGCTCAGATGCTCACAGAGATCAACGTACAACGTAGCATACGAAGCAAAGGAAACAGTAGCTGTTCGACGAAAGTAATAGCTTGAGGAGAAGGAAGAAGCTGAGATGAACTAGATACATTTGGGCATGGATGCCTAAGTGGATGCCGCAGGCGTAAGGCATCCACGGATGGTAACAACACCAGTTCGTTACAAGTAGTAACTAGGACATGTATACTTCGGATACTGTATTATTGAGTTACCTACTCGTACTAGGTACTAGTAACTAAGTGAACTCGTGGACATCGGCATCGACAGTACTATTCATGTTCATTATTCATGATATCTCACTTGGAAACTGTGCAGCTGCATACTAGTAATGGCTAGTTGAAACTTAGGTATGGATAGTGAGAAACCTTGATAGACCGGTCAATGCTAGTGAATACCTAACCGGTGAATCGAAGGGGTAGGTGTTCTTGTAGCTGAAACTCAAGTTCATATATCATCTCATTAAAATCTCTCATACATAAGGCTGCTAGTCCGTAGCACTCTACCCCACCTACTGACTCTTATACACAGTCGTAGCATTAGCCAGGAAAGTGTCAAACGCCCCATCACCAGTGGTGGGAATGATGGAGTTAGGAAGGTCCTCGCCATCGTCGTTACGATCATTAACAGTCTTGGTCTTGGTCTTCTTGACCCATTCCTGAGCAGCCTTGAACTCGCTATCCGCCTTCTTCTTATCACCGCTTTGCACAGCGTCAAGCATGGTGATCAAGTGCTGCGAAGCCTTGGCCCATTGCATTGCAAGGGTTGACCACGGTGCCACGTCCGAGGCGAATCCCTTCATATCCATCTTTGGAAGGATATCGGGTAAGGTAGCGAGGAGAGTCAAACGTTTCTTCAGCGCTGCCTCGCCCTTCTTCGCCTTACTGTTGTATGATTTCCAGAAAGCGGCAATATCGCTGCTAAGCTCTGGGGCGTGGACTTCAGGGGTGCGGTATGGCCAGTTCTGATTGATGTCGGCGAATGCGATGACCGCTTCGTTAACGCTTGCGTCGCTGCCGGCGAGCTCGCGGAGGATTGTTGTCATTGACTTTGTCGCGTCGTATTTCCCCCCGTTCCAGGTGTAATCTCCGTAGTTGGCGAGGGCGGGCATTGAAGCGTAGGGTTGCTCCATGGGATTCGAGGTGAAGCCTAGGAGATATTTGTATAGATTTGCGGCACGACCAGTCAATGGGTTGAGGAATAGACGGTCTCGATTGCCGTCGTTCACGGGGAAGTTATCCCATAAGAACATTTTATCCGTCACGTATGTTTTGTCGGCTTGTTGCACGCTCGTGTCATTGATTTGGTCGCTGAAGACTCCTTCGCCGGTCCACTGGATGCTGATGTTCTTGTTCAGTTGGGTACCGAATTCCTCCTTGTAAGGGTTTGGTGCACTTCCAGCGTAGTTGGTTGGGACCGTCTCCAGATCCTTCAGACCGTAGGTCGTGATATAGTCCTTCTGGATACGGTTCAGGTAGAATGCTTGCGAGTCAGCCAGCCAGAGAAAGTCGTCGTCCGACTTTCCTGTTTTATTCCATTTCTGCTGATCAGAATCGCAGTGGAACCCATTGGTAGGGATGTCATCGAAGGCAATGTAAAAGCTGCTGACACCAAGCTGGCGCGCCTGGTCGAATTTGGCAACTGTAGCGTTGTAATCCGAGTCGGAGGAGTAGCAGAGGTCATTACCAGGTGAAAGAGCAAAGGTAAAGTCGACGTGATTGTCATTAGCTGTTTCGATAAGCTCCTTCAATTGATCAAGGTCGTCGCCCTCATAGAGAGTGCGCCACTTCGCGCGCAGCAGCGGGTCATCCTTGGGGGTATAGATGTAGGTGTTGATTTTGTGCTTGCCGTAGAAGACCAACTGGTCAAGACGAGCCTCGTGGGACCAGGGAACTCCGTAGAAGCCTTCGATTGAGCCGCGAATGGACATAAGTGGCCAATCTCGCACTTGGACAGCGGGGATATCATGACCCTCTATCAATTGGCGGAGAGTTTGTGACGCGTAGAATGTTCCGCGTTTGTCAACACCATTGAGGACAATGCTGGGCTGGTTTTTGTATTGGCCCGACGCGAGAACGTAGCCATCGGCATCGAGACCCTTTGCAGATTCTCCAGTGAGCTTCTTTGCAACTACAGCAGCAAGGCTATTGTCTGAGTCGGTGCCAATGATGATCTGCGTGCCGTGGTTGGTGGGATGAGACGAAACAGTCGGCTTGCCGCCGGCAGAAGACACGACTGCCTTGACGGCGTCAATTGTCGCTTTGTCCGTGACATTTCCGGTCACGATGGTGACGTCGTTGTGAAGCGAAACCCCCCTTGCCGTGCAATGTTATCTCTTGGGGAGGGGGTGACACAGAAGGTAGTTGGTTCGTGGGTGCGGCATTGACCTGTCCGAGAGCGAAGAATGCGACAAGGAAGGCCCGAAGGCACGTGGTGCAACTGGGGTAGAACATGGTGGCGTGAACGTGAAGACAAAAGGTTATTCAGGGGTTTTGTTCAAGTTTTATACTTAATCAGGCGGGTGCAATTAGGGTCGTGTTTACACCCCTTGCTAGCATTATGACTAGCCGGGTTACATTATGCAGGCGAGTCTGATCACGATAGGTAAGATAGCACCTTAATCATGCTGTTGACGAGCCATCTGCTAGGGGTGACATTGAAGAAAAATAAACTTCCTCTTCCGTCTTTTCTCTTCTACTTCGTGTGTAACGTTACGATCGCCAAGCATCGATATGAAGCTGTGGCTTGGACATAGTGCACATATAGCCGGAAGAATAGCTCATAGTTTGCAGGGCTATCTTACCCGACGGAAAATTGAGCTTCAGCTATCTTGTAAGTTGTACCGTGACGATGGGCGATCAATGTTTTTCTCCGGCTACTGAGGACTATGCATATGCACGATAAGACCTGAGGGATGAAGCTGGAGCTGTATCAGGCACCGTTGATTTCCCCTATCGCACCTTATGATTACCAGTCTTGACTTCATTACGACCGACGATTGACCGATAAAAGGAAAAGATCAACTGTTACATCTTCGCTTAATATCTAATGCGGGCCCCCCTTTGCCGATGAAATGCGGGGTTGGATGTTGAGGTCAACGTTTCCCCGCATATGTATCAGGGTCGCATTTACAATGAAGCTATCGGGTGTAATTTCGTAGGGATGCGGTGTTCCTTGTCCCGTTGAGGAGGCTATTCTATATGGTGGGCGCCGAGAGATACTGCCCGTGCGTAAATTGTTTGACTTCGACGTCTCATCGAACTCAGAGCCTGCCACCAAGTTAGCAGCACTTCTCTTGAAGCATGCTAATTACCCGTGCAATAAAGTATGATCTAGTGCTGCCTCTGAAAGTTCGAAAAGCTCATTTGATTTCTGTTCAGGCAAAGAGACCTGCCAGGGTCATTGACATGATATCCGGAGGAGAATTAGGTTGATATCCGGAGGAGAATCAGGTTATAACCTTGGAAACCTCTTGACAACCCACGAATGCCACAATTTGACAAGCGGCAAAGAATTATTGAATCGGGTCATTGCTTCTTACAGTAGGCACCGTTCAGAACAAGATTGCTAAATGCTTTGACGCGAAGGCCTTCCCCTGGAGCAGTTCCTCTTCAGGGGCTGAGTAACCATCTCTATAAAGAGTCCCCAGTCTAAACAGTACGTCGGGAAAACCCCCGAATCCCACAGAAAGAGACAGCCAATGACTCAACATGCTCATAGAGGAAGAGAATACGCGGAAAATACAGAAGGGAAGAAAATGATTGCTTTGCTCACTTGAGTTATCTCCCGGATAGGAGGCTACCTATCTCTTTCCAGTTGTTGAGATGGGATTCTTGACATTTACTTCGGAATCATCGATCGAGCCATACCCATTCAAGAGACGAAAAGCTGCGGGCACCCGCGGGCGTCTTCGGGCGTACAACCGAAGGTATTCATCGTGAAGCTGACTGGCCAAGCAGACGACACTAACCATACCAAGCTAGTGTGCTCCATCGACCGGGGAGATTGACATGGCCATCAATAAGCAGCCAGCTCTAGGCACAAGCATATTCTTGCAGATTACACACTCTCGGCAGGTGCTAGACATCTCCTGATCCACGGCCTTCGCATCTGCCAAGAATATAGGGCGTCTTATTACGTTGAATGCAGCTGTTGGAAGATGCTGACGCGGAAGGACCTTCCCGAAAGGGTAAGGTGCATTCAATTATCGGGAGTCACCCGCAGGATGAGATCCCACGAATCTGAGATTAGGAATACTTAAGCTGCGTCAATCACTCGTTTGCTTTCAACGCTGTGTTACCCTGTCCATTTTGACATACCTTCAATTGAACATGTTTCTTCCAAGCGTTCATGCCGAGACCGACAAGGAGGTTCTCCTCCAATTTATTAAAGAGAACCCCCTTGGTCTCCTTATCACAGGCCAAAACTCAGCCCAAGTGGACTTTTTGCAATGCACCCATGTTCCCTGCGTTCTTGATCTGCCTGAAGAATATGGTGGTACAGAGCCCCGCATCCGCGCCCATATCGCCAAGCAAAACCCCCAGGTGAAGGCTATGATTGAAGCTGTCGACGAAAAGCCACCAAATGTCCTGGAGCTCGACAACGACGTCTTGGTTCTTTTCAACGGAAAGCACGATCATTATGTCACCCCGAAGTATTATACGGAGACAAAACCCAGCACTGGAAAGGTTGTTCCCACTTGGAACTATTCTGCCGTTCAGGTGTATGGCAAACTGTCGCTATATTACGATTCGAAGTCTCCCGAGGCCGGGGCCTTCCTCGCCCAACAGGTCCACGACTTGTCCCAACACACCGAGACAACAATCATGGGTTATACCGGTGGTGAAAAGCCACAGCCATGGACAGTTTCCGAAGCTCCAGAGTCTTACACCGATCTTCTCAAGCGCAATATTGTGGGAATCGAGGTCAAAATCACAAAAATCGAGGGCAAGTTCAAGATGAGCCAGGAGATGCGACCTGGTGATCGAGAGGGCGTGGCCCAAGGCTTCGCAAAGATGGGCACTGAAACTGGTACGGCGATCTCGGAGCTCGTCAAGGAAAGGGCGGAGTTGAGCGACTTGAAGAAAAATGCTGCGAAAGCCAGCCAATAGATATCCTAATTCATGAACTTATGAACATAGACACTCGGCTAGGTGGATCCATCAGCGCCTGGCGCGTGTAAATACGGGTTTATAGTGGACCCTTATCAAATAAGTTTATAAGCACAAGGGTCGAACTAAATCAGCTTTGATTGATTCGATTGTCGCGGGGCCGAGACTGGCATCATATCACGCCATATTCGCATTATCACACAGATACGAAGACGTTTACAAAGCAGTAGCAACCAACAGTCGGATAACGCGATCCGAGCCTGGATCACGCAAAAAATGTATCCCGTTACATCTTCACCCGGAGTATTATAATACCCCGCTTAATGTATGGCGTCAGGCCTGCTCTAATATCCTTTAAATTCGTTGCAAATACCACCTAACACCGTATGAAAATGGCAAGGCAAGGTCTCATGATAATATCTCCTAGAGCGAATAATTATTCTCATAGATCAGGCGTGCGCTTCTTTCAAGATTCAAGGAAGAAGTTCTAGAAACTGGCTTCGTGGCTGATTTGTATAGTTTCCAAAGTTTGCAGACCGCGGAACTTAGAATATGTCCGAACCTGTGATATGGCATCTTATGAGTTCGTATACCGTACTGCTGCATTAAAACTTAATGCGTGATTGTATAACACAATGGCGTAAACGATTTTGGAGTGTAATCCATGGATATTTAAGCTAACCAGCCGCCATGGTTACCGTAGGAAAACAACCTGGTCCAACATAACGAGTCCCTCTCACACGCCAATCTCATCATGGCACCATATATTGCCGAAGCTCCCTCTGCGGAGATTGTTGTTCCTGTAAAGGCTGATCTGGAAAAATCTGCCACCAAACCTAAGATCCGAAGAGTCATCGATGAAGAAGGGGGTAAAACTACCGCAAGTGTATGTTTTGTCCGGAACCACTGGGTCTAGTCGTAGCTTGCTAACCTGAGATGCTTTTTAATTAGTATCCTAACTACCTCCCTACTTGGGACTACGGCGAAAAGTATCCCGAATTGGAACCCTTCACCCACGTCGATCATGGAAAAGATGCCGACAGCTCCCTGAAGGACCTCTTAACAGAAGGATCGAAGATCCAAAAGCTCACACCCACAATTGGCTCCGAAGTCACAGGGGTCCAGCTCAGCAAGCTGACACCAGAAGGAAAGGATCAGCTGGCTTTGCTGGTTGCGCAGCGTAAAGTTGTCGCCTTCCGCGACCAAGATCTTGCAGACTTGCCAATCCAGGAAGCTCTTGACTTCGGGGGTTATTTTGGCCGCCATCATATCCACCCCACGAGTGGGTCACCGGAAGGATTTCCCGAGGTTCATCTTGTTCATCGTAACAACAATGCCTGGGAATTCGATAATTATCTCGCCGCGAAGAACAGTAGTGTCTCATGGCACTCGGACGTCACTTATGAGGCACAGCCTCCCGGAACTACGTTCTTGTATATTCTCGACACGCCCGAGGTTGGAGGTGATACTGCTTTTGTGAACCAGGTTGAGGCCTATAACCGACTTTCACCGGCAGTGAAGGAGAGGCTGCATGGTCTCAAGGCCGTGCATTCTGGGGTGGAGCAGGCTGACTTCAGTCTGCAGCGTGGCGGGGTGGTAAGAAGGGAGCCAGTGAAGAACGAGCACCCCCTTGTTCGAACCCATCCTGTGACTGGAGAGAAAGCGTTGTTCGTGAATGCTGGCTGTGAGTTTAACCCAAAGTCCGTAAAGTGGTTCAATTTCTAACACTATATGCAGTCACTCGTAGCATTGTTGGGCTTAAAAAGGAAGAGAGCGACGCATTGCTTTCCTTTTTATTGGCCCATATCGGCCGCGGTATTGACTTCCAGGCTCGTGTTCGATGGGCTCCTAAGACCGTGGTGGTTTGGGATGTAAGTGATTATCTGAAATATACGAGAAGTCTTCGCATACTAACAATTTGAAAGAATCGTGTCACTGCTCACTCTGCAATTATCGATTGGGCAACTGGTGAACGCCGGCATTTGGCACGTATCACACCGCAGGCCGAACGCCCCTTTGAAACACCTTATACTCCCACTGAGGATGAATCCCCCAGCTGGATTCCAGCAATCTAGGGAAGGAACCCGTGACATTCCAAGGTTATAAATGGATAGAGATGTACCTAGTTGACCCAATCAATATAAATACTATGGAAATTCTTTTTCTACGAGATGAGATGAAACTTCAAATTGAATTCCGGGGCAGAAAGTAAATATCGAGAAGCAAGCAATGCTAGTAAATATTCAAAGAGCTTCCTGGACTGTGAGGTATAATAGCAGCGAGTATTAAATAATAGCAAGATATCACGGTTAACGTTGGAACATATTACGAAACGGTCAACATTGCCTTGCCGAACGACGAGAAAATTTCATCCAAGAAAATAGCAGAGTATCTTGCCGAATAACCCATGGATCAAGCCTCTTGAGCCAACGCTTCCTGTCTAGAGGTGGAAGCAGGGTCATAATACGGAATTTCTCCTAAAGAGACAACCCTAGTACCTTGGCGTTTCCCATCGTAATCACTATTGAAATGTTAGCCTCCCTAGAAATAAAGATTTGTTAAGTATATCATCTTACTTTGTTGCAGTATGAAACACGGATCGGCTGTTTCTGGTCAGTGAACCTTCTCTAGTAGTAACTAGGAATAAGTATGACTTACTTGTCCCAGATAGCAAGATCATTTGTGCCCCATTTGAATCGGACTTGCAGGTCGTGATTCTCAGCAATGAGTTGATTGACTTAGACGAATGTTAGCAATTAATATCACAGGTTGCAAGGAATAAATGCTACATACAGTACTGTTTCAGTATTTCACTCTCCCGCTTCGTCACCCCTTCGATCCAGCCATTTTCAACCTGGCCGGCTGCTCCAAAAAGACTCTTCCACCCCGTTACTGGGTTTGTACGGACTAGGGGGCTAGATGATGGTTAGTGGACGAGATCTGTTGGTTTTAATTCTTAGAGTCAAAACATACTGGCTGGCCTTGAAATCAAATCCCGTGTTCTCTGGCGCTCCTCGGTCTCCAGAGATGAGGTCAATGTCGTGCTCCTTGGCGACATTGTTAAAAGACGGCTGGATATCTGTTAGTGACAATATTTATAATGTTGATTTTTCTTTACCTGATAGTGAACTGCTTTCAGAGTATCTGCAAGCTTCTGGATAGGTGTTGATAGTCGGTCGTAGACTTCATATCCTGAAGCCCAAAGAGTGTCGCCACCAGTCTGATCTTCGGGCAAATGCGTGATTTTGAGAATAGCATAGTCAGAAGGAACCTTCTCAAATGTGATACTTAATAGAAGTTAGCCAACTATTTGAATAATGGAACAGAAGCCAGCAGGTGTACGTACTCGGCGTGCCAACCTTGACTAGCGAGGAGACCCGAATTCTTCGCAAAGCGGCCACCGTAATATTTGCGGTTGACCTATAGCCCGTTAATGTGGCGAGGATATAAATATTTTCTTGGTCTTACTTCGGATGAAATAACGGAGATTTCATCATCTAGCTTTCCATTTTCATCAACAGAAATATTCCGTTTGCTATTATTGACGGCATGACGATGGAGCTAAACCTCCCTGATTAGTCTGGCCAGAGGCAACATACACTGCGAGCGCAATTACCTTAGATGTATCGGGCTTTCCAGTAAGCTCGCCGAGCTTTTGGCCGAGAATCTTTTGCTGGTCGGAGGTGATGTCTTGGTTTCGGAAAAACACAACACCACGACGTGAAACTATATTCGTCAGTGTCGTCCATTCTTGTATTCCAACTGGAAGGGCCCTAACCAGTAATAGCCAGGTCGCGAATCTTTCTCTCATCATCTAGGATGCTGGAAAGCTGAACGCTTGGGTATTCTCTACCAATAGCGGTAGTGACATCGGAACTTTCATACTCATCAAGGGAACCCGAATACTTCAAAGGCTCCAGGATATAACCAGAGAGGGTTATCTTTTGCACAAGCGAAGAAGTCTCACTCGATTGAGAAGTCGCATTTTCGAGTTGAGTATCAACCGAAGGAGTCATTTTAGCAAGTTAACGGTATTATAGTTGAGCAAGAAGAATTTATGGTAATTTTTTTTGAGATTTTGGATTTGGCGCCATGGTTGAAGGTTGATTTATATGCGCAATAACATAAGCCAAGTGTAAGATTGCGCTATCTTTTACGAAAAACACCAAATCCAGGACAAAACTCTCCGAAATGGTACCATTCGCTCCAGGAATGTTAGTAAGAAGCATCCCTCGTGGTGCTATAGAATATATACAAATCCCCCTCATTGACGACATATTGCAAATTAATTCTGAGCGTGATGCCATTTGAATAAATGGGCATCTATCTAAGTACACGGTACCTCGCATACTAAAGACTCGGCCTTTGAGGGACACCTTATACTACATCGTTACCTTGCTATCTTAATCTTGGTTTAACAAAATATGGCTCTCCAGTATCTCGCATTCACAAAATATTTATCTGGACTTAACATTTACCTCACTGACACTTGCTATTCATTAACTATGCGGTACAATAATTCAAGTTGAAGCTAGTCAATGATTATTTAGCGGGCAAATCGAAAATCAAGTCTATATATCTCACGAGTCAGTATACCGAAAGGATTGGAACTATCCGCATTTACAAACCTCTTGTTGGTCATAATTTTGTTTTCGCTCAGATATATTTCTCGTTGCTCATGGGTCAAGGCGTTCCATTTGGCAGCGTTGTGCCTATATACGGGTGAGCGGATTCATTACAACTTGAATGCTAGATCATGCGGGAATTACCTATTCCACCAGTCGTAGTAGAACTTTGCAGCCACAAATAGAGCCATACTAACAACAGAAAGTGCGATCAGAACCTTATTCCCGTGTCTGTAGTACGGGGCATCCTTTGCTTGATAGACCTGCATATAGTATGAGTCTTTCGCGTGTCATCGTCTTTAAAGCAAGAAGGGCCAAGCTAGCAGACTCACATTAGCACCTGCAATATTGCTTATCTGTACAGACATGTTGTACAATGCAGAAGCGATGGTACGAGTCCGCACGGATCCTGCGTTCCGGGAGGTCAAGGCGACCACGACAGGATGAATGCTCGGACTACCCACAAGAAGAGTAAGAATAGCCCAGCGAGGCCAGGGTAGAGTTTTCTGGGGCAAGGCTTCCAATGCTATCAGTAAGACAAGGTTCCACACCTCGACTCCTGCTCCCCAGAGTAAGCGCTGGTTTGTGCGTTCTGCAATCCAGGTTATAGACATCAGAGTAATAATCCCAATGACAGCCGATGGAATGGTTAACAGGTTTGTCTGGAATGTGGTAAATCCCTGGGAACGTAGCTGCAACGTGAGATAGTTGGTTGCAGGCGTGGTGGGAATCAACCATATCAAGCCTAGTAGGTAAATAGGCCACATATGGAAGTCCTTTAGAGACTCCCAAAATAGCCGCAGGTTAAGTCCTTCTCTGTTGTGCATGCTTCCTTTGCTGGGATCGTCACGAATGACGCGGTTGACCATGATCTTTTCTTCGTGTTCGTTAAACCACCCATCCTTTCCACGTAGCCCTCCCTTTGTTTGTACTGGCGATGCAGGCATCCAAAAGTAGGCAATGATTCCGATGAGACCGGTTATCAGTCCCTCGAAGGCAAAAACGTATTTCCAAGATCCACCGCCATTAGCATCCTTTATATGGAGGAAGCCGAAGGCCAGGAATGCTCCAATGATAGTCGTAACTGTGTATGAGATCCAAAAACAGGCCAATCGCTTTGGAAGCTCACTCGATTTATAGAAGAAAGATAGGAAAAGAATTGTGTCGGGAATACTGCGATATGTGATGTGGTTTAGCTTCAACTTTAACCATATTGGGGCAGTGGGAGTACTCACAAGCCGCCTTCTATTAGCCCTAGCAAAGCCCGACAAGCCAGGTAAGAGGGTCTTCCTTTTATGAAAGCCTGGCAAGCCGCAACCACGCTCCACATCACCATTTGGAGAGGAATCCAACGATCGGGTCCCAATCTTTTGGATATCAACTGTGACGGCATCTCCGCCAACAGGAAACATACCAGGAAGACGGTCTGGCCCAAATTATAGTCATTTGTAGTCATGTGTAAGTCTTGCAAAAGTGTACTTGCTAGTGCCTGGCCAATATTTCCCCGATCAAGTTGCAGGGCAAAAAAAGGTCACGCAGGCAAAGGTGCAAACACGGGCATCGATCTATACAGGAAGGTAAGAAGATAATAATGAAGCGGAGATATAATTACGTACCTTTCTGACAATTTGTTTTTCTTCATTTTCAGTCCATTCAAAATCTGGATCCCATCTATGAATTCCCTCGTAGCTGTCGATTGGTCGATAGAGGTGATGACCTGCACCAGAGTCGAATGTACTTTTGCCCTCGGTTGGACTGATTTGCTGGAATTCCCTATCCGAGTCATCTGTAGAACTGGCCTCAGATATGTTTTTCTCATCTGCGGAAATCTTCGGGCTCTTCCTCTCATGGGCAGTCATGATTCGGGTATTCAATTCGTACTCGTAGTAACGAACGACTACCTTTTTTCAGAATTGATCTGACAAAATACAAAAAAAATCATGCTACGCCTTCATTGTTTTATATCTCTAGTATTCGGAGGATTTCGAGATACGAGCACTGTGGTCACGCAATTTCAACAGGTAGTTACTCTAAACAGCCACATGTCGTGCCTCTGGGTGCGAATGAGGCAATCCGCAACATTGATCTTTCATGCCGACAAGCTAGCTCACATTGAGCGATTACAATTCTGCACATTAAATGAAACTAGCTCTTAAAAAGAGCCACCTAATGTCTTTGTTGAAGTGTGAGATTTGGCGAACGACTTGGGAGAACCACGGAAATATGATAACTGTTCAGCTGGGCGGTAGCTGATGAAGTGGATCCCCGTCCGAGTCTTGCGGCCTGGGGGTACCAAGATCTTTGACCCCGCTTAGTATGTACAAATTAGCCAATTTGAATGAACATTATTTGTTCGCTTAACTTATCTGAGATAACTAAAAGGTAGAGGACACGGAACTTTTGTGGGGCCTGTCATTTGTTGTCGCGCATCTCGGCAAAATGTATATCGCTTAAAGTCTTCCAAGAGTTGACGACATCGAGAGCGACTATGGAGTTATTTACAGTTTACTATTCTAGTCTTTCAAATCTGCGATCACGCCTTTGCTGAGACCTATGCGGTTTATATTCTTGGAGAGACCGCGGTTTCAGCTGAGAGAATAGCGACCCAATCGATGTGCCGTGGTTTTACATATGTGATTCTGTGTAATGAGAGAAATTCGGCAAAAGTTATTCTGTCGATAGCAATGATGAATAGAATTGACTATATTATTTATACATGACTTAATAGCAGTATGAGTTGACATGGAAGTGAAAAGAGGGGTATGAAGAGATAAGTATCACGCTTTCTGAACAAAAAGCAAAACGCCTTCAACAGTCAAAAGGGAATTACCAAATTCAAATAAATGGGCTTGGAAGATTCCCGATCATGGCATGACATAGCTCTGATTACAGCCCAAGAAGTCCCCCGCGACGTCCCCCGCGGCGTGCGAAGCGATCAGATAGAAGGGCCTCGCGACTAGCCAGAACGGCCTGGCGACGTCCAAGTAGGCCCATGCCTCCGATTCCAGGGGCAGCGACATACTGGACCTGCTGAGGTGCAGCAACGACTTGTTGAACGGGGGCAGGCTGGGGTTTCCTAATATGCATGTTAGTTTATGTCGAGGCCACGTACCTTCAAGCTGTAAGAGAGAGACTTACATCTTGTGGGACAAGACGTTCATGGCGACGGCCCCTATAGCGGCCCCTGCAGCGGTGCTCCAGCCACCGCCCATCTTGTGGCCCATGTATCCACCAGCTGCACCACCAACAACAGTTGACCCAAGACCCTTTTCACCGTTAGGATCGTTCGGGTCTAAGACTGGCTCTCCATTATAATATGAGGCATTCGCCCCTTCTGGCGCATACTGCGACTGTGGAGTGGCGTGGCCTTGCGACATATTTGCAGCTGATTCGTATTTTTGATCGTAGCCAGGGTTCGTATTCTGCTGGGGCAATGTGTATTGGTCGCCCTGAGTATAACCCTGCTCCGTGTAGGGTGGGGGGGGCATATGAAGGTTGTCCCGTCGAATAGTAGTTTTGAGTCTGGTTTGGGTGAGGGGCGCAAGTGTTCTGGGGTTGTTGCTCCTGGTAGTAGTTGGCTCCGTATTGCGACATGATTGATGGGAATACAGTGGGTGTACAAGATTGGATTCGGCGAAATATAATAAGATTTGTAGAAGTCTGTGATGCTTGGTTGGGGACGAGTTGTGGTGAATGAAAAAGCACTATTTGGCCAGACGACTCGGGGTCTTTTATAGTTATTCTACATCCAGGATCTTCACTCCAAATGGTCCTTGAGCCTGTTATTCAGAAGGCTGATACATAACATAGCCGCCAGAGTTTTAACTCTTCCGAGCAAAGATCAGCAAGTTTCTTGATTATTAGGAGGGGGCGAAGGCAATGATCACCAAAGCTTGGTTTCTTGGCAGTACTGCATACCTCATTAGGAGAAGATCGTCCCTATATTTAGTTTGGGGGCCATGTCAAAAGGAAATTTTTGAAACTTTTGCTCGACAATTTCCGCTTGCGCACTTATTTCCTTTTCCGAAGGTTGGCTGAACTGGTTACCTTAAATGGCGAGGTGATCAAGCTTCTTAGTTCTGGCCTGGGCTATGGTTACTTTCGAAGTCATTCATGCCGCCGCCGATAGCTCATCAAGGAAATCTTTGATTTCGATTTCGCTCCGACCATATGACTATCACCCTCTGGTGGACGGTAATACCGACTCTCATATAACCCAAAGTACCCAGTCTCATGGGAGCCCGACCGAGAATCGAGATCATGAGCTAAGACCCGGTTCAATCGACGACATCTACCAGGGCGACGCAGTATGATAAATCGACAATATGGCTAAGCGCTTGAAATCAGAAGCAGGCGAGAGATTGTTCCTCCATTTGAAGGTCAATCGGAGAGAAAGGACTGGTTCACGATCTTGTCACGATGCCATCCTTCCAAGGTTTTACATATGCTACTAGTAGGTGCCAGTACATTCAACAGCAATAAACTCACTTGCATCTCAAAAGATTAATTACTATTTCGTTTTAGCATCATGGTGATCATATGGAAATCGAGCTGACGAATATGCAGAAGCTTTTCCGACCAGGCTATACTGCTTCGAAACCCGGCTATCCTGGATAAAATGACACTCTAGCAGGACTGACTTGAAAGTATGAAGTTTTTGAGGACTACCAATATGCTGGCCAGTTCTTTTTCTTTTTCCCCACTGTCTTTCAAACAGACAGTTTAGTATGTGCATTTTCGTTAAATAACTACTACTACTAGTAGTACTACTATTAGTACCCGATCACATGACCTGCAGCCAACTTCAAGTCACGGGACTCATTCCCCCTACTGAGCAGTGAGCATGAGGTCTGCTCTGCTCTCTGCTCATTGTGTCACAGGAACCAGACTTGACCCTGAGGTTTGACCCTCTATCGATCCAGATGTTTCAGATGTTCTAGACTTTCCCCTCATGCTGTGATTGGGCCTGCCATCAATCTTCCTGCAGTGGATCACCAATGACACGCTATTCACTGGGGCAAAGGGGAGCCATGCGTGTCACAACGCCACCAGGCACACCACCACAACATCATATTGGGGAGCCTGGCATTCTGGCAGAGAATAGGTGGATGTCATTGTGGAGGTGTTGACGACTTTACACTTTTTTTTTTACGGAGTATTGTCTTCTTCTCTCGCAAAGGGCCACTTTTACGCGAAAACCCTTTCTGCAGACGCAGCATCATTGCTGTAACGCTTCCCGATCGGCGACGCCGCCATTCTAAAATTATCGAATTGATCCAGTCCAGACCCTCCACGAACCCACTTTTCTTTCATTCCTGGGCGTGCTTGTCTCACTCTCGCCGATCGCCTTCATTTTCAGGCGCTCGAACACTCGTTCTTTCGCCGCTTTTTTCTCTTGTTCCCCTCATCTTCCCCGGCCTGGTCATTTGACCCTTTCTTCCAACTTTCCCCCCCATGCAGACCTGTCATTCGTTACCCCTGTGATTTTGTGTTTTTTTCCCTCTACTTGCTCCGCAGACGCAATGGATGCGCGCAAGGGCTTGCAGCTCCGAGACGACTCGTCTGGAACTGATGAGTTCGTCCATCTCATCTCTGACCCGTTCCACAACTCTGTAAGTAGTTCACCGCGGCGAATGGTCGCTTTATGAAGAGCGTCGGCTGACAGCTTGGGATAAAAAAGTTCAACGTCACCGCTGTCTGGGCATCTCTCGGCACCTCGATCGGAATATCTCTGTTACTCGCGTTCCTATTCTCCCTCTTCCGTCCTCGTCACTCGCTCGTCTATGCGCCAAAGGTCAAACATGCCGACTCGAAGCACGCGCCACCCCCAGTGGGTAAAGGTTTCTTTTCATGGATCAAGCCAGTCATTCGCACTCGGGAGCCACAGCTAATCGACACCGTCGGCCTGGATGCTGCGCTCTTCCTGCGCTTCACAAAGATGTGTCGGAACATATTGATTTGCATGAGTATCGTCGGCTGCGCGGTCATGATTCCGGTCAATCTTACTCAGGCCACGGACTTCGGTGACGATACCAAGTCGATCTTGAGCGATATGACCCCCATCCATGTGCTTGAACCAACCGCGATGTGGAGTCAGGTTATCTGCGCGTGGGTTTTTGATATCATTATAGCCTTTTTTCTTTGGAGGAATTACCGAGCAGTGCGAGCAATGCGACGTCAATATTTTCAGAGTTCCGACTATCAGCGAAGTCTCCATGCGCGAACCCTCATGATCACCGACATTCCTGCGCCTGACCGTTCGGACGAAGGTATTCTGCGGATTACTGATGAGGTCAATCCAACTGCTGCCCTCCCTCGCGCGTCGATTGGCCGCACTGTGAGGGATCTACCAACAATCATCAAAGAACATGAAGAAAATGTACGACAGCTGGAGTCTGTGCTGGCCAAGTACCTCAAGCGCCCCGATCAATTACCTGCGAAGCGACCAACCATGCGCCCACCTCGCAGTCAACGCAGCAAACACCCCAATGGCAGGGTGGACGCCATCGACTACTTGACCGTGCGTATCAGGGTCTTGGAAGAAGAGATCAAGCATGGGCGAGCCTCAATCGACAAAAGGGATGCTATGCCTTACGGTTTTGCTAGCTGGGAAAAAATTGAGCATGCTCATGCAGTTGCTTGGACTTCTCGCAAGAAGCACCCGAAGGGAACCACCGTCGCCCTGGCGCCACGTCCCAGCGATCTCATCTGGGAGAATCTACCTCTCACCAAACAAGCCCGCAAATGGAAACGTTTCACAAACTTTATCTGGGTTACTCTTCTGACCCTCATCTGGATCGCACCCAACGCACTCATCGCGGTCTTCTTGGCCAGCTTGACAAATTTAGGCCTTGTCTGGCCAGCATTCCAGACACAGCTGGAGAGAAACCCTACTCTTTGGGGTGCCATACAAGGTATTGCATCGCCCGCTCTCACGTCACTGGTTTATCTCGTCCTGCCGATCATCTTCCGACGGCTATCCATTAAGGGTGGTAGCAAAACCAAGACATCGAGGGAGAGACACGTGCTGGGCCAGTTATACGCATTCTTTGTTTTTAATAACCTAGTTGTTTTCTCTTTCTTCTCTGCTGCGTGGACATTTGTTGCGACCGTGATCGACAAAAGCAACAACAATGAGAACGCTTGGCAAGCCATCGTGGAAAGCGAGCTGTATAACAAATTGGTGACGGCTTTGTGCTCGGTTTCGCCATTCTGGGTCACTTATCTCCTGCAACGCAACTTGGGCGCCACAATCGACCTCGCCCAGATGGTCACATTGGTCTGGGTGTGGTTTGCGAAAACATTTCTCTCGCCAACACCTCGACAATCAATTGAGTGGACCGCTCCGCCAGCATTCGATTACGCTAGCTACTACAACTATTTCCTCTACTACACGACCGTGGCCTTCGCGTTCGCCACTCTACAGCCAATCGTCCTACCAGTGACCGCGTTATACTTTGGTGTTGATGCCATGCTAAAGAAGTACTTGCTCATGTACATTTTCGTGACCAAGAACGAATCCGCAGCGGCATACTGGCGTATCTTGTTCAACCGCATGGTCTTCGGGGCCATTCTTTCCAACTTCATTGTTGCTCTAGTGGTCAAGTCTAGAGCCACCTGGACCATGGTATTCTGCGTCCTCCCACTCCCATTCTTGATGCTGGGATTCAAGTTCTACTGCATGAAGACCTTCGACGATGACTGCCATTTCTATAACCGCGCAAATCTGAACGATGCCGAGGCACTGGGTGCTACCAAGTCTAGCAAGAAGGCTGCCGATCGCCTGAGCTCCAAATTCGGCCACCCGGCTCTCTACAAGCCCCTGATGACCCCGATGGTCCATGCCAGAGCTGCCGAGACTCTCAAGCAGATCTACCAAGGCCGCTTAGAGCACAACGACATGGCTGGCGAGTACTCGGACATCGCAATGAACCCAATGATGGCCAATCAACCTGGAAAGTCCGCCGAGGCATCTCCGTTTGAAGTGGTCCCCGAGAGCCAACTGGATTTCTCATATTACAAGGACCGCCCTGATTTCTATGAAGAGTTTGGCGGAGGTATATACGGCCGACCGGAAGACCTGATGACGGAACGTTCCCACACACCACGCAGTACTTTGGGTGCTGAATGGTCGCCTAGTTCCTCTCGTGCTTCTTCCCCAGCCCCATCTTTACCTTCAATGTCCGCGTTGAGAGTCCCAGACGGTTACGACGCCCAAGCTCAAGAGGGTGGTGTACTCGTCCACCCCGCCTTCCGTGTTCCCGGTGGTGGTAGCAGCGGAGGTTTCTACGAACAAGCGAACGAGAGTGAGTCGAGGCTCCTCACCCATGCTCAAACTCCCGCGCACACGGAATCATCCAACCCGCTTGATCGCTGGCGCGGAGGTGGTTATGGGCCTGTTGAGCAGGAGGATGATTACCCTTCTCACACGTCATACGAGCCCTACCGTGGATATCGATAGAAGAAGAAGAGATATCTGTGCAAATACTGTTTTCTTTTATTTTGGCGATTTGTTTTTCTTTTCTGGGGCGCTGATGCCATTTGTCGGATACGAAATCACGAACTCTAATCCTTTGCATCGAGCGGGACTCGTGGAATAATCATACTTGAATACTTGTACAAAATCATATGCATATACTTTCGAATAAACCATTTTTAGATATTTGAAATCTGCGAACCGTCCTGGTGAACAAAGTAGTAGAGACGCTTCGCAATAGACCATTTACCATACCAGGGTAAATTGAAGATGTGATGACTCGAGGGAAGAACTTATGGTATCACGCTCGCCGATACAAAGAACGGGGTTGAGATTTTCCCTGTGTAGCCTTGGGAGAGCCTTCGAAAATGGATCCCTGTTAGTGATAGTGGTGGAAATTTGTTAATTAGTAACAAGGGAAAATAAAAGGAAAATAAAAGGCAAGCACCAACATAATATCCACCAGCCCATGCCATGGCACGCTTGACTAGCCTTGGTTAGTGGTCATATGTGGGCCTGCTCTGTGCAATTTGACGATCTGCCGTCTAGGCTGCAGCAGCATTCACCTCCGACCCAATTTTCTTGGAGATCTTGAGGCTGCTCTTCCAATCAATCGATTTCGAGGGAAGCCATTCTCTGGCCCCAAGATCCCCGAATACTGTCAATTTAGCCCCCAAAATCCTGCTGAAATTCCGCTGTAAAAGTTTTCCCCGGCGGGTTTTGACGCTTTCACTTCCCCTGGAACAGGTGAACAGGGTTATAACTACCGTCCATCATGGGGACTTCCGAGCCTTTGGCTACGACGATAACGACTGCAACCGACGAGATGCCTGACTTCCGTCCAACTCGTCGGTTCTGGGCGGCCTTAGGTAGTTTCCTAGTCGTGATCCTAGCTTCTGCATTAGACGCCATCTCTGTCGACAGCTCTGCCAGTCAGTGATTATTGTGTCTAATTCAGTTTCCATCGATGAAAGGCTCTTCTGACCAACTATCCAGATCATATCTCGCGAGCTTGGCGGTACTGCCATTCAAGCTTTCTGGGCAGGCACATCATTCCTGCTTACGAGTACCGTCTTCCAACTGACATTCGGATCTCTGTCTCAAACATTTGGACGCAAATATTTGATCATTCTTGCATTGATTCTCTTTACCGTCGGATCCATCGTTGCTGCCATTGCCCATGATATGACCACGCTTCTCATTGGACGTAGCATCCAAGGTGCCGGCGGGGGCGGAATTCTCAGTTTGACAGAGGTTGTTATTACCGACATTGTCCCACTTCGTCAACGTGGCAAATACTTTGGATATGGAGGGGCTGTCTGGGCGCTTGGGTCTGTCACGGGTCCCATCATGGGCGGTGCATTGGCTGAGGCTGCGTCTTGGAGATGGATATTTTGGATCAATCTTCCAATTTGTGGAATTGGCTTCGTGCTAATCATCGCCTTCTTGAATCAGAAACCAGTCCCCGGATCCCTGATTCCGAAGCTGGTCAAAGTAGATTGGATTGGTGCATTTTTGCTTACGGCTTCTGCGACCAGTCTGTTACTTGCCCTGTCCTGGGGCAATGTCATGTACCCCTGGTCTTCCTGGCGTACAATTTTACCACTCATATTGGGCGTGATCGGCATTGCTGGATTTGTGGTTTATGAAGGCAAGGTGCCGCATGACCCTATAGTGCGCCTCGCTATTTTCAAGGAGAAGACTGCATTAGTCACCTACCTGGGAACCTGTATTCATGGGATCGTTCTTTGGTGTCTTCTCTATTATCTTCCTTTATACTACGAGTGCGTTAAGGGGTACAGCGCTATAATCTCTGGTGTCGGTGTCTTCCCAGAGACATTTACTGTTGCTCCCGCCTCAATCGTGGTGGGAGTACTAGTCTCCAAATGGGGTCGCTTTCGATGGGCCATTTGGAGCGGATGGTTCTTGAGTACCCTGGGAATGGGTCTCCTCTACCTATTAGGACCCAATAGCTCCATCCCAGAATGGGTATTCTTGAATCTTGTACCTGGGCTAGGACTTGGGGTGCTCTACAATAGTCAAGGGTACGCAACACAGGCTGCAGCCGAAGAACAGGACTCTGCCCATGCAGCAACGATGTACGTCTTTTCACGGTCGTTCGGTCAGAGCATCGGGGTGGCCGTTGGTAGTGCTATTTTCCAGTCTCAATTCGCTGTCAATCTCACCTACCCGGAACTGGCAGCGGAAGCTACCGAATTGTCACAGGAAGCCAGCTCCCTGGTCGAGGTGGTCAAGGCCATGCAACTGGACTCGCCGCGTCGGGTTATGATTGTTGCCGCATATGCGGATAGCTTGAAAGTAGTATGGGCCACGATGGCCGGTCTGGCTTTCGTTGCACTGGCTACTAGTCTGCTCACGCGGAGTTTGAACGTCAACCGTAAGCTCGAGTCGGAGCAGCAACTGCAAGAGAAAGAAGATTCCACTGGGTCAAGTTTTGCTTGAGCCGGGCGGAAATTGAATATTGCTGCGCTCTCTCCTCCCCAAGGAGCGCGTGAGTTAATATATCATACTACCAGCTTGAGGGATTCGCACATTGCTGATGATTATCGTGCCCCGTTTGTCCCGAGTCTGCCTTAGGGTAACGTGGACGATGATGATGTGCGGTGATATCAACGACAACAACTGCAATAGTAATAGTAGTAATAATATAATAACCATAATCATAATAATTTCTGACGCTTGAGGCATGAGGCATGAGGGATGAGGCACTGGCATGAATGAGTCAGTCCACACCGCCATATCTAGTTCCTGGATAGCTTTAAGCAATCTTTCCATCTTACACACATTTCATCATCGGGATCGGAAAGTTCCCATCCTCAGTCGGTCGTTATAACAATAGCTAATAACTAGAAATGGATCAGAGAAGTATCAAATCTTTAGAACCAACCTTGTAATATCCTCCTTGCATGAGGCTCCTGGTAAATACTAGTACCTGCACAGCCTCACCTTCCGGGCGTTGGAACTAGTGATACGAGGCGTGGAGCAGTCGTGTTAGGCAGCAGAACTATTGTCTTAGTACTAACTAGTTACTAGTAACTAGTCGAGGCTCTGTTGATAAAATGGGGCGGTTTATAATGTAGCTGCTCCCTCGAAAATGATTAAGTTTGTTTTCTCTCCCCAGTTGCTCTGTGAAATTCTCATACTTCGAGTCTTCGACTGGCTTCTCTACTATGACAGCATGGATTCCAACCAGCTCATCACTTTCTGCTGTGTAACCCCACTATACCGACTCGAAGGTTCCGGGTGTTTCTAGTCTGACGTATGCATTTTTGTGATCTTTCCATCGAATACTGTTGACTACTCATACTGAAGAATGCTAATCACATTAACCCTAGGCTGATGATTGTGGGGAACTGCACCACGCGAGGGGAACCACGGAACCATGGGACCAAGACCATGGATTTCCTTTCTTCCCCCGTTGGTTTGTCAAGTAAACATCCGATGACTTGACGACCGTCATCAGTATACTCCAAGTACCAATATTACTCTTTCATCGAGTTCCCCCTCAATCAACCCACTTCATCGAATTTCCGCCATTTCAGCGCGGGCCGTCTCCCCCACCACGCCCCGCCATTCGGGCGCGACCACGTCAAGGACGCACGACGCAAGGGAGACAGAGCCGCATTGCACGTGAGGGTAAAAGTGGTTTACTTCCCATCGCTCGTATTCTCCCTCTTCCAATTCTCCGGATGGACTCATGGATCTGCGCGCATCTGCCACCGAGGCCGAAGATGTGGCGGCCCGCTTCACGCTGTTTCGTGCCCCTCTGCCCGAACACGAGGCTGAGATTACTGATCTCATCGCCGACTTGTACACCATCAGTTCGTCGCTCCGTAGGCTAGATGGTCTATCCAAGGATCCCGCCCGCACTCGCAATTGGCGCATCGTTGTGCGCGACGTCGCTTTACTCCAGTCCAGTCTTAAGTATACCGTCGAGGATGTCTTCGGCGCGTTGGGCCGTTTAAATGGTGCGGCGGCCCCGACTGAGAAGTACAGAGAGGCATGGCGCACTATGGAGCTATTCTGCTGGGAAGAGTCGAGAACATCCCTCCGGATGCGACTGGCGAGGTATAGGGCCTTCCTTGGGGAACTCGGCGATGTCATGCAAAAGTAGGCAGCATGTTCCCTAAACCCATCAGCACTCCCCAGGTACACACCGACTAATGTTTTGGCCTCAATCTCTCCAGCAAAACCCAAGATTTCCCTCTCCTAGATGCTCATCGCGAAAACCTCAAGATGTTAGTCACGACACAGGAACGCCAACGGGTGACTGATCGATTTGGACGTATGTCATTTGGTCGCAATGCCAACCCGCCATCTACTGGCAGTGGCAGTGGTCATAGCACTGCACCCAGCAGCCCTGTCAGTGATCGACGCCCACGACGTGGATCGTTCGAGCGTACTCGCCCCTCTCATCGCTCTCCTCAATCCCCTCAATCCCCTCTATCGCCAGCGTTTGGTGGATTCCATATACCTATTCCACCACAGGCCCCAGAGGCCCCAGAGGCCCCGAGTTCGCCGCTCACCGGATCAGCATCTGCAACCACCAACACCAGCCAATCGGTTCGTTCCGACGTCATACAAAATCACTGGGTCAAAGATGCTTTCAATGCTTTCAACACAGCGACTCAACTTGCGTATAATGATGATGAAAGGTGAGTGATCACTCGCATTGGACTTTCAACTACATTTGCTAACCCGCTGGGCCGTATAGGATAGGATGCTTCGGAAAACCCACACCGGGGATCAAGGAACAGCTTAATGAAGATGGATTCGATCGACTATTACGACTGTATGACAACCTGGAAGTATTACTGTCTTAATCACTGACAACCTAACCCAGGGACTTTGACGACGGGTCTGACATGACCGTCTATTACTATTTGAGAGAGACCGACAACCGAACCCGTATTATCATCCGAACACGAGAGGAACACGGCAATGAGTATTTCTGTCTACCACTAAATATGCTGGAGATAATTCGCTCAGGTTCGTCCCTTCAGCTTTGCCGTAGACGCAACTCTGGAAGGGAGCTCCATGCGTGGGCTTCTCTGGGCTTCGACACTATTGAATGTATGTACACCGATACGAGTATGCAAGTTAATTCGAGTGATCTAACTGATTTCGACTAGCGATGGTGGAATTCTTCTCTGTATTCCTGGCACTTCGTTCCCAGGATACAACCAAGGCCGTCCCAGGCATTCGAGACTATGAACTAGAGGGGGAAGAGCAGATCTACGGAGGGTGAGCTTGACACGAATCTCAGCGTTATGTTTCCGTTCTGACAATGACATAGTCAAATACTGGATGACAGTCGCAGACATGCATTGCGCGTTTACCGGGACAAGCAGACAAAGGCGGTTCGATTCCAATCGTCTGTTCTCGGGGGAGACATGGACAAGTATGCCGCCATCAAACCGCTACAATGTGAACCTCTTTTCTGACCACCTGATCCAAATAGGGCCCCCGTTTGGACTGCTTTCGTTACCTCCAATATTGGCCGACGTGGCTGGCTCCGTGCCCTTGATCCGAGAACTATTCTTGTCCGCGACCTGCAACCATTAGTTCTGCTACCCGCCGAAGCATACACGCTGCCTCAGCTGGAAACTGGTCAGCATGTGCTGAGATTCAAAACGCCTGAAGGTAAGCCATAAATGAAGCCTTTGATCTTGCAATATCTAATACCATAGCCTCCGATTTTAGATGCGGAAACCTTCCTGGACAGCATAGAGGGGCTCGTCGAAAAGAAGACCCGCGGAGTTCGCTATGTCTAGCGTGCTTTCGAGCTCCGAATTCATGCGCCCAATATTATGGGCGATATTCCCCTCTCACTCCTTTCGGGGCTCGACCAATCTTACCATTTGACATGATACTTCACTGGCATGGTCCAGTTGACATGACGATTGACGAATTGCTATGCTGGATGACCTTGATGACAAGACTAGAAAAGTGATATTATTGAAGTTTTAATTAGCGAAGCCATTCACATTGATAGTACGTTTGCGACGTGTTCTTTACATGCTTCTTATGCTTGGCTGGAAGGAAGAACCTTGGAATATCGGCAACATGTTCGTTGCTTGACATTTTTGATAGCATTTTTGTCCAATCTTCTTGGTGCGGATTTGGCTTTCCGTCTTGTTAATGTCTATAATAAGCATCGAACTGTTCAACGTATCTGGAAAATATTTGCGCATCGCTCGCTAATCAAGTGAGGGAGGAGTGGAATCGACATCACCCCGGGGTATCTAAATATGCATAACAAGTAAAAAAAAAAATTGCCATTCACCTCACAACAGGTGGCTGAGAAGGACCAGCGGTAGCTCCACCCTCCAGTTCGTTCATGAACTTTGCCGTCAACCGTTTGGCCCGTAGTTGCGCAATTTCGGATTTGCGTTCGGCTATTTTAGCTTGGTGAATAGCCGCTCGCTCCTTGATCCTCTCACGCTCTCGAAGGGTCTCTACTCGTGCACCCTTCAACTCCTCCATTTGTTTCTGACGGGTTTCCTCGTCGCGCGAGAAAGCGTAGAATCCAGTTCCTCGATTGCGCACTTCGCCATCTGCATCATAGTGCACCTGGTCCGGGGGTGTAGCGGATCGGTCTCGTCGAGCTGCGAGGTGAGCCATTTGTGCCGCGATGTTCGCCTCGGGGTTGAACGCTTGGGATTGCACAGCTTCGCCGTATATAAGGTTTTCTGGACGATTAGGACGCCATCTTTCTTGAGCGGCCTCGCCTCGGGCTTCCTCGTCCTTTGCGCGGTAGGCCTGGGCGGCTTCAGATCTTGTCCCACGACGGGAGCGGCCAAACTCGTCTTCGTATGATATAATAGAGGCATTGTCATCATCTTCGCTTTCACTTTCTGGGCCTTTGGATCCATCGGCTTTCTTCTTTTCTTCATTTGCCCACTTGCGGTCAAAATCGATAAGGCCTTCCTTCTCTCGGCGTCGAAGCCGTCCCAGGTACTCTTCGGAATGGGAACTGGGCCCTTGCCTGTCCTCATCGCTGCTATCCCCAGCCAGGTACATTCCCTTTTTCATATCATTGTACATGCGCACTTTTTTCTCCATCTTTTGCTTGGATCGGTTCAGCGTGACGTCGTCGACGCTACCGATGTCCTTGCTGGACATGTGGACTTGCTTCGCGACGTGGTGATCGGTTTCTTCGAGATCTGCCGCTGCACGCTTTTCCGCACCTTTATTTTGTTTACCGAATAGATCGGATTTGGGGTGTCGTGAACGGCGGGTTCGGTCGTTAGACGTCGATCCGGAGGTGTTTGCATTCGCGATCAAGGAAGACATTTGGCCTGCGAAGGAGAGGCCGGAGACGGAGGAGAGCTCATTTTTGTTCTTTTTCTTCGGTTGCCCATACAGGCTGTCGTTGTCGGCGCCCATGGTGTTGGGAGGGAATTGGGACTGGACTTTGGAGTGTAGGTGTAGCGTGGATGTCGCGTTTCAAGAAGGTCCCATATTCCATGAGATCCGCAGTGACGACGATAAGGCGATAAGGCTGGAGAGGGTTGCCTTCCAAAAAGGTACAGCCGGTGTCATGTGACGTGACTCATCTGGGACGATTCTTGCTGCCGACCACTGATTATGTCAGCGGTTTATGTCAGCTCACAGCAGCCCCGCGGAGCCCCGCGACATCGCAGTACATTTGTCTCTTTTGCATCTTGAAGTATCTAGGTTGATTTCATACCAGGTTCTATTTCAATCGACTTCACTTTCGTCATATTATACCAGGGACTAACTTTGCGCCTTCAATTTCACTCAATTGGCCCCCAATCATGTCTCCCAGCCCTATCTATCTCGGCGTTGTTGGTAAGAATCCACTCTATCTTGACTTTAAAAGCTGCGAACGAGCAGTACTGACGGTCAATCAGGTGTCGGTGGTGTTGGAACTGCCTTCCTCTCCCAGCTCGCCCGTTTCCCCAACCCTCCCAAGCTTGTCCTCCTTGCTCGTTCCTCCCAGACCGTCCTCGCTCCGACACCGGCATACTCGCCCATCCCCGCGGTCGACTGGGCTACCGCTGCTGCCACCCCCTCCGTGACCAAGACTGGCGCCCTTCCCGCGGAGGAGATCGCTACCTACCTTGCCTCTGCTCCTGGCCGTGCCATCCTGGTTGACAACACCTCCGACATCAATCTGGCCAAGTCCTACCCCACATTTTTGAAGAAGGGTATCTCAGTCGTCACCCCCAACAAGAAGGGCTTTTCCGACGACCTTTCTCTGTGGAAGGACATCTTCTCCTCCGCCGCTGAGGGCAATGCCCACGTTTACCACGAGAGCACCGTCGGTGCCGGTCTGCCCGTCCTCTCTACCCTGAAGGACCTTGTCGCGACCGGTGACGAGGTCACCCGCATCGAGGGTGTCTTCTCGGGTACTCTGTCCTTCCTGTTCAACACCTTCGCCCCTGCATCCGGTCCTTCCAACGCCCAATGGAGCGCTGTTGTCGCCCAGGCCAAGGAGCTCGGCTACACCGAGCCCGACCCTCGTGATGATCTGAACGGCATGGACGTTGCCCGCAAGCTGACCATTCTGGCCCGCCTGGCTGGTTTGGAAGTTTCCCGCCCGGACTCTTTCCCTATTGAGTCTCTCATTCCCGAGGCGCTGGCCTCTCTGCCTTCTTCTGCCGATGGCATCACCGAGTTCATGACCCGTCTTCCTGAATTCGATGCCCAGATGGCCAACATCAAGGACTCTGCCGAGAAGGAGGGCAAGGTTGTTCGTTATGTTGGTAGCATTGATGTTGCCAGCAAGGCCGTTAAGGTTGGGCTTCAGTACTTCGACAAGGACAGCGCTATTGCTGGTCTGAAGGGCAGCGACAACATTATCAGCTTCTACACCAAGCGATACGGTTCCAACCCTCTGATTGTCCAGGGTGCCGGTGCTGGTGGTGATGTCACTGCCATGGGTGTTGCCGCCGATCTGATCAAGGTCATGGATCGTCTTCAGTAGATCAAGCATCGTTGGATAAACAAAAGTAACTTAGATACGTCACGACTTGAAGTTTTTAACGAAATATACATCTTTCAATGAGTTTAATGTATCCTGCCAAATATTTTCAGTGCTTGAAAAGCCGAGGGTCTGTGAGGTTGTTAAGCCCTGAGGAAGTCGGTCACGGCTTGGCCCCAAATATCACCTCTCTTGTATGAATAGATTGAGGGGACATTCCCTTTCTTCAGCCCTTCGATTGCAGTCGCCAGATCTTCCCCCATGCCTTCATTTTTTATCTGCTGCACCGGATAGGTATAAGTATGGAAAGCAAAAACAATAGCTTTAGACTGCGGCAATCGGTGCAGGGTCTGTCTTTCGCAGCGCAAAACTGTCTATGCAATACGTCAGCAGTATTCCGAAATCCCAAAAACCAACTTCCACGTTACCTGGTCGATATTTAACATCCCAGGTCGTATAACATGCCCCTTTTGTGGATCAGCAGATGGGGAAGCATGGACTGATCCAAATGCAGCAAAGAGATCCGTCTCTGTTGTAACGCCCCAATTGACCCTCTTCACAAATCTTCCCACTTCTATCTTGGTGAGGAATTTGTCCATGCTGCGCTCGATCTTTTCTGCGTATCCAGGTACTGGGCCATGGATATCTGCTAGTCGGAGACCAAGCTTGTCACGCGTGTTGAAGCCAGATGGGAAACATGTTGCGTAAGCTTGAAGAACGTATGGAGAAGTTTCTTCCAGCGCTGAAGTGTCTGGTAGCAGGATCAAGAACTCTTCGTCGACTGTTTGGGTGAGGATTTCTAGTGCTCTGATCGTAGGCATGTCCTCTGTAAGTATTGTTGGCCATCTTGCACCAGTGACACGATTCTCAACGGTTGGTTCCCGTTTGGGACTGTTGTCTAATTGGAACATTGTAGGATACCGGGTTGGAAGATAAGTTCCTAGTATGAAAGTATAGAGCTCGCTGACTGCGGCACGAATGCGTGGGTCTTTTAACGGGGGGTCGTTGACGGCCACGACAACATCATGGTGCTGATCCAGTACAGCCTTGCGCTTTGAGATGCGGCCTAGGTATGTTTTGTCCATCTGAATAAGCTCCGATGGATCTAGATTCTCAATAGCTGGGATGTAGATTAGTGTCCACTCAATGTTATCGATATGCTATAGCAAGATAATCTCACCCATGGTAAGGTTATACTTCTCCTTTCCTCGGAAGGGACGAAGTTGTAGTGGCTCTGTTGATTCCCAGCGGAAGCCTTTCAAAGGCATGATGACTGGCTGTCTCTTTATCTCATTTCCCTTCGATATCTGACTCGACGTCGATCTTAGACCACGCGCCTGGCTCCGTCTCCATGCCCAGAAACATGCCCCCACGAATAACGCCCCAAGTAAGCACTTGGTTAACAGGCTATCATCAATAGAGAAGACATGAAGTCTGTCTTTGGAGATGCCAGCCATTTTTTGGATTAAGACAAAGTTCGCGTGACCTGTCTATTGAAGGACTACCTTTAGTCAGCGATATAGTATAGATCCGGCTGTCAACCTCGGATCCTTTGAGAGGTAAATCCACAGTCATGGCAGGATGAGAAAAAGAGAACCTGAACCTTGGAAAGGAAGAGATATGACTCCTCTCCAAATCAAGGTTACTCCGCACCAACTCGGACTCCGAGAGGGGCACGCGGCGTTGATGGGGAAATCTCCAAAGCTTTGGTCGCTCTCTATCTCCACTTTGACGGAACCATCCGATCAGAGAAATGCCTGGTATCGTCAGGAGTATAGATAAGCATAAGATATATTCACAGCGCTATATCGGCATAAAAACGAGGGTAAACCCCCAGGATTTCGTATAATAATATGCAGCCATCACCGTAACCTTATTCCATACAGACCGCCGACACGGGTATCATTATTCGGCAGTCAAACACACAACCATAACCATAAACAGCACCATGAACGCCATTAAGACCACAAGTTAGAGAAGTCGATCAACACCTTCGTTCCAGCGAAACCTCGATCGGCAAGCTATGTCCGCGCGGAGGTCCTTCGCTTTACGTCTCCATCCTCCGTGGAATGCGCCTTTCCATATGTAGCCTGAGCCACATTCTCCTTCTCAACACGACCATCCCTGTTCTGAGAACTCCCGAGCTCATTATACTCCCCTCCTCGATAATCCTCGCTCGAATCCCCCGAATCGCTGTCGACACCTTTAAGACCTAACGCGCGTCGTCGTCCTTCCGCTCGCTCGGTCAAGCTCGGTGCGCGTGGCCGTTGATGTCCGCGAGCGCGTCCGCCAATCCGAGGGAACTCCCAGAGAATCATTCGGTAGAGGTAGAGGCCAGCATCGAAGATGATCATCGCGCACCAGGGAACAATGGTGATGAGGCCGAGTAGGAACTGTGGAAATGGGAATCTGTTATTCTTGGAACATGGGGGGAATGGGAATAAGGGACGCGGGGCGAGGGACGGGAGACGAGGGACATACGAAGATTCGAACTGCCCAGCTCTCAACCTGAATGAGCTGGGGTGGGAGAATAGAGTACCACGCCATGGCGAGGGCCGTTGTGTTGATTGGCCACGAAGGAACGGATAGAGGGTTGCGCTGAAGAGCCGAGGAGAGCGATGACACTGGGGGTTTGACCTGCTATTTATTGTTCAACTTCTGACTCGAGTATCCTCGGTGCGAGTGTGGTAATCTCGGGATCACCGGCGGTGGTCTCGTGAGGTGTTGTGCCACTCTCTCTTCTTGAAATCCGGGGAAACGGGAAGGGCAGCAGACACCCTAGACACAAACGGAGTGATAAGGACAGAACAGGCGAAGAAATGCAGGCACAACTGCCTGTAAAGCAGTAAAGAGTGAGAAGTAACTAGCAGGTGCGGAGTGAACAGCACGCCCCTCTCCGCACGGTCCACGGCAGCCTGGTCGGAGCTGCCAGCTAAAGGAGATGCCGAGAAAGTAAGGAGCAAGGCGGTGTCGATGGCAGCGGGGGAGAGGGATGCGATGCAGGTCAGGGCACACGCGGTGATCTGTCAAACGAATGGATGGGAGAATTGCGGAGAGAAAGCGATGAAGAGGAGAACGAAGTGGAGCAGAACGGAGACGGCGGGACTGGAGAACATGAACCTGTCTCGATTAGGCAAATCAGCATCTACAGTGTACACTGTAGTACAGTAGACTACTGGTACTAACCTGACATATCCTGGGGTAAGAGGAGTATTATTATGCTTAAATCTACCTAGAAATATCTTAATGCGTAGCCTAGCTTGAAGCCGTGACTTACCTAGTAGTACTGCTACTACTGTGGACATGCAGGAATGGGTTGCTTTGGATTGTTGGCGCTATGGATACGAGGATAATGCAAAAGATAACGATGTCACCGTCATTGTCAGCCTCCAAGATTTTGCTGAAGGCTCATTCCTCACCGCTACCCAACATTGGTACTACTTAGTATGAGATAAGGGCAATGCCGACAACAGGGAGGATCAACAGAAAGGGAAGCCCCGACCGAAACTTGAAGGGAACTACAAGGTTACTGTGGTAAAAATGGCGTCATGGCCTGCATGTTCATCTGAAGTTATGAGAATAAAGCTGTATAGCATGCATCTGGATTGGCACGTGCTTGGAGGCTCGCTGTTGACAATGCTGATGACAACGCTGCAAGTGTCCCTCGAAGAATTGTCAACAGTGTTGTCAACAGTCCTCATCTAGGACCCCAGGTGCTGTCAGCTTCTTGGTCAAGGTGCTTCAATAGCATATAAACCTTGCATATGTGGCTATTCTTGTGAAAGCCTCCCAAGGGATTTCTGCATTTATCTACTTTATGTCTATCTCTATGAACAGGAATAGGCTGAAGAGGAGGGAAAAATCCTCGGAGTGAACTTAGAGGGTTCAAGGCCAAAGGACACGATATCGAGAATGGAAAATGTAAAAGGATAGTCAGTCAATTTATTGACAAAAAGACAGACAGAATAAGAACAGGAGACACCTCCTGTTCATTGGGCCTTTTTGGATGATTTTGTCTTCAGCTTCATGAAAAGGAACACCAGACCATACGAACTGAGAATAAATATGACGAATATAGCAGCATCTCTCCACCCGTAGTACCAATCATTCAGATTGATAGTGCGGAGGTAATCGCTTCCTTTGGTGTATTGACAGACACGGCAATCTGCAAAGTCCGTGGGATTGAACAGGTTGGCGCCAGACTTGTCGAGGTAGTCTTCCAGATAGTCGAAACATGTCATGTTAGGGGGAGGATCCAGGATCGCGAACTCAGCATCAGTACAGGTCACATCTGCATCGAAGATGGTGAAAGTAAGCATGCTTCCAACCATGTAGGTCAGAGGGTTCAGCCAATACATCCAGTATTTCCAAAACACGACAAGCTGATCATAAGGTACCAATATTCCATTGAATGAAACCATGATCCCAATCCACAAGGGATTTGCAAGAGCAGCAGCTACTGCATTGGGTGAGTATGCTGCGATAAACTGACCCAGTCCAGTGTAGAAGAACTCATATATGAGAACCACAAAGAAGCTTGCGCCGGCTTTGGTCGGGTCACTGGGGAAGCCGACTGTGAAGTACCAACAGGCAAAATAAAGCACACCACAAACAATCAGATATGGCATCTCGGACACAATGAGGGCTGTGACAAACGCTTTCCAAGAGTAAATCCGAGCCTTTTTCTCACGGGTGTCATAGATATTTCGTCGCTCAATGAAGACTGGCTGAAGCTGATTGATGACCCCCTGGGCGACGAACATCCAGACAAAAATGGTGAATAGCTTGAGCTGGAGGTCACCGACGGCATTTCCAATTTGCCAATAGGTGAACCCATTGAAGAGACCTAGGCCAATATGAAGCAGAATCTTGTTGTTGATGTAGCCAGTGTTGCGGAAGATTGAGAGATTCATCCGACGAAGAACAATTTTCATCTGGAAGGATAAAGGCATCGCATACTCCCAGGCATCCTCGGGTGTTGAGGTTGGGGGTTTTGTGGTGGATATGAGATCTTCAAGCTCACTCATAACAGCCTTGTTCTCTTCGCTATTGAGCCAAACTTTGTGCCAGTCCTGGCAGACAGCCTGGCCAGAGATAACGTCAATGATGTGCTCTGCGGGATTGGTACCCGGGGGACAATGAGCACCAAATTGGCTAAAGTAGCCATTGACGTGGCGACAGGATGGGCCAATGTCTCCGAAATAAGCTGTCTTCCCGCCCTTTTGCAAGAGCAAAAGTCGATCGAACTGCGCGAACAGTTGTGCTGATGGCTGATGAATAGTGGCTAGCACGGCTTGGCCAGAGTTTGCGAGCTTTCTCAGGAAGCGCACAGTATTGAAGGCCGATTGGCCATCCAACCCTGAAGTGGGCTCGTCGAGAAATATGAGAATCTTCGGCTTCGCCACGAGCTCTACTCCGATAGTTACTCGCTTTCTTTGCTCGACGTTAAGTCCGTAGCCTGAGCCCGGTGCTCCTATCAAAGCGTCGGCAATATCATGGAGCTCGAGCAAGTCGATGATGACATCAACGTACTCCAATTTCTGATCCTGGGAGACATCACGACTTTGGCGCAAAAGGGCAGAAAACTCTAGAGCTTCCCGAACAGTCGCAAAGGGCTCATGCACATCGAGCTGCTCGACATAGCCTGCTGACCGTTGGAAGGAGATCGGGAGCGGCTGGCCGTCGACCAATACCGAGCCTTCTATTTTCCCTTCGGTTTTTCGCTGAGCCAGAACATCCAGTAAAGTCGTCTTTCCGGCACCTGAGGAGCCCATAAGTGCTGTGAGTGTTCCGGGTTTCACCCAGCCTTGAATATTGTCAAGTAGCACTCGAGGGCCAGATGGTGTTTTGACAGTATAACTCAAATCTTTCCAAGTGAAAACAGAGTTGTTGGGAGCCAATTGTTGCTCAAGAGGAGCCAGACTTTTTGCTGGCTGGTTTCGATTCAAGGCTTGCAGGTTCTCGGGTTCTTCTTTTGTTTGTTGAGACTCTTCATCAGAGGGTGGCTTGGCCTGGTGGGAAGGAAGTCTTTCACGGGGTATGAGAAGTTGAGACCCCTTGTCAGAGCCATCACGCCATCTATTCATTCCTAAGATATTAACACACAGATAGAACACCCACCATGCACAAATGATGCCGAAATTCCGCCATAAATGGGCATGGCTGTAGGACAAGGAGCTCAAATACTCATCCCCAGTCAATGATGTTGCGCCCTGCCTTGCACCGCCAACTCCAGCACAAGAAGCAAACTGGCCATCAGTCCGGTACCCTTCTCCATGGGGAACCAAGTTGGGACCAACGCACGGCATATGCTTCAGGTGAAACTCGTTCCCCATCAATGCCTCGAAGCCATAGGAGAGCGGGTTCAGCCAGTACAACCAGCCAAACCATGGATGCATTTGGGTGTAGTGTATTTGGTATCCTGAATACATGGCCATGATTGAAATAGCGTAGCCAGAAATCTGAGATGCAATATTGAAGGATCCAAAGACGGCTCCGATAGCACGAAACAGTGAGCAAGCGCACATGTTTGTAACGAAAAGGATGAGCCAATAAGTGAAGAACTCTGAAGCGCCCATAGAAAGTCCCACCATGAAGTAGACGATGAGTGACCAAACAGTGACTTGGAGGATCGCCATTGGAACATCAGTAGCCACCTGGGCAATGCAAACTGCAGATGGATGGATATATGCGAATGATTTATGCTTGAGAATGATCGGCCTTCCTGTAAATGACTCCACAACTTCGGACATCATGGTCATGCAGTTGTATAAAACAGACCAAAACAACGCGCCACCTTTGAGAAAAATTCCAGACGAGTCATTCGGCGCCATGTAGTAAAGAGACCCAGCCACTAACGCCTGAATGAGATTTGCGCCTTGTTTGATGAAGAAGGTAGTCATGTCTCCACCGAGAATTTGATATTGGCGGACCACACATACGCAAATTTGTTCAAAAAGGCTCACTGTGAATTGGCTGCTTTGGTGATTTCTTTCCAGTCTGGCGTTAGCTTGGAAATCTTTTGAATTTTTATTTGCCTCTTCCGTAGTCGGATAGCAATACTCAGTTTGCATGGTCTTGAAAATGTGAGACTGTTGGTAGTGCGAAAGAATAGAGGTAGCATCGCGGGGAAACTTCGCTTCATACCCAGGACGAATCTGACGTTCAGTAGGGACAGTCACACCAGTTAAAAAGTCAGCAATATTCCCCCCATCGTCCCGACAAAATCCGAGATCTTCCATGAATTCTCGAGCCTGATCTTTCGGACCGTAAAATATCTGCTTCCCTTCATCTAGCACAAGAACCTTGTCGAAAAGATCGAAAATGCCATTTCCCGCCTGGTAGAGTGTCACAATAGTGGATAACCCATACACATCAGTCATCGTACGGATTCCCTTCGCCCATTCGAGTGCATTGATTGCGTCAAGACCGCGTGTACTATTATCCCAACAGTAAACGGATGCCCTTGATGCGAGACATTCGAGGATCGAGACTCGCTTTCTCTCTCCACCCGAAACCCCACGAACATACTCATTCCCAACCTTGGTATCTGCGGTATGCTGAATACCAAGGGAATTCAGAAGAAATTCAGTGGTCTCGGTGTAGGGGTCCTTCTTCGAACTAACGCCGTTGGGAAGATGAGAAGGTACTTTTGATCGTGTGGCACAATTAATTGTATCTCCCACGCTCAGTGTCGGATAAAAGGTCTCTTCTTCTGAGTTCATGATGATCTGGCCCCGATAATTCTCCGCTTCTTCATGTGTCATACTCCCAAACGAAATATCACCATCGATTGAGGAGTAGCCTGCGCGTTTATTGGACAGCATTTTGAGCAATGTCGTGCAGCCCGAGCCTGGACGGCCGAGAACGAGAAGCATTTCGCCAGGTTTAACACAGCCATGGCTTTTTTCAAGAATCGTATGCGTCGGTTTTTCTCTTGAGCGACGAATCATGCGTGCCATAGCATTGAACTGAGAAAGGGTGTTTTCGTTGATAGTGGCATCGGCGCTGATACCTTTGACAGTCAGGTTATTCCAAGTGACGCCAAGCTTTCGAGGATTATAGCCGGAATCGAGATCATCTTGATGAGATTTCTCAACAGTCGTAGCCCAATGCCATTTTTGAGCGCTTTCCGGGGAGTTGGCCCTTGTGGATGCTGGGCTCGGTGGTGAAGAGTTTTGCGTATCGGCCATAGTCAAAAGTAGAAACGCCCGCCGGGGGCTGGAGATGTCTCAAACAAAACTTAGTAAAAAAATGCAACGTTTATCAAACACATGGATTGGGGGGTGGTATCTTCATATTTATTAACACATGAGTGGGTTCGCTGCCAAGCTGCATCGGAAAAAAAATGCATCTTCAAAAGGCACACTCCGTAGGTTTAGGAGACAATATTAGGGTCCATCTGCGGGGACTTATTCGATCTGGCAAATCAATGGTTTCGATGGGAACTAAAAGTGGATAGAGCCATGCCGAAAACTCATCGGCTTCGGACTGGCAAAGTCGGACTTTCGGCCACGGTGCCATCTCTTCTATCAACAATCACATGTACCCACCTCATCATTGGACTAGATTCTCTCGCAATATATTTTAAAATCACATTAGATATGACCATTATTTATTCGAACAGTTTTCCGAAGGTACTCAGGATTAATCATAAATTTCAATTGATGAAGCAGCCTATGCCAACTTTCTATTTTCCTTCTCTCTCTCTTCTCAAGAAGCAGGGTCCTTTGCACGGACAATGGGCGAGCCTTCAAATTCTCCGAGTAAGCCAATCACCATCCAGTTACATAACCAAATGCTTGAGTTCGGGCAAATTAAATGAATATCATTGGCTCGGAAGATTACTATTTTCAGTAACTTCCGAAACTTCCGCCTCACCATGATTTCAACTCGAGGTGGGATTGAATAGTTCACACCGTCTCTCCACGTCAATGCGACCTGCATTTGTTCGTTCGTTCGGACTCCAGGTGCATGAATGTTTTATTTGGATACCATCAAGTGATTTCTGTCACGTAAGCTTAGCGTTGTTCTAGGCTCGATACGTCATCGCTAGCACTACGGGTGTACGGGATCTTTCTTCTGATTATAACGACCTGTAGGAGAACTCCCCCAGGCCGAACCCGAGGAAAATCATTACGAGTATGCCCCAAGCTCCAACATTTCGGGCCGGGGCTTTGTTTGTCGGCGGAGGACTCCAAGCAGTATGTTCTATCAATCCGACACCGCATACCAATTACTCGTTTTTCTCACGTTCCACCAGTGTGATTTGTGCCATGCAAGAAAGGTATTCAAACACCCTTTACTTCTTGGTGGCCTTGTGATTCTCATACTTTCCTGTCCCGCAGACCAAATGCGATAGACAGGCGGAATGTCGAAGCTGTGCTTCGATTGGTGTTTCATGCACCCGTTCCCGCTTAAGAGGGCGTCGACCGCGTCGAAGAGTGCAACCGCCGTGAGTCACGAATAAGTGGAATTATATAAGTATTTAACTGAATTGCCAATCTAATAGGCCCTCACATAGCGGTGTCAAAATCCATAAACAACAGCCAGGAGTCACGCAGGGACCTGGGGTCACAACCGGTGCCTCTACGCCATCGAGCATTTTTGATTCAACTCTAAGGCCACATCAAGAACCTGTTGATAAGCATGATCTGGTAGATAACTCCACTACCTTGATTCAGCAAGAGCTTGAAACGAATTCAAATCTACCCGCAAGTCGGATGCGGGCATTGGAACACGCCCTTACCATTGTTAAAGCATTCGCGACGGCATCGCATCAGGGATACCATGCACAGCACGATGAGAATGAACATAGAGATCCCAGAGAGGCATCTATAGTGGATAATATTCCACCTGAACTGCATTATACGACAATTCACGGTAGTTCCACTGCTTCTTTCTCTCTACGTAAAGTTTCAAGCTAATTTATACAGGATCAAGCAGCATGGAAGCACAAGGCCTTGTCTGGGCAGATCATCTCTCATCTCAGACTATGGAGCGAATGTCTTTAGCGATCATGAGCAACGCCGTCCGTGGTGAGATGGCCCTCCAATACAAGTTATGCTTATTTTCAAAGGCGACCACTTTTATCAGTCGATGGCTGCGAGTATGCCCGTCTGACCAGATGTCTGACTACTTGGACCAATCTCGCAAGGTGTATGGCGCTGCAACTTTGGAATGCCTTCGGAGAATTGATTTTACTCGCTCGCCAAATCTTGCCATGTTGCAGGCTCTTCTTGCGGGGGTAAGCAACACCTGCCCGTTTTGCTGAACATTCCTATTTACATTTTCTCAGGCGGCAGTTGTACAGCTTCATGGTGATACGACAAGATCATGGTTTCTGGTTTCTCTTGCATCCCGCTCTATTGTCTCTCTGGGCTATCATAAAATGATGACTTTTATGCCTGACAGTGATGAAGAAAACGAAATCCGTCGCTGTATCTACTACTGCTATTATATGGACAAAACACTGAGCATGCTTCTGCTTCGCCCTCCATCTCTACCACAGCTTCCATTCAATCCAGCGGATCTCGTTCATACAGATCCTCAGCTAGCAGTCTCAATGCATGTCAAGATCTTGGTCAAACTCGCCCGCGTCCAAGATGTCGCCTTGTCACTGGTGCTGAAGGATCCGCGTCATCAAGCACTTGCAACCAAAGAAGTCATGTTGGAGAATATTCAGACGGAGCTCAAGTCTATTGGCGATGAAATACAGCAGGTAATTCTTTTCCATTTTCACCTGGGCACATTTGACGGAATATACTTATTTTTCAGTAGTCGCGGTATCCGCCACACCGCGAACCTTCAGTTATGATTGAATGGGACACAGTTGACTTCACTTTTTTTCTCAATCGCTACTACAGTGCTTCGTCTCGACTCATATTCCTTGCAAGACAAGACTAGGCGAGAGGAGTGTTTACGATATGCACGAAAAGCTCTCCATTCGATGCAAGCATGTCAGAAGCACATATGCTCCAAGTCTAGCATTACACCCGACTATTTATTCTGGTATCGTTATTTGCCTTGACTAAAATCCAAACTACTCTGACTAAAGGCTGATAGGACTGTATTACTATACCCGCTCACCCCATTCTTTGTTATTTTCTGCAATGTTGTCGCCACTTCAAATTTGGATGATCTCAAATTATTGGAAGAAGTTACTGTCACAATTTCAAGGCTCAAAGAACAGTACATTATTGGCATGAATCTTCACAGACTCCTATCTGAGTTAATCAGTCTTTGCGCTGAACTTCATGACGTTCCTTCTAGTGGAGATCCCCACAGACCTCAGGAGGGACGGCCTTCTTGCAACCGAGCAGCACATATCCAGATGATTTCAAATGGTGACTTTGAGACTGGCATGGGCGTTAATCGACAAATTGCCTCCCTACCGACGCCTGGACAAGATGAAATGCCCTCAGATGGACTTTCCTCACTGCCTGAAAACCCATCGGTCCGTCATGAATTTGATGGTTCTGCAACAGGTTCGGCTTCTATATGGGATGACGGATTGATGTTTGAACTCTTTAACTTACAGCCATCCGTCGAATGGCTTGATATTGAGGGAGTGGACATGACTCACAATCTACATAATTAAGTGCTCGGCCATATTATGTATTTCTCTAAATCTGAAAATGCCGAATTAGCATTTTGTGCTCCCGTCGAGTATTTGTGACAGTTCCAAATTCCTCTTGATACATACCCGATCCTCATCGCGACCCAAGCGAACACATCGACAATTTCTGAGGGACCAGTTCCAAAAGGTTTTGACGGCTCTAAGTCTATAAGCACAGCTTCATGCACGGATAAAATTAGCTAGTATGAGTGCGCCATTCAGAAGGTATTGAAAATGAACACCTCCGAACGAAATAAGGTATAGCGCGGGATCTATGCTTATTATCAAGAACTACCAGGTCACTGCACTCCCATTTGTTCTAGTTAGCGAGGTGGATCACAATTGTCCATGAATTTCACCCCCCACTCTCACATCTATTCAAATTGACATTTTGATTCAAGCCGTGCCAACTGATGACACGCAAACCACCAACGATGACGCCCAATGTTGCTTTGATCACAGGCGGAGGTACGTTGACTCATCTGTATCACAACTACTCGTCCAGTAACAATATCGCTTTTCTGTATTCTAGCTAGTGGAATGGGGCTGGCAGTTGCCACGGCTTTGTCCACGCGCCCTAATTGGGAGATTCACATCCTTGACATCAACTCAGAGCGTGGATCGCAAGCTGCCAATTCTCTTGCTCACACAACCTTTCACTAAGCAGATGTCACAAAATACAATGTCCTTGGCGAAGCTTTTCAGCAATGTTTCCAGGCTCATAAGAGATTGGATTTTGTATTTGCCAATGCTGGCATGATCGAGCGTTTCAACTTCTATGAATCCCACCCTATCGGTAAGGGGGATACTGTCACTCCACCACCTGAGCCCGACCTGCTGTCAATCGATGCCGACTTGAAAGGGGTGATTCTCACTACCTATCTGGCGCAGCATTACTTTCGAGCGTCGCCGAATCAGGGTATGGGTGCGAGTATTGTAATGACCGCTAGTTGCGGCGGACTTTATCCGTCGTTTTATTCCCCACTATACTCTTCAGCTAAATGTGAGTTTTCCTTTATCGAGTGGCATTTTTGACATTTCTTTCTATTCCTTTGGTTTTAATTTGCGGTACGTTCTCGTGAGAAGTCAAGTTCACTGCTGATATCTCAATTAGTTGGTGTGGTTGGTTTCATGCGGTCGATCGCCCAGCACTTCAAAGCGGGTGGCATCCGTGTCAATTCCATCTGTCCCGGAATCGTGCGCACCAACCTTGTGGATCAGGATGGGTGGAACGCTTTCCCTCAGCACCGATTCACAGGAATGGAGACTGTAGTCCGAGTGGTGCTTCAGCTTGTGGGCCAAGGTGAACCAGCGGTTCAAGGTTTGACTGATGCACGAGGAACTCATTTACCCAGGGAGAGGCTTTTCGGGCTTGCGGTGGAGATTTCAGATAGTGGGGTATACTTTCGCGAGCAACATGAGTTTTGCGATGACGGTATGCGGGAGGTAATGGCTGCGACAGTTCTCGAAAACCAAGTGGGGGCTATATTAAACAAATAACTAGAGCGAGGTAACTATTCTTCGTAATGGTGAACCAATTTCCTCTCTGCCAGCAGATCAGGCTAGCTATTTGAAATAAAAAATAAGCTTGAAGAGCTGTGTTCTGGTTTTAAAGAGCGCAAATTGGAGTGAAATGGAGGTATGTAGTAGAGGCTGAAAAACGGAGTCGAGCTTGATTGGTTCGAATAAATGTACAATGTCAAGAAGTAGTACGGATTACCATTGAAGTACTGAGACAATGCTCACAGCACTAACAATCACAAATGGCTGAGATTCGACCCAAGTCTGAGCGAAGCTCCACGGCTGCGGGCCACGCCACGCCAGCCCGTCCCGCGTCCCGCGATCGACGGTCCCAGACTTCAACAGCTGTCAAATCCAGAAAGATTGACCCATCAAGTCGTCTGCGGGGGGCCGAAGGATTTAGCGCGAGACTACAAGATGCGTTGGTGGGAAATAAGTTGTAATTTCGAAGCAAACAAAAAGTTCTTTCTGGCAGGAGGTAATTTTGACAAGATCTGCCCACGAGCAGAAGAAACCACTTTATGTGTCCCAAGGCCGCGAGGGCATAGTCTTTACAAGCTTTGCCTCGCGTGATTTGTTCCAGCTGCTCTCGGCTTCACGCAATTGCATCCGGTAGCTGTGAATCTTCACCATGCATCATGCGAAACAACGGCTCCCAGACTGTGACGGCCCGTTTCGTGATGTGCCCGTTGCCATACTCGGGCATGGGGTAGTAGATCAGCTTGTCAGCTGAACATTCAAGTGTTTCGCCAGCCATTCCTGTGGTATCTTCGAGAAATACCTGGTATGCTTTCAAGACTGTTTTCACGGGGGTCAGACTAAGTGAAAGTTTATGGATCAGCACCTTATCGACAAGCCAGGCTCGGGATACGAGTAGCGTTCTCACCATTCAGGAGTAACAGCCGCAATCATCTCGGGGGGGGGACGATAGGAGTTGCCACCATTCCGGGCATCACGACATTGATCAAGATATTCTCTTTCTGCTTCAGTAGTGGGGCCATGCCACGCACAAATTGGTTTACTGCCGCCTTGGTGCCGCAGTAAACTGGATAAGACTCGTGGGGAAAGACACCCCCAATACTTCCTGTGATCACAATGCGACCTCCAGGCTGAGGATTATACCTCATGAAATGCGTCGCCAACTGGGTCCCGTAAACAACTCCCTTATAGTTGGTATCCACGACATCCAATTTGGGGGCCGGAGGAACCTCATCAACGCTTTTATTCTTCCAATCGTACATATAGATAGAAGAGGTATCGACGATACCAGAATTGGCACAAAGCGCATCAATTCGGCCCCATAATTTGCGAACCTCGCAAAAGACGTCCTTATACTGATCGTAGTTTGACACGTCAGCGGGGAAAAACAGAGCGTTGCCCCCAGGCAGGGTCTTGAGAAGAGCCTCCCCCGCTTCACGACGTCGGCCTACACAAGCGACCTTCCATCCGCGTGTGAACAGATCCGTGGCAATATCAATTCCCATTCCGGACTGCAGATTACTAGTCAGTGAAACCTCAAGAAATCCCTATGTCTTCGAGGTGTACTAACAGTAGCTCCAACAACAATGGCCACACGCTCTTCCGCATGGGAGCCCATATTGGAAGTATGTATATGTTGGGTGTCACAAATTTCAACTGGTTTCAAGCAAAATTTTCTAAATCACAAAAAATACTACTCATCATTAGTTTGGATTACGTAGTACAAGGACATACATTTTCGATCTAAAATACCGGTGGGGCTGTGAATTTGTTTGCATCTACCCGGTCCTTCTCGAATGAGTGTGGCTAGCGCAGAGCCCAATTCTGAACAATTTTCGCTTTTTTTTTATCAAAATCAAATAAATAGGGATCAAGATACGAATATCCTTGCCCTTTTAAGGGTGCATCTTGCGCCTAGCCATTTCTAGGAGGATCCTACAAAGCCAATAATTATGGGCCTGCCTCTTTTTGTACATCAGTGACCAACAGTTCGGGGTCGTCGACTGAATTTCAGGTCGCGTGTTTCCCTGTCATGCTGCACGGTCCTATTAATTGCCGTAGGTTGAGAGCCTCCTGTTGATCGTCTAGGAAAAATTCCTTTGCATGGTGGGGTGGACAATTGCCCCCGTCGAATGCAGGGAAGCTTCGTGACTAGCTCCTGGCTGCGAAATGACTATTGCAAGCTTTACTCCCTCCACTCCTTTTAATTTCTTCAATTTCTTTCAGGTCTATTTGCGTTGCGCTATCGTCTGATCCTCGTCACCGAGTATGACAATCGATAACAAGAAATATCAGGGGCATGACACTGTTCGTGCTTCGGACTTGGAGTCATCGTCTCCAAATTTTAATGATCCCGTGGCTGAACCTCCGGTTGTGACTCTGAAAACGTGGATTATTTCGTGTGTATGTCCTTCAACTGACTTCAAATCGTGGCGATCAAGCTAAATGTGCATTTTAACCAGATTCTCTCTTGCGGTTATGGCCTTTCTTTCTTCCCAGTGCCTGTCGTGGCTGCGATCGGTACCTTAATTTCGGCAGACATGGGGGACCCCACCGGATATATTTGGTTTGTCCCTGTAAGAAATTCATTCGAATACTTTGAGGATGTGAAACTCAAGTTTAACGTAATGTCAGGCATGGACCATCTCAATTACCTGTGCCTTCTTGATCTTGTATGTCTTCTAGCGAAAATTATTCTTCGCGACTCAATACTTACTTATTTTAAAGTGGTCCGAACACAGATCTTCTGGGCAGACGTTGGTTTCTGGTATTGGGTAATTTGGTTTGCTTCGTTGGGCATGTTATTGTCGCTTCTGCCAAAACTACAAACCAAGTCATCGCCGGATTGGCTGTCTCTGGATTCGGCGGAGCCAACTGCCAGGTAAATATTCTTTCCCTTGAAACTTGAGGTTTTACTTAACTTGTGCTGATAAAACTATTTGCTCGAGTCATTTAGATGGCTGCATTTGTGCTACCTGAGCTCCTACCAAATAAATGGCGTCACATCGGTGTGGTTATTGCCGATCTCACTGTTTACGTTGCCGTGATTGTTGCTCCAGTCACCGCAAGATATGGCTATGAGCTGGGCACTTGGACATGGAACTTCTGGGGAATCGCTATCTTCCAAGGGTCTATCATTTATTGGCCTGTTGCTGCTCTACCATCCCCCTAAGCACCCGTATGTTTCTACTACCTTCTTGGGTTGAAAATATCTTAGGGCTAACAAATTTTCTAGTCTCGGGGTCTCATATCTAGACGCATTCAAGTCTTTAGACTATGTTGGTAAGTATCCGATCAATCCAACATATTAGACCCAACTAATCGATTTTATAGGCGCGTTGCTCTTCATCGGTGGTGCTGTCCCCTTCCTGATGGGTATTGTGTGGGCTGGCGTCTACGACTCCAATGATGCACATGTTGTCGCCCCCTTGGTCGTCGGTGCTGCCGTTCTCGTCGCATTCGCTCTTTGGGAAACCTTTGGTCACCTCAAATATCCGCTTACTCCGACTTACATCTTCTCCAGCTCCTGGGGCCGTGACTTTACTGCACCTGTAATCGCACTTGCTGTTGTCAACATGTTCTACTATTCCTCCAGTATCCTGTGGCCCCAGATGATTACCGTGTTCTACACAAATGGTGGCGCAGACTGGAAATACTCGATCATTCTGTCCCTGCCGCAGGGGTTTGCTATTCTTTTCGGTGCCCTTCTGTTATCTGTCCTTGGTAGCAAGCTTCGAAACTGGCAGTGGCAATTGACTGGATCAGTCTTCGTCATGGTGCTCTTTGGTAGTTTGCTAGGTATCGTAACACCTGAGAATAAGGGTACCATGATTGCGTTTGTTTTCCTCTCGCAGGCTGGTTTTGGCTGGGCTATTTATCTAAGCATTGCCATTACGCAGATGGGTGTTGAACAAAAGAATCTTGGTGTCAGTGGGGGTATATCGGGGTGTATTCGGTTTGCAGCCGGGGCAGGTAGGTCTTCTTTTTTTTTCATCTGCATTGACGTGGAAACGTCAGAGTGCTAACCGTCATCCTCTGTAGTTGCAACTTCCATCTACCAGACTGTATTCACCAAGAGTCTTACGAAGTATATGATGGAGTATATTCCGAGTGCAGTTATTGCCGCTGGTCTGGACGAATCGAAGGTCGCCGACCTCATGACTGTTGTGTCAGGAGGTGCTGCTGCTTTGAAGGAGTACAGCCCAGCTGTTGCAGCTGCAGCTGAAGCCGCTCTTGGCCATGCATACTGCAAAGCTATCTTGTAAGTTTCTTCTGGCAGGCCTTGAAAAGATTTGATCAAATAGTTCAATATCTAATGATCTGTCCAGCGTGGTTGCTATGGTATCCATGGCGTTTGGTATCCTGGGTTTGGCAGCTTGCCTGTGTTGCAAGGACGTGGATTCGAAGATGACAAACAAGGTATGAATTTCGCTCTCATTTCGTGCTACCTTTCATCAAACTAATCTGGTTCAACTCAGATCGAGGTCTATCTCGAAAATACTGATCTCTCCGACCGAAACAAGTACCACTAGATCGATTTTGTTGTCGGGGGTAGCCAAAAGCATTATGGCTTGCGCATTCTTAGCCATGCAAAGCCAAACGCGTGTGAGGATTTTGATTTTGCAATATGCTAACATAATTAGCTGAATAGAGAAACTCAATCCTAATGTCAATGGAGTAGTTGTCTCCTTCGATTAACGACATTTACGCATCCCGATTGTTGAGCAAGATCTCATCAGCGTCTAGTTTCCATAAATTCACATAGTTTCCTCCTAACAAGAAAACACAAGTCCCCTGTCTTTTTTTGAGGTAATTATCCCAAGTTTCCTACCAAATAATGGAGTTGTAGGGCAGTTCAAGTTTATAGTACATAGCCGACCAATCACAAAAGCCCCACTGCCAACTTGGAACTTTTTCTTAAGCTCAGTTCAGCTCAGCTTCTCTTTCAACTTCAACAAATTCCTCTCTACTCTGCAAGAATCCCCCAAAATGGCCGACGAATATAAACCCCCGGCCCTTCCGGCTCCTTTCAACAATACGAACCCTGCACCCGAGCTCCTCACACAAGGCGCCGAAGGCCACCTCTACAAGACCTTCTCGCTCGACCCCTCCATCCCCGCCGCCCTCAAAGTTCGCCCTTCCAAGCCCTACCGACACCCAATTCTCGACCGTCGGCTCACTCGGCAACGAATAATTCAAGAAGCACGCTGCCTCACTAAACTGATTCGCGAAGGCGTCAGTGTCCCCGCCGTTCTCGCGCTCGACTGGGAAGGACAGGGCGGTGATGAAGCCGGGTGGGGAGGAGCATGGTTGATGATGGAGTGGATTGATGGGCCTGTTGTGCGCGTAGTGCTAGAACAATGGGAAGCCTGGATGAAGAAGAATGCCTCATCCCTTGACGCCGCACAGTTGGAGCAGGAGAATGCTCGCGTCAAGGCCCTCTTACGGCGCATCGGCAAGACCATTGGTGGGCTACACAAGGCCGGTGTCGTCCACGGCGACTTGACCACGAGCAACATTATGCTTCGCTTACCGACGGAGGACACTGAGGCTGAGACCACACCGACGGGCGTTTCGACGCAAGGCGAGGTTGTCCTGATTGATTTCGGACTCGCATCGCAGAGTGCGCAGGATGAGGACCGAGCTGTGGATCTGTACGTGCTGGAGCGGGCGATTGGCAGTACGCACCCGCGATCGGAGCCTTTTATGGAGGAATTGGTGCATGGATACCGTGAGAGTCACCGGGGCGCTACTACTACGCTCAAGAGGCTGGAGGATGTGCGGATGAGAGGTCGCAAGCGGAGCATGCTCGGATAAAGAGATTCGTCTTTTTCATGCACAGAACCATGTCCCACTCTCCAATGCTTTCTCCCATATGGATAGATTTGATCTCAACTGGATCCTCAAAACGCCACGCTGAATCATGAATATGAATGTTTAACGACCACCCGAGTTTCCGTTCCTCACGACCGGTTCTTGACGCATGTGCCCACGTCCGCCAGTGCGAAATACCCTTTGTTTTCAACTACTCCCCGATCCTTCACCACGGCTGTATACTTTACCACCCACTGTGGCTCGACGTCACCCTGAATGCCATCACTTCCCTCTGGCGTAGAGGCCAGGATTCCCGCACCCCTCTCGCCAGGGCCTAGGAGTTCCCTCGTCGTGCCGACGGGAAGGATATCATTGCAGTCGTTGTGGGTGAGGAGTTGAATCTTCTCCTCTTTGGCGTATAAAATCAAGGACTTGGGTACAACACAGCAGTCCTTGAGATTGATCTGGTCAACGGAGGGCTTCACCTTGGTGTGAGGCAGGAATCGAGCCAAGCGCTCACTGCCAAACTCCGCCACACCTAGCTGGGCAATCATGCCTTGCTCATGCAGGGATTCCAAGACCCGCCATGTTTGAACCATACTGTCGAAATCGTCGGCGGGCTCGCCGGTACTGACTTCGTTATCCTCGTCCTCGCTGTCGTCGTCTGCATCGAAGAGAATCCCCGGGAACGAGACGATCAGCAAATCGATAGACTTCACATGTAGCTCCTTCAATACCAAATCAATGGCCTCCCTGGTGTGTGCGCATCGCCTCGACGCGGGGATCCCCGGTAGATAGAACAGCTTCACGGTAATATCGTATTGATCCCGTTCCTCTGAAAGTCCGGGCTGTGAAAAGTCGATCGCAGGGATGTATAGATCTCCGGCGGCGTTCCCGGTCCATGAGCGATGGTCCTGGTGGTGCTTGAGGTCGCTGCTGGAGCCATTCGAATTCCCATTCGCGTCCCCATTGGTATGTCCATTTGCGCGCGACTCCGTGCCGTTGCCTTGGAACTGCTGGGAGGCGAGGAAGTTGGAGCGGAGGGATGTGATCAGCTCAATATTGGATTTTTGCGTCAGAGGCTGGCGAATCACAGATGGCCTACCGCCCTGCATGAGATTGCTATTGAGTCAGGTTAGTCTTCTTCCTTTTTTTTCTCCATCTCCCCGGTCTCTCGGTTCTAATCGCATTCGTCGGGTCAGCCACTTACGAGGTGGAGAGGATCAACTTCATGGTGGCGATGATCTAATGATCGGCGGGATATAGGAATACAATCGGAGCGTATTTCCAAGGCCTCTAGAGAGGTGGAGGAGAAGGGGAAGAGGACTAAATAGAAGAAGAAGAAGATGGGATGCCCCGCTGGGAATGCCCGGTGACTTCCCCCACCTCCGCGATTTGAATGACAAATCAAGGCATTCACTATGGACCAAATCTACTTTCTACTTTCCACGACTATCTATGGGGCTATTTACCCTCTACTTGATCAAATACTGCTATTTATGAATACCTAGTTAATTAACACTCAATGTATTCATCATTCAAGTGCCCCCCATCAAAGACCACTACCACTAACTAGTTACTGTATACTATACTCTTCCCACTAGACATTCGTACCCCGAACCATGATGGGCAAATCGCCATTCCCGTATGTCGCTGCAACACCTACCAGGACGGTATATACGTTAGCCATATATCCGAGTCTCCTTACTTAGTAGTTGAGTTTCAAACCCAAGCCTGAGTTCCTAATATGTTTCATACATACCTCCAACCAAACAATCATCGCTAGAACAGAGAGCGCAATTACCAATCACCCATTCAACAGCGACAACAACATCAGAACAGAGGGATTGAGCATAATCAGTGGTAGTTGAGTAGCCTGTGATGACAGTATTACCAGATTCGCACATGTCTGTTCCCCCCCAATATCTCTGGCGCCGCTCCACATGACCACGCTCCGCGAGCTCGCAGGAAATTCGCACACGCCGAGTTTCTCCAACCTTGGCCCATCCACCCCCTCCAGTAGCCACCTTGTGCTGGCAGATAGAATTATAAAATGGCGCCAATGATGAATTATCTGCTATTGAAGACTTGAGATGTCAGATACAGCGTATGATCAAGGAACAAGGTCCACTGGTACCAGTTGAACTACCTTGCGTGCCGTTAAATTTCTCCTAGATATTGTAGACACAGTCAGGACTGCGATACAATACACCCACCACAGCACTCAGTGTGTTCAAATACAGAACCTTCACTGGCACTTACTGGAATTACTAGAGCCGAAGTGGTAAGGCTTCTACTCATGAAAAATATAATCGCCAGCGTGCGCAAGAATGGTTTATCTGCCATATCTTATGGTGATGCGGTTGACTTGGTACTGGCAAGGCAGCTAGCTAGTCTCTGGAGAATTATGATATATTTCTCTAGTGTATGAGACACGGTAAAAGTGAATGCTTTTCGTAGACCGGGGAATGCATAGAAATTTATACTATCCGTGTGACTAGTATTCTCCAAGAGCTCTCTTTTCATCATCCTCAATTTTCTAAGTTTTCAGTGTATGTTTGTACGGGCTCCTTTCTCTGCCACTGTCTCACCAATATTTCGCTAATATATCAAGTTCTCTGTAGCTATATACAATATCTCCCATTGAAGTCTACGGGTAGAGTAACATGCGACCCTTCTATGGCTCTGATCCACCAATAGGGCTCATAACACCGATTCACACAGTCTTCCCGATCCATATCTAGGCAAATAGATCGACCAGTGAAACCAGTGGAACTGGTTAATAGACGGACCTGTCGTTGACTTTACAATTTAGCCTATAGGATACACAAGTTTTCGGTACAACCTCGAGCTCAACTCTTGGCCCATTGGACTGGATTTAAGACTCACTCCATATGCAACTATCCTAATATTATATGGTACTAGTACTACTTGAAGGTGATCATTCGGAAGAGAGGATTTTGCCCAATTGGATTATGCAATTAGGTGTACAATTTCTCGGCATCTAATGGGAAAGTGCGGGAGTCCGAGTTGGGTGAAAATGCTGAAGGGTGAGCTGCTGATATTCCCCGGGTATAGCAATATTCAAGTACATCCACAGTATCTGCCTTGTAATACCTAAGTGAGTTTGAGACGACCCTATTTTCTAGAGGGACTGATAGGTACTTGGATGAATTTCTAGTTCTGCTGAAGAAGATAATCCACATATCAGGTTCGGGAGCACCAAGTGCCACTGCCAAGTATATCGGGAAATTGCAGAAGAACACAGCAGAGCTGGCTAATCCTCATCCACCGTTGGATCCCAGTCTGTCGGACAATACTCCCCCGTATCCAGCAATTTCATATCATCCGCCGATAATTCGAAATCAAACACCTCTGTATTCTCCCGGATTCGGTGGGGCGTCACTGACTTGGGCAATGGCAGCAAACCCTATACATTCGATAGATTAGCCTGTCTTCTTCTCATCGTTGCCTTCTCGTATATCATGATCCTCTCCACTCACCATCTGCAAGCTCCATCGAATCATCACCTGGGCCGGTGACTTGTTATATTTATTCCCGATTATCTGCAGCACAGGCTCATCGAGTCGTTCTCCATGCGCGAGAGGCGAATATGCCTCAACAATGATGTTTCGTTTCTGCAGCCATGCAATGATATCCGAATGGTCTAACCAGGGATGCAACTCATACTGTCCGACTGAGATCTCGCCCCGCCTCCGTTCTCGATATACGCCTCCAGCTCTTCAAGGTGGTGGATTCCGTAGTTAGAAACCCCGATAGATCTCACCTTGCCGGATTTCTGGGCTTCAACAAGAGCTTCCCATGCGCCGAGTCGGGCAGTCTTACCGCCGTACGGTGCATGGATGAGAATTCTGTAGTTATACATGTTAGCCAACGGTAGTATTAACGGGATTGGCTTGGTCCCCTGGCCCGAACTGATTTACAGATCAAAATAATCCTGTCCTGCCTCTCGTAGACTGGAGTTGACGGCTTGTTTGGTCTGCTGGTAACCCATTGATCCCGGAGGAATCTTCGTGGTCAGAAAGATCTCAGATCGGTCGAGTCCCGAGTTCTGGATCGCGCGGCCACAGCCTTTCTCGTTGCGATACATGATCGCTGAGTCGACCTGGCGATATATGCATTAGTTTGGATAGGGAGGAGATCGGCCATCCGAGTAAGCTACTTACATGGCGGAATCCCACATTAAGGGCCTCTGCGGTGGCTTTCTCAGTAGAAGATGGATTGCTATTCAATCAAGGGTGTCAGATAAGTCCAAATGTGGGGGATGTTGATACCCACATCATATACACCTATAATGACAGTAATGCACCATATTAGCTGCAGCTCTGAGTATATCAGAAGGCCTTTGAGGACTTGGTACGATATTCAGGCACTCTCGATCACCCCCTCTCGGAGAACAGCCAGCCAAGGTCGGATGAGGGGAACTTACCCCATACCCAATAGCGGGGATTTCATGGCCGGATAGCATTCGGCGGGTAGACTGGAGGGTCAATTTGGCCGCCATTTTGCAAGATTCGCGATAGGTTTCGACAATTGCAAGAGGTTGTCTAGGTCACGAAGCTAGAAAGACCGAAGTGCGGACTTCCATGCGGCCTCGGAGGCGATGAGATCATAGTTACTATGTGGGGGCAGGGTAGTCAACGTCAGCCATGGTGACCGTGGAATGCTAGTATACACATTCGCGATTAATGATTGCCCTCGAGAATCCATGCATTCCTTCTTCTTGGTTTTGACTGTATTAAACTAAATTGCAATACAATTTCTCTACCTGGCGAGCCCAGACCTAGTATCGAGGAAACCCCGCTAAGATCCATTTATCCTACGATGGATTGAAAAGAGTAAGTTCAAAATCATCAAAAACATGTATTAGAATCGATGTACGTTCTATGGGTCCAGCATCACCTATCTATGTATACAGTACATGACACCCTTCTCTTCTAGCCTGCAGGACATGATCTAGATCGCCCTCTGCTGCTCTTTCTGCTGCTGGGCCTCAGCCTCCTCCTGCGCCTTGCGATCAGCCTCGCGCTTCAGCTGATCAGGACGGCGGACAGCGATGTCCTTAGGACGGAAGTCACTGAACAACTGCTTGAGCACATTCTCAATGATCCAGCAACCACCGTAGTCGAAGATCATTAGCACGGTCAGGGTAATCTTGAACTCGTTGGTGAATGGTACCAGGCGCAACTTCTCGTTGATCTCGGGCACGAACTCGGTCGCGCAGGAGAATGCGACGCCCGATGCGGCAACAAGACCCCAGTACATGGCCTTGTTCTCGCGAATGGACTCGCGGAAGGGACGGCCCTGGTAGTTGATCGAGAAAGTGGAGATTTGCTGGATCAGTTGGAGGAGGTAGATGGCGCTGTTGAGAAGGGAAGGCTCGAATTCACCCTCGAGATCGACGTTGTCGTCTCTCCTGTAGAAATCGTTAGTTTGCTTCCATGGTGAAATCGCGGGTATATGAACGTACGGTTCGGTCTTATAGACATAACGCGACAGGTAGATCAAAGTCACAATGTGAATAGCAAATTGTCCAAGAACGGATCCAATGATGTAGACATTGAAGATGTTTGGCTGCGGGCGCTCCTTGGAAAGACCCTCGACAGACTAAAAATTGGTTAGCATGGGCGACTACAACAAGTGATTAAGGGCAACTAACCTTGGCGCGGGAGATGGACAGGAAGCAAACACTCATCAGCATACCACTGATGGTAACCTGACCATCACCGAACTTGATACCGTCGAGATAGATAACACTGAGACTGTAGGCGCTAATCAAGCAGTTCAACGCAAGAATCTTGTACATCTGAATCGTAGCAACCAGAGTGCAACGACCTTGGCGGAGAATGTTCGGGATAGCAATGACGTTAGCCAATTTGCTAGTGAAGGGTGCGGCAACGGAAGCGTCTCCAAGCTTGATGGTCGGGGGCTCGCTGTCATCCAGCTCTTGTTCCAACATCGACGAAGTGAGCTTATCAGCAAGACCGGCGGCAGCCTGCTGGGCCTGCTGCTGTCTCTGCTGCTGGGGAGTCAAGTTCGATTGCAGGGCCTGAGCACCGGGCGAGGTGATGGTGGGGATCTCCTCACCCTTACTACCGGCAGCGATCGCAGCGGTGCCCTTTCGCTGAGCTTCTCTCTCAATGGCCTTCTGGTAGTGCGGGTTGCTAGGACCAGGCGGGTAGATGTGAGCAATCTGGGCCGGTACAGGAGGAGCGGGCTGATTGAAGCGCTGCATCATGCCAACTTGCTTCTCATAGAGCTCCTTCATCTTGGTGGTTCGGTAGTGTTCGGCGATCTTGGTGAGGTCCTCCTGAGATCCATTGAGAAGAGCAACACCGACGTGGGCCTGCTTAAGAGCACCGACATCGTTGGTACCATCACCACACATCAGAGTGGTGTAGCCAGCATCCTTAAGACCGAGCAGAATATCCTCCTTTTGCTTGGGGGACACACGGGCATAAACCCAGGTGTGACGGAGGAGATCGGGCAGGGCTTTCTGACCCTTGAATTTAGCCAGAGCATAGCCGGTAATACAGATGTCCTTGGTCCTGATGATCTCAGGGTCCAGGGGCTTAGTGGGATCAACATCGGTATTCAGCTTGTCGTCGATTGTACGCCAAACCAGTCGGGTTCCAGAGGTATCATTTTCAGGGGCATCGAGGATAACGACCTCTCGGTCGACAATCTCAACCTTGCGTGCGACATGGACAGCAGTCAATGGGTTGTCACCGGTAATCATAACGACACGGTGGCTGCTCTCATTCAGCATGCGGACGGACTTGATTGCATCATCCTTCAGAGGACATTGGAGGACCAGGAAACCAGCGAAAATCAGCTCGGACTCGATTTCTTCACGAGAATAGTTGTTGACACGATTCTGAGAAATCTCGGCCTCGGTAGAAAGATACTTATAGGCGAGAGCAAGAACACGGGCGCCATTGCGAGTGAAGTGCTTGAAAGTTTCCTCGTAGTTAGGAGGAGGGTTGACCAGCATTCTTCTGATAGTCTCAGGGGCACCCTTGACACCAACAAAGGTGGCCTTGGCTTTCTTCGAAGTCTTCTTGTCGTTGGTGGTCACGGTGGCAATAGTACTCTGGCGCTTCAGGGCAGAAGAAAACTGGAATCTTCTCTTGACTTGAACGGACTCGACCGGGCGAGATGCCACAACGGGGGCAGATCCCTTGCACGAGAGGGTGTCATTTCTACCCAAGGTCCATCCGAGCCAAGAAAGAGTGGCCTTCTCCATGGGGTCACCGACAACTTCGCCTTCATCCAATTTCACCAAGGCGTGAGCACTAGCAAGAACAAGGGTCGTATCGGGGCCAACAGCGGTAGGCTGGAACAGTTCGGTGTGGGCACCATCGGCCTCCACCTTGGCAGAGACTTGGCCAAGGGTGATTCCAGCGATACCGTCAACGACAAGATCTTCTCCAGTCAAAGTACCGGTCTTATCGAAGCAAGCGACATCGACACGTCCAGCGAAGGGAATGCGGAAGGGCTCGGTGCAGAAGATCGCAAACTTGCTCAGAGCAGCAAGACTGGTGTTGACGGCCAAGCTTAGCTCCATAGGAAGCTCCGGAGGAACAACGCTCGTGACGATAAGCACACAGTCCAAAAGAAGCTTGGATCGCTTGCGATCCTTAGCGACACCCTCTTGCCAGACATACCAAGAAGCGGCAATTGCGAAGATCAGGAGGAACAGAATGAAGAGCAAAGCTTCAACATTGTTGGCGGAGACACGCTCAGTGGAGTAAATCATAGTGCGGACAAGGCTACCCTGGCTGGTCTCGAAGCCAGTCTTAACAACCACGCCCAAGGCGCCGTTATCGGGGGGCATTGTAACGCCGTTGGCAATGTTCTTTAGGGTCTCTTCTCCGTTGGTGTTGGGGTGGGTGACTTGAAGGACCTTGGTTCCACCATGCACGAACGAATTCTTGTCCATGCCCTCCGGATCAATCAGATCCTCACCGGGTCGAAGCTGAACCGAGTCCTTCAGGAGCGGGGTACTCTCACCAGAAAGCATTGCCTCGTTGACAATGACACTTCCCTCAATCAGGAGAATATCACAAGCAACGCCACCATCCTCCTTGGTGCGGTTCACCGACATCAAATCGCCAGGAAGAAGCTGATCGCTGGTGATTTCACTCCACTTGTTCTCACGGTAAACCCAGACGTCGTAAGGCTTGATGCTCATTCCACGGAACTCATTTAGAGTACGCTGGCGCTGCCACACAACGGTGCTTTCAAAAGCGACGAGCATGAACAGCGTGAACAGGGAGTAGTACCAATATTCATCCAGCATCCACAGTCCAACACAGAATATCTGGAACACGAAGAACGGGGCGACCGCATGCTCCTGGAAGAGCTCGATGAATCCGGGAACGGGAATATCGAAAGTGTTGTCACCGTAGTGGTAGTGCACGCGATCAACCTCGGCCTTGGTGGTAAGACCCTTGCTCTGCTGGAAGTACTGGAGAGCGGGCTTTGGCTCGGCGTCGAGAACATAGGACAGAGGGGCGAAAGAACGAGTTTCGGGGTAGTAAAGAAAGCGGCGCTTCTGGAAAAGGAACGACAGAGTCTTCTTGCCACCGGAGTTATCGTGAATCAGAGTGCAGACCTCGGCGGAACCGGCGTTTGTGACGGGGATGACTTTGATCAGGCGGGCGGAATCGATGGAGTTGGCTCTAGTGGTGGTGAACAGAGTGCCGATGTTGATATTCCATTTGGTCATCAGCCAAAGAAGCGACTGAGCAGTGATAATAGACCCCGCAAAGACGAAGGTCCATTCCTGGCCCTGGATGTAGGTGTCATAGCGCTCAGGGGAGAGATAAAAAGCGAAGAAAGCAGGCCAGATAATCAAGAAAGGCCAGACGTAGGTATGCAATTGCAGAGGGAGGGGATTATGCAGAGACGCATGTTCAATCTGGGGGGTCATCGGCGAGTTTCGCCCTGGGGAAGATTGTTTAGTTGGAGGCGTTCACTTGGGGAGGGGGGTCATCGATCCAGTGAATCGGAGGGGATAAACGATGGGAATCTCACATGGTGGCAATCTAGGACCGCGTTCTGGGTCGGAGAGTAGACAAATTAGAAACGCATAAAGAGACCGCTCGCAAGAGAACCTTCCAACGGGTAATGCCTGAAAGAAGAAGCCACCTTGGATATAAAAATGATTCCAGAGGGTTCGCCCCCCCGACGCGCTAGGCGCTTACTAAGGGTGGACCCTGCGCGCCATTTGGCGCCGGAACCTTAAGGCAGTAATTCTCCGATGCCTGTGTACATAAGAAGGCAACTACTAGTTAGTAGTTTGGTAACCCCATCTCATTAATGTTTTATTGTATATGGTCCTGTAGGCACTCAATGCCCCGGTGAGTCATGGCTGGCATCAAGTTGACACCAAGTTGGTGGCACAAACCGAGTCCTCCAGCTATATATATCCTGGGATAGTATTTCAACTCGAAGTTCCGAACTTGAATCTGCTCGTACCTAGCTGTGGAATGATACTAGTGCTCATATACACTAAAGTACTACTACTGGTGTGTAGTAGCACTAGCTCAAAAAGTTTTGAACTTCAAGTTGAAGGTCACTGGCACTGGCAATTGTACCCATCGATACATGCCAGTGGAGAAACTTGAATTTTCTATACAAGATACTAGTACATTCATTCCAAGCTCCTATTTCTCCAACTAATTTCATTTAAATGGCGGAGTATCCGAAAAAAGAGTTGCCATTCTTCTATTGACCAGTCAGCGCTCTATAGACCAGAGAACCCGAAAGAACTTCAAGTATGAAGTAGAGAATTCCCACTTACGCAGATGGGTACTGAGCTCCTTCAATTTCCAAACTCTCTGCAATAGCCCTGATATCTTGAACTTCTTGGCTCTCCAACTGTATCGACGTAGATGCGGCATTTTCCTCCATTCTCTTCGATGATTTAGTGCCTGGAATAGGAAAGATGTGTGGTCCTTGAGCCAGCAACCATGCCAAAGCGACCTGTGCCGGAGTTCTTCCATGACCTGTGGCCACCTCTTCCAATTTCCGCACCAGTTTCATAACTTCTGGAAAGTTTTTACCCGCATACTTAGGGTAATGGCGCCGCAGATCGTCTGGCAAATCTTCGTGGGCTCGGAATTGGCCCGTTAAAATGCCGCGGCCAATCGGAGAGAACGCGACAACGGCAATTCCAAGTTCATGGCATGTGTTGATAACATTGGACTCTGACGATTCGGCATCCAACATGAAAAGACTATACTCCAACTGCACAGCAGTGATTGGGTGGATGGCGTGAGCCCGACGTAAAGTAGTCTCTGATACACTTGATAGACCCAGAAATCGAATTTTTCCTTCTCTGCCATTATCCACAAGATCAATCAGTAAGTGATGTGCTGAACTGAAAAACATCTCCTGTGTCATACCTCTTCAGCTCTACCATAGCTTCCACGGTCTTCTCAATAGGCGTGACACCGTCCACTCGATGGCAATAATACAGATCAATAGTATTTACTCCTAGCCTCTGTAGAGTTCTCTGACAGGCGGTTCGAACATACTCGGGATCTGATCTGAAACTGTGTAGTCCACTAAGCTCTTGTTGAAGTCCAAATTTCGTGGCCAGAAAGACATCGTCACGTTTGCCAGATCGATTAATCCACTCCCCAGCAAGATCCTCGCTGTCACCATAAATATCAGCCATGTCCCAAAAGCGCAGTCCACTGGAATATGCGTGGTCCAAGAGCTTGATTCTTTCATCAAAAGTACCAGGTGGTCCGTAGGATCCAGTGATACTTCCAAATCCAAGGCCAATGGAAGAAACATGGGGACCATTCTGGCCCAATCTTCGTAGAGAAGACATCTGGAAGATGTAGGGAAGTATTAGCAGAAGAATGTATTAAAAAATATTGAGAATAGTACTAGTAGGCCTTAAACGGGCCCCAATTATATACTCCGAGCTGTCCCTGACCACACCTTACCCAATCAGGTTCCCGGCGGTAAATGGGAGGCCTGACAATTATTGAGGTCTCTACCAGCTCTAGGATTTCAACCTTGCCACCAAACTAAATCAATTAAAGGTTCCAAGCCAAGATCTTTCAATGAATTGCTTTTCCCCTTGTCGTTTTCGGATTGCCGTGACCGAATTGTTCGAATTTATTAGAGTTCCGAGTCGTCATCTTGGTACATCTCGAACACCAACTCAGACACAGAGAATGTCGGGCTGGGTAATTGAGATGATTAGTACTACTAAATACAAGTCAGAAAATTTCAACATGAACGAAAGTTGTGAGAATGTTCATATTCTGCCGACTTCCCAAAATTAATACTCTACTGGGCGGGCTACGCTGATTGGTCAACGCCGCACCACCCGTGATGAAAATTCTATCTGTGGATCATATATCCAAAGATTCCTCCCCTCCACAACAGCCCTGCCGGGCTAGCTCAATCGGTAGAGCGTGAGACTCTTAATCTCAAGGTTGGGGGTTCGACCCCCCCGTTCGGCTATTCCTACAAAAATCACCTGAGATATCTTTTTGCTTCTCTGCCAGAGTCGCTTTTTTGGCCAAGGAGGTCGTTCTGTGGCCTTGCCGAGAGAGGGAAAGCCGTCACATGGCCAGAAAACCGATGCCAGCGCAAACTGAAGAACCTAGGGCTACTTTTTGCTTCCATAATTACTGAGATTTGAATTCGGATAGACTCCAAGATGCATTGCTGAGTTTCTCTACCTGTTTCTTAATGATTGACCTCTCGCTTCTTCCAAAGTATACATAACTTGACGTTCGCTATTGTGACCTTGCTGCTTCTATGTATGATGTTTGAAGCATTTGAGGCATTGGATGCGAACTATGCTACTTACCACCCTACGCAGCTCCTTCCTTTCCTTGGCTAAGGCTCTTCACTAGCTCTGTCAGTGCGGCGACCTGCTCCTTGAGCTCTCTGATTTCAACAGTGGTACTGTTCGCTTTGATGTCAGGCGTAGATTGTTTAACCTCTTCTTTCCAGGCGTCGTCAAGATCAAAGTCGACATCCTCGGCGACAAACTCCCACTCCTGTCGATTATCTTCGTCCTCTTCGCCATGGCGACGGTTCCACCGGATCTGATTTGCTTGGTAAGATTCTAGCCAAGCGGTCAGAACGAGCAGGGGCGAATAAATTATGCCCATCACGATATCGTTCAGCTTGGCATAACCCTCTCGCGACATCCACCATTCGAATGGTAGAACGAGACAGAGAATTTCGATCAAGTTGAAGGCTAGGCAAAATTAGTAACTCCGGGGACATTCCGGGGAGGGAAGTGCTTACGCGGAATGAAGACATTCTCATCCGGAGCACGAACGAATTGCATGGTTTTTTGCGCAAAGATAGCCATATACTCATCTGTAGCATTGCTAGAAATATCCTCATATGCACTATTGTAGAGGGCAATGAGGATGTTCAGAAGCACTGTCCGCAATTAGATATCATTCCATTCCACAAGAGAGGGAACAATGGACATACCGATCATGATAATGAAGTTGAAGATATAGTAAAGGATAATGCCGAAGGGGAACGCAAAGTCCTGGAAGGTCTCAAACTCGGGGCTCTGCATAATACTATTCGCCATGCCTTGAATGATTGGTCTGGTGAAGGATACAGGGATATCGGAGTCCACTTGAGCCATTCCAATGAATGCCTGGAAGAAACCGGCCAGGACCACGAAAAGAAGGGCGAAAAATATCAGACTCTCCTTCATCATAACCCGTAGAACCACAAACATTGCCCCGAAGAAACGGAATGAGTCCAGATAGAGCATCATCCGCATCCAAAACATGGGCCCAGAGAACGCTAAGAAGTTGTAACTTAGTTTGTTGAAGAGTTGCCGCTGCTCATCGTGTTCAGAAGGAGAGTGTGCCAATGCGACAACACGCAGAATGAATGATATAGCAAGAAGTGCGTAAAGAGTCGAGTTGAAGGCGTTCCAGAATTCGAGGTAATTCCATCCGACCTTCCAGAATTTGATGGCTTCGTCGCAGATGAATGCCAATGTCATTCCATAAAGAATACCCTCGGCCACATCAAGATCACCGGTTGGGTTAACTGTGTTAATCACAGCCGTATACAGTGCGAGATAGAGCAGGGAGAACATTATCTGACAAATATTCTGATATAGAGGGGTCCTCATGCGATCAGGATGAAAGTGGGACCAGTAGTTAGTGTCTGATTTCCCATGATACTCGACAAAATTTGTCGGATTGCCTTCTTCCTGGCAGATCCAGCCACACCAGAGATAGTGAATGCATTTTTGGTAGCCAGCGGAGCTGATGATCCTGAGCGCGTGAAGGTCCACCGAACGTTCGATAACGTTGGCGGGACCGGTCTCCACCCCTTCAGTGAAGATCGAGTATCGTTTGAGCAGAATATCCTTCAATAGATAGTCTTGGTTTGGTTCCGACTCAATACTTTGGGCTGGTTTTAGCAAGCATGTTGGACAGGGCAATGGCCTGTAAGGGGAGGGGGGTGCACATACATGCGTTTAGCGATGACCTCACAAGCAACAGCCCGAACCTCGTGAAGATCGGCATCCCAAAGCTCGTTGGAGGCCTGTATTTGGAACCATCGCAAGCACACAAGCAAGCAATATACAACGCTGGCGGCGTACTCCTCGCCGCCGGCATCTTTGGAGGTCTTCACCACATCGTCCGTGATGATGTGACTGTTTGGGTCGGTTAGGAGACCCTCCTCCACCTCACAGGAGACGACCTGTTCGATTTGGTACTTTAGTTTCAATGCGACCTTTGCGATCTCCTTAGACGCATCGGACGGCTGTGTATGATCGGCGATATACGCAGGGAGGACTGATATTGGGTGATTAGTTAGTAGGTGTTACACAGCTTTGTGTTCAACCATGACGTACGCCGGCGCCGCTCCACTTGCAAGCGGTGATGCGTCCTGCCACGATCGATCCTGAAAAGATCCCTCCAATGGCCCATGTTGTTTTACTAGTAGTTGTTGTTGAAGAGTTCTATGCCCCAGCGAGGAGTGCGGGCTGGCTTTGAAGGGGTCAATGGGAAAGGTAAAGCGCGGTGAACCTTGGAAGCGAACGATCGGCGGATAAGATCCAAGCGCGCTTCCCCGCCAGCCACAGCCACAAGCGTAGCTCCGAGTTCTGGGTTTAAACTCGGATTCGCAAGGGTCTACGTGGAAATATTTAGGCGTTGGATGGTTACATGGAGGCGAGGTTAGTTCCGGGAATAGAAGAACTGAAAGTTAACAATGGCTCTTGAAACATCACTGGCATTGAACGTCTCGGTTGCATCACAAATTTATGTACATCAGAACTTGCCTCTCGTGCAGCAGAACACACTTCGTCTAAAGAAGCTCGGACAAGGACGAGGGCTTGACCCTCTGGCACGCAGCACAGCACCCGGCTCGGACGTAGATAGTTCACCCCCGGGCCCGAGGAGACGGCGACTGCCCTTGATGGAAAGGCAACTTCTGACTGCAATCGTACCCAGGAAGCACATAGAGCCAATCAAGTCTTATCTCATTGATCGCGTAAATGTGCATAGTTTTCTCTATCCGTTTTTGCCCAATCCCCCGCTTCGCTTGTGTTTTTGCGTATCTCGTCAAGATCGATGTACGCTGGGCGCTCCGTGGTTCGCATTGTGGTTGGTCCATTACTCGTCATCGCCGCTCTCGGAGTCCTCATCACCGCTAACCTCCTGGTTCTCCCGCTCGCGTTTCTCCATGAGTTCAGCAAGAACCGCATCATCGTGCTCGGTGACAGCCTTGGGGGCCATCTTGATGGAGCAGTTACCGCCGGCAGCCTTGATGTTCGCACCAATCTTCTCAATCGCGGACTCCAGCATCTGGATACCGACAGTCTTGTCCAGACATTGGCTGGTGAGGACATAGAGGGGAGGAGCCACAAGTCTGACCTTGATCTGGTTCTCGGCGGTGTTGTCGGCCTCGGCGGTGCGCAGGGCGGTCTTGACGGCGTCGATTCCATCGTAGCCGAAGCAAGTGACCTCGACATCGGCACGGACCTTGGTGGGGTGGGGAGTGAGCTTCTTGCTGATGTAAAGCTTAAGCTCGTTCTTCACGGCGTCGCTGTGGAACTCGGTGTCATTCCAGACATCGGGGTTACTGGTGGATTTCCGTCAGATATTGGCTGTCCCGCGAATAATTATCCTTTTGGGGACGGGAGTATAAACAACATACGTGATGGAGAGCTTGAAGGCATCGTGGGAGTGGCCGTATTTGCGGTTCAAGGGCCATGCGATTTGCTGGTAGAGAGTCTCCAGAGGGGTTTGGGTGGCCTCGGCGACGTGGCGCATGATGGAGTGCACGGCCTTGCTCTTGTTGTATCGCTCCTCACACTTGATCACATCCTCGGGAGAGACACGGCGCTTAGAAAGATCGATATATCCTGTCGACAGCTATGAGTCAGCTAGGGAGGTCACCCTTTGTACCACCCTGGGGTATGATCCTTCTTACCCTTCTCCTTGTCGACACGGAGGACAATGACAACCTCGTTACGTCCGATACGGATGAGCTTTTGGATACTGCGAATACGTCTGCGGGAAAGTTCGGACAGCAGGATCATTCCGTCGATGTTATCGTATTCGAGAAGCTTCACGTATGCGCCCATCTCGGCAATCTAACCCAACCGAGAATTGTCAGTTCCAAATGAGTGAGGTACAACACTTGCTACCACTGGAGCCGATCGTACCTGCTTGACATTGACCATGACATAGCTATCCACCTCAGGATACTTGTCCTCGTAGAACCGGCAGTTTGTTAAGGACATTTTGGCGGGGTTGCGCGCTTTTTTTCAGCGGGGAAGATCGGGAGATAAGGTGGACTGATGAGTCGGTAGTCCAAAGAAGATGAAGAGCTGGAACCTGATAAAGAGGAACCGAGCGAATCGAAGGAGGGTAAGGAGGGTCTTGGGGGGGGGGGAGGGAGGTGAGGTCTTGATCGTGAAGCGGAAGCAGAGTCTCCTCTCAATTCGCTTTGTGCAGCGGCGGACCAAAACCCACAATTGGACGGAGGGTCAGGTGACTCCTTGATACTCCAAACTGCCAACACGTGACTCACCGCCCTTACTCTCCCAATTGATCCCCCTCTCCCAATTAGGGAAGGCGCGAGGGTGTTGCACGAAACACCAATCAAGTCGGCAGCCGCGGCAGGTGCTTTTGGCTTCCTCCAAGTTTGCCGCCGCGAGTGACCGATGCCGATGCGATGCGCCTCTCTCTCCCTAGGACTAATTCTTGTTTTTATTAGTCAAGCCAAGGCTATCTCCAACTTTTCATTTTGCAATTATTCAATTTTTCAACTTTTCAATTAATTTATTTGCCTCGGGACTAATACCAAGCCCACCATTGGTACAGCTACACCTAGCTACAGCACGTCCCCGCTCAACCCTCGACCGCCCTTCCTACATCATAAAACTAGCTTGCTAGTTAATTTCCCCCGATCTTCCTTCCTCAGCAACCCTTACAGACGACTCTTATCCGCCTTCGATGCAGCTGACAGGGTACTGGTACCGTTTCTCCCCAAGTCAAGGTCGAGCTTGAATTGTTTCATCCCAAGAGCATGTCATCCGAATCGAGTCCACTCCTCCGGCAGGAGTCCGATGCTCGCCGTACTCTGCAGGAACGGATTGTCGACGTCTTCCGCCCCAATAGCCGTTCAAGATCCCCGGCAGGTTTTGAATCTGCTGGCCAGGGAATACACAGCACCCAAGGACTTGGGATTACCAGTGACTCGCACGTCAGAGCTCGCCTTTTGGAATCGTACGATAGCTCGGACCCGGTGTGTGGTGAACGGCGGTGCAGTCATGGCACTTTCTCCCCCGACCAGAGGCATCCGAACAACAATCCTACCTGGGGACCGCCGGCGGTCAGTTTGGATACGGTGGTATCGGAAATTCTGTCGCAGCCTCAAGTGGAGACGACCCGTTAGGGTCCCGCCCCGAGTCGGAGTACACGTCGCAGATGAAGTCGTCCACCTCGGCACTGTCTATGAATGAGCATAAAAAATTGTATGCGACCCGCCCTAGACTTTCCCAAGCTGTTGCCATGGCCTACATCCAACCCAATATGAGAATTGAACTAACCGGTCCTTTAGGTACATTTCCTACTATATCCCTTTCTTCAACTGGATAAGACAATACCGATGGGAATTCCTTCGCGGAGACCTCATCGCTGCTATTACTATTTCCTCCATCTATATCCCAATGGCCTTATCCTTGGCGTCCAATCTTGCCCATGCACCTCCCGTCAACGGACTGTATTCCTTCGTGATTCACCCTTTTGTTTATGCAATCCTGGGGAGTTGCCCTCTATTGGTCATCGGCCCCGAAGCAGCCGGCTCGCTTCTCACTGGTGCCATTGTGAAGGCCTGTGTTCTTAACAAGAACTCCGACGACAATGGGGCCGAGAACGCTATTGTGATTGGAATATCGACAGCAATGAGCGGTGCTATGATTTTTCTTGCAGGCTTGACCCGACTAGGGTTTTTGGACAATGTCCTTAGTCGGCCTTTTCTTCGCGGTTTCATCACAGCTATTGGTTTTGTGATCTTCGTAGACCAATTGATCCCTGAATTGGGCCTTGCAGAAATTGCAAAAGATGCGGGAGTCAGCCATGGTACTTCAGTTAGCAAGCTGTCATTCATCGTGCGCCACGCCAGAGAGTGCCATGCGCTCACAGCGATTGTCTCCCTGGTCAGCTTTTCCGTCATCATGATATTCCGGTTCGTCAAATGAATACCCCACGTATCTTTTTCTTCCGTGCTAACCTTTTTCTGAAGAACGTTGAAAAAGTGGATGATGCCACGATTCCCCAAAGTGATTTACTTCCCAGACAGATTCATAGTCGTTGTGTTGTCAGCGATTCTTGCCTGGAGTCTGGACTGGGAATCAAAGGGACTCGAACTTCTTGGACAAACCGAAAGCTCTGGCAGTTTGTTCGAATTCAACTGGCCATTCCGCTTTGAGCATATGGAGCACATTCGCACAGCAATGAGCAAAACGTTTATCATCACCCTCCTTGGATTTTTTGAATCATCGGTCGCGGCTAAGGGCCTGGGTGATAGCCAGCCCGATGGGATCCAAGGCATGCACATGAGTGCCAACAGAGAAATGGTGGCCCTCGGTGTTGCGAACTTTATTGGTGGCTGTTTCATGGCTCTACCTGCCTTTGGCGGGTATGGCCGAAGCAAGGTCAATGTTCAAACTGGAGCACGCTCTCCGATGAGTAGCATCTTCATCAGTATCATCACGCTGGTGGCTATTCTTGTGCTTTTACCTTATCTTTACTATCTTCCGGTTCGTCAAGTTTCCATCATTCCCGCCGTGGCCTGCCTAGAGTCGTGAACTAATCCACACAAAACAGAAAGCCGTTCTCTGCTCCATGATCTCAGTTGTGGCTTATTCCCTTGTTGAAGAATGCCCACACGATCTAATTTTCTTCTTCCGTCTTCGAGGATGGACAGAGCTGACCCTGATGCTCCTTATTTTCACCACAACAATCTTCTATTCCCTTGAATTGGGCATGGCTTTCGGCATTGGCCTCTCTGTCGTCATCCTCATACGGCACGCGACCAAGCCTCGGATTCAAATTCTGGGCAAGATCCCCGGGCCTGCAGCTCGCTTTGAAAATGCTGAGCTGCATCCCGACAATGTGGAGCTCGTCGAGGGAGCTCTCATTGTCAAGATTCCCGAGCCTCTCACTTTTGCTAACACGGGCGATCTCAAGAACCGTCTTCGTCGCTTGGAGTTGTATGGTTCCAGCCGGGCGCACCCTTCTCTGCCACGCATGCGGTCGCCGGAACATAACAAAAACATCATTTTTGATGTACACGGCGTGACAAGCATCGATGGGTCTGGAACTCAGGTACTGTACGAGATCGTCCAATCATATACGGATAGGGGTGTTCGAGTCTTCTTCAGCCGGGTGCCCAACGATAGTGTGTTCCTCATGTTCGAACGAAGTGGCATTGTTGAACAATGCGGCGGTTTGACACACTTCGTGCCCCATGTCGATGAAGCCCTTCAACTGGCAGAGACTGAAGATCGGACGGACATCATCTAGAGCCATTGGGAATTGCTACATCTCAATGTCAATTTTGACACCAAGCAAGATTTATCTCATGATTTATTGCTTCTTTGCACATAAATACATCTATGCAGATCTTATTAACTGTTGCTATTTGAGCCTGATCTTTTACTGAGCGACAAGCAAAATTCATTATCATTTAATAGCGTGAAGGCATTTATTTCAATACCTCTGGAAATCCATTGTAGTGCATGTATTCATCTGCTAGGTATATCGTAGCCTGAAGAAGGCCCAGTTCCATAGTCCTGTATCAATCGAGGTCGGCTGCCCTCATTTCTTCACGAAGGTAATTTGTTGGCGGCAAAACAAGGATTGACCACTTCCCACCCCGGGCCTTATGGAACTTGAATGTGGCCTGCCAAATTGAAGGTGTGTATCTGCATGCCTTTTGAGTCGGTTCCCTGGCCGCATGATGCCATTTGGACATGATAGTTATCTCTATCTGCCACTGCGAGTGACACGTATTCTTAGAGCTGACGTAGCGCTGGATACCCTTGGTCTTCATTGCCTCTCGAAGTTTGCTGCCCGTAGAATTGTAATGAACTCCCCAGTGGGATTTTCATGTCGCCGCTTGATTCCCAACAACAACCTTGCGAATCGTCGCCTGGAGCAAAATTTCACATGCCTGTTGAGCAGGTGATATCCCTTCGTCATCATCGACCTGATCGGCGACAGTCAACTTCATCCGCCCATCAATTCCCAACGCGAAAGCAGCACACGCAACTTTCGACAACCGGACATGTCGTTCAGCCCCCTGGGTCTGAGCCGAGCCATCCAGGTCTAATTTCATTGCGAGATGCGTTTCCAAATAAGAGGTTAGATTTGGAATGAAGGGGCTACGGAGCTTCTGTTTGAGAGTGCGGCCCTTCGATTTCCCGCCATCTACACTCAAGAATTGCTTCAGTGAGGCTCGAGAAATATTGACGTTCAAAGAGCGCAGTGCTGGCGCAATCGATTGTGAAAATGCAAGGGTGAGTTGGAGATCTTTGACGACTTCTTCAACGATGGCATCGTTCGTAGTAGTTCGTGAGCCTGTGCCCCGCAGACTGTCTATGAAAGACTCCATTCCAGAGCACAGAAAACTCGATGGCAGATGAAGGGTTGAACAGTAGGTGTCGAAATTAGCCGATAAGAATGAGAGAAAGGTCTGTCGCAGAGCACTTGGGAATTTCGTCATCAGCAATGGAAGTGAAGTTGAGCCCTCATGTTGACCATCTGGGCGGGATTCCGCGTCTGCCTCTGGTCCTGCAAGTAAAGCAGCTTTATATGTGATATTCTCATATTCCAGCGTGATCAGAATCCCCGGAAAAGTGGCGTGTCCGTTGGACTGGGACTCTGTGGAGATTGGAAGCCACTGGCAGTTTTTGAGAGCGCCTGCTTTTGACAGCACATCATTTTCTGCTGTGGTTGCGGTCGCATGGAGACCAGCGAGCACGTCGCCTGTCAATTGGTCGCGTAATCGTGTCGCATAGACTTTCAATGCGGTTGGGTTGTTCAGGAGTGTCTCGCAGTCTTTTCCGTGGTGGAGGGGGGAAAGACGGTGCAGAGTCCACGATGTATTGAATAGCTGGGCTGGGGATGCTTGCGCCATGGCTGGGGATATTTCCAATTGGGAATTAATATTGGCGCTGTTCACATGGTTCAAGTTGTTGCTGTGAAGTGGACCAACTTGAACTTTGAAGGTGATTGATTGCCCGCTGCCCGCTGCCCGCGTCGCGCAACGCGCCCACACCAATGCAAACCAAACAAACTGCCTAGAATGGCAACATTGACATGTAGATCGATAGCAGTAAATAACTATAGGATAGGGCTTTCGGAATAAGTTAAAGCGACAACGGAATTCCGGAGTTTAAATAAAATGCAAGTTCGTATATTCTTTGCTTATTGCTCGTAAATGGAAAAAAAATGTGGGAAATTCTAGGTATATATGCCTTCAACGCCGCAACGCTTGAAATCAACTTGAAAATATCATGCTCTCCATCCCTCTCCTGGCTGGCAATCGGCACAGCCAAATAATATTGGAATAGAATTCCAACACCAAGCAACTTCAATCTCGTGAGGAAGTGCTTGCCTAGAAGCCAACTCCGTCCGGGCCGCATCGAACCAGAGCTCTCTGACCGAGGTGTGGATATTTTGGTCCGAAGACCGACCGAAAATGACCGAATTCATATGATCTTTCCTATGCGCCGTCATATCGCGATGGAAACTATACATAAAGTCCTTCCGTTGCATGCGCTGATTGCCCCCGTCACCAATCTCAGCGGAAAAGAATTCGACAATGCGCCCGAACGGCGCTACCGTAAGCAGCGAGCTGATCCATGAATCGTCTATCTCGATCTCTGACCCCATCGTGTACCGGATGTAAGAAACTAACAGATGCATGCAGTGATGGGTCGCAAGCAGGGCCGTTGTGTTGGTGAAGGGGGGATTTTGGAGGATCCGCGTTTGGATGTCGTGGTACATCTGTTGGCGCGTGCGAAGGGTGATAGGCACGGTGAGACGGCCGGCTTCGTATTCGCGGAGAAGCATGTTGGTATTCTCCCGTCGAGCAGACATGTACGACTCGAGGTAGTACAAGATGTAGTACCTGGCAGGGATTGTATTAGTTCGATTGGTTCAGAGCTTATGCTTATGCTTATACGCCGGACTCCCACTTACATTATTGGCGCCAGATGGAACCATATGCTAGCTTTCCCTCGCTTCATCAGGGCAGTCCGCTCGGTTTTCTTTGAGGGAAACGATGTTCTCAAGAAAATTGGCTCGGTTTGGACGAACCGGTCCATGATGCGGTCTGCGAGATAGTAGCAAAGCTTTGAAGATTGCTTCTGCCTTTGCCGAAGGCCGTTCAGGTACCGAAATGTATAAAGATGGCCCCCTCTAGCGCTCTTCGACGGAGGGAAAAGGTCGGATAGCAAGAGCACATCGTCTTCCGGATTGCGGGTATAGGTTCGCTCGTTGTCGATTGGCGAGGGGAGAGTGCCATGACGGCGCTGTCGAAGGTATTGCCGTACAATCTCGTGTTCGTGTCTTGTGAGGAGCTCATTGAAGGGCCTGCAGACGAGTCTTAGCGGGAGATAATCGGCAGTCCCGCAGTAACCAAAGATTTGGATTTGGATCTCGACTGGGAGGCCCCACGGGGAAGGGATGGGAGGATCGGCATGGGTCAAGCTGGGAGTGAGGAAGAAGGAAAGTTAAAAACGAGCTATTCATCAAAATGCGCACAGGCAAAGGCCGAAACAACTCACCCCAAAGAAGAGGAGGACCCCGGCAGGTCGCGAGGTTGGACCTTGGCGCCCGCCTTTCTGCGGTTGATCGCAGCTCGAAACTTTTGCACGGGCAGAAGTTTAGAAAAACCAGTCATGCTGGGGCTCGGAACCACATCAGGTCCGGCGAAGACACCTGGAGGGAGTCGCGATTGTTAAAGATGAGCAAACCACAGCTGGACGAAGACGAGAGTCGACTGTGCCGCCCTTGGAGATTATGACTAAGCTGCCAGACACAGCCCTGGATCTGGTGAGGAGGAGAAGCAGCCCAGTCTTGAATTTTGAGATAGTTAATCCCTATTCCGTATTGGATGGACGTAGTATCCCCTCTCTCACGAGGCTGGAGCTGAAGAAACGCTGGTGTGGTGAAGATTAGTGGAGTCTGCAGAGCCAGAGCTCTCGCCGAGCCGAGCCCAGAGCGCTCGATTAGTGAACTAGCACATCTAGATTTATTTATAGGATAAATGGGTCAATATCGGGGCAGTGCGAGAAGTTTTCCATAGGGTAGTCTGCAATAGGCTACCTAGTAACTATACAATTGTAAACCATAGAGCCATAGTGAACCAGTGGTTACAAGGGACTTCTATTCATAAACTTGAATATGGGGATACTACCGAGTCACCTAGTAGAGCTGGAATGCCTCATGGAATATCCTCAGTAGATATCCATTTTATAACAGTACTCCAGGGCTAGCTAATCTGAGTCGCTATGATAGTGTCACATATCTTGAATGTGGCTAAATGGAATATTCAAGTTTACTTGTACTCCAACTTGTTCGCTGCTCGCGCAATCTCGCTGTTGCACGAATTACGTCATTTATATCAGCCCAGCACGTATTCCAACTAGAAATAACCTGAATGCTCTTTTCAAGTTCCCTCTTCTTCAACCTCAAAACATCAGAACTTAACTCGATCCTCATAATTTGCCATTGCTAATCCCTCTACCATGGGCAACCACATTCTCATTGTCGGCGCAACGCGCGGCCTGGGAGCATCTCTCGGAGCTCTATATTCCCGCAGGCCATCCCACCATGTGTTTGGTACCACGAGATCCTCTACGACACCCTCAAATGATTCGGAAATAACTTGGTTGACGGAAGTCGATGCGTCCAAGCCAGATATAGGCCAAAGGCTTGTTTCGCAGCTGCCGACCTCGACTAAGATCTCTACTGCCATCATCTCCGCGGGGTACTTCGGGTTCGAGACCTTCGATAATCCCGATTGGGACAAACAGGTCCAAATGTATACAACCTCTGCCATTGGCCCCGTTTTCATGGTCCATCACCTCGTGAAAGCAGGACTACTCGGAGAAGGAAGTAAGGTAATTCTTGTCAGCAGCGAGTCGGGCAGCATCACTCTTCGCCATGAAAAAGAAGGCGGTGGAAATTTCGGCCATCATGCGAGCAAGGCCGCGTTGAATATGGTCGGGAAGCTGTTGAGTCTGGATCTGAAGCCAAAGGGTATAGCAGTTGGTCTGGTGCATCCGGGCTTCATGCGGACGGAGATGACGAAGGGTGTTGGATTTGACAAGTATTGGGATGCCGGTGGAGGTACGTAACTCGCGTGCTGGCCTTGGGCATATTTGAAAAAAAGAATATCAAGCTAAGACTTCTTTCGTCAGCTGTGACACCCGACGAAGCGGCTCAGTCACTCGCATCCTTTATTGATGGCTTCGATATAAACAAGACTGGTGAATTCTGGGCCCCCAGAGGACCAGCGTAAGCCTTTCCTTCTCCTTTTATGTCAAACAAGCTACTGATAATAATGATGAACAGAGATATCGGGACTGCCGAGGATGTTCTTGGAAAAGACCTATCAACCCCCCTTGCAACTGCCGTGGTAAATTGTAGCGTGTGACATTCATGCATAGTTAACCTTTTTATCGATTTCCACAAGGCTATCAAAGCCTCATGGCATATGAATAATTATTCCTTTATTCCAAAGCTGTAGAAGGGTCTGGCTTGGCCACCGGTCTAGCACACATGAATACCAAATCCTTCCCAATGTCTTTTCGCTCTTCGCGCCCCACAACCTTCATCGTATCAAATATATCGGCATAAAACTCTTGCATCCGGTCATCGCTGGTGAGTAACATGTTGCGACGAAGGTGCGGCATGTTCTCTTTCGAAAAAACCTCCGACACACACTCAATAAGCCATCTTCCAAGTCCGTGTCCTTGGTATTCAGGTAAGACATAGACATCTGTCAGGTATCCAAATGTCACTCCATCGGTAATCATACGGGCCAATCCAATCTGTTCTGTATTCTCTGCAGATGGAGGTTCGAGATCATCCTGTGATTGCGCAGTAGGGATCTGTTGGTAGACTCCGAAACTCATACAGCCGTAAAGCATTTGACGGAGAACATCCTCATCGAAAGGTTTGGCCCAATAGAGGAATTCCCTCCCGTAGGCTTCGTTGACTGCTTTTATCGAGAGCAAAGATTGGTCCGTCGAGATGAAGAATTTGCTGTTATCTCTTTTCCAGGTCCGCGGGGCAATCGATACCATTGGCGAGGTGAATGACATGGCGAGAGGCGATGTAGAAATTGGAATACGTACAAGGGATACTTCCAAGCAAACGAAAATAATATCAAAATTGACACTTGTCAAGCCAGCCTGGCAGGAGAAGATGGTTCAAGGTAGGCCGACGCGAAAGGGTTCCCGAGTGAGTCATGAAAAGCCGAGATATCGCCGGTGTCTAATCACTACCCCAGGGTCTACTACATTTTTCGATAACCCCGCAGTTTGATTTGAAGCTCATGAAAGATAGGGAAGTTGAAGGCGACAGTATATTCTTTATTATATGGAAGATATTTGACCGAATGGTTTATTGGTCCAACCAATATGTCACTTTACAGATAGAATGGATATCATGTGACTGGAATAACCATCTTGAGATAAAGCAAATGTCGCGATTCATTTTTGAGACTGAACTCTAGTCTAGGAATTTGATGTGTAAGTTCAGATAGAACAGTTCAAGCTTTGTCGATGCTTCAGTACCCTAGAGTCTTTGGACGCTACATAGACACGGCGCTTGTTAATCTGAAGGAGCGTTGCCTCTCGACTCAGCTTGGAAATGGCAATTTCAATGGACTAAAATGACAAAAATCTGTGAAAAAGAACATTTACTTTCCGCGTTTGGATATCAATAAATCTTTCTGGAAACAAATTATTCAGTGCTTGGTTGCTTGTCAATATGAGGAGTCGGCCGAGAAACCCCGCATAGTACGGAGTATATAACATTGGAAAATATCACCAATCAAATACCAAGCGCATGTTTATCTAGTTGCGGAATGATTTAAGAGGGTCCTGAATGGCGTTTAGAGTGGGGTTGATGGTGTTGACAAAGGGTACCCCAATCCCTGACGCCATCGTGGAAGCTGATGGTGTTAGCCGCGCCGAATCAGCCAGGTCAATGTGGTAGGGCGTCCACAATTCGGCTAGGCATATGTATTAATCATTTTACCAATGGATGAATTAAAAGTTGTGACCACTGACGTGTAAAATGTTCCGAATGGCGTGCAGGAGTTTGGGAGGGGCTCTCACATACATTAAAGATGGTAAACCCAAAGTAAACATTCAGGCAACCCTGTTGGTACTCTCAAACCAAATAGGTCATCTTGAGCAAATTGTCAAGTCATGGCTTTATTGGGAAATCCCGAGATCCTGACATTGCCGTCGATCTCGACGATTGATTCCAAGGTCGAGTCGATCAAAGGACCATCGGGCCTGAATGGGGTAAACCCGACGGTTACAATTAAAGATGATCTCGACTCGGAACATTCGGCGACACCGGAGTTCAAATTAGAGGAGCATCCCATCGATACACTGCGACCTGTAAAGGTGGGCATCATCGGGGCAGGTCTTACCGGAATCACTGCGGGCGCTCTTTTGCCGGAAAAGCTCCCAGGACTTGATCTGCGCATCTACGACAAAAATGCCGATGTGGTAAGTTGAATATTATGGTTTTATTATGAATCTTAAGATGCATGACTAATTATATCATCAGGGAGGCACATGGTAAATCTTTTGCCATTTGGAGCCATATGATAATAGTTATTGATGTTCTATCATAGGTTCGAGAACACCTACCCCGGCGTCCGATGTGATATACCTGCCCACGCCTACCAATCCGGCTTCGAACCAAACACCGATTGGTCCGAAGAGTTTGCGCAAGGTGCCGAAATCAGAGATTACTGGCAGGGGGTTGCGCGAAAGTATAATGTGTACCAGTATATTCGAGCACAACAACAAGTACAAAGGGCAGAATGGCTGGAGGAAGAAGGCAAGTGGAAGGTTACCATTGCACATGTTGATGGTTCAGAAAAGGTAGCCTGAAATCACGAAGAGAGGGGAAAAAAGGAATATTCAGCTGACTAGCTTATTTTTTTCCAGGTATATGAAGAGAAGTTGGACATTCTCATCAACGCGATAGGCCATTTCAATGCCTGGAAGCTTCCTGATTATGAGGGAATCAGTGACTATAAAGGAGCACTTTTCCACGCCTCCAATTGGGATCATTCCATTGATTTGAATGGGAAACGAATCGCCCTGATTGGAAATGGTGCTTCTGGATTGCAAGTTCTTCCTTCAATTCAGCCACTAGCAAATCATGTCGACCACTACGCGCGCAATCCCACTTGGATCGCGGACTCATTTAGCAGTGGAAACGCAGGAATCCGTCGACTAGAGCCAAATATAATCCCGAAATCTCTGCGCGAAACATTCAAAGATCCCCAAGTTTATCTGGAGTACCGCACCAGTGTTGAGAAGGGATTTTTCCAGCGATTCGGTGCCATTTTCAAAGACACCCCTGAGAACCGGGAATTACGAGAGAAATGGACGGAAATTATGTTGCATCGCGTCTCACAGAAACCAGAGCTAGGCGAGCAGATTCTCCCAGACTTCCCACCAAACTGTCGTCGTCCTACTCCTGGACCGGGATACCTGGAGGCCCTCACAAAAGAGAACGTCAGTTATATCCGTCCGCGTATTCAACGTTTCACGGCGACGGGGATAGTCACTGAGGACGGAGTCGAGAGACCTGCTGATATTACTATCTGTGCGACTGGTGCGAATGTCGATCATGCGCCCCCATTTTCTATTATTGCGAATGGAGTTGATCTGAAATATGCGTGGAAGAAGGATGGACAGCTCGGATTCCCGTACTGTTATCTTGGATTCGCGACTCCAGGATTTCCCAATCTTCTCTGGATTGGCGGGCCGTATGCCTCAGGACACAGTGGAACTGTGCCAAACAGCATGGAGAACCAAATCACTTACGTCGCAAAGGTGATACGAAAGATTCGCAGCCAGGGAATCAAATCTATTGTTCCTTCGAAACAGGCGACCGATGACTTTGTCGAGTACTGCGACCAGTTCTACCCGCGCACTGTTTGGTCGGAGAATTGCAGCTCTTGGTACAATGGTGGTCAACCTGGTGGTCGAATTCATGGATTATTCCCTGGAAGTGCTTCTCATGCGAACTACATTCGTCGAGATCCTCGCTGGGAGGATTGGGAGTACACATACGTCAACCAGAGTGGGAATCGGTTTGCTTATTTCGGAAATGGCTGGACATCTAGGGAGTTGGATCCAAGTGCCAACCTGACACCCCATTTAAAAATCCCGGAGGAGATCGATTTGAAAACTCATCTGGAAGGTTGGTGGGATGTGTAAGTAAACAGGAGTTCAAATACATCAAGTTCAGAAATCATAGCTGTCAGATGTAGGTAATCGTAACATTTTGTCTCCATTTCAGATCATGAGCAGCCATATCTGCAGGTCAATCTGCCACCTGGGCACCTAGTGACAATTTGTTCCTTGGTCACTGGCATCAGTGCGACATGGAGCACCGAGATATGTCATGAAGTAGATAAAGAACTTCAATCAACTCATTTGCTAGTGCACTTATAAAATCTTCAATTTGTTTCTAATAGTAATGTTTTGAGAACATTGTCAGGAGGTATCTCATTTTTAGGCTCGCTGGAGCTTTGTAAATAGTTCAGTTAACATGGCCATTGTTGCCCCATGAGAATTGGAGGCTATCTTATTGCGTCTCCTCCAAGCTGTAAGGAGGTACCTCCTCGCCCTGTCGCCAAAAGTACTTTGCTCCGGGGTGAGAATCTGGAAGTCTCGACTGGCCCTGCTTCCCATATACATTCTCCCGGAAAGTTCCCCCCTTCACGGCATAATCCGACCAGAAAAGACCGCGGCGCTGTAACTCCGGCAAAAGAAGGCGGATAACATCGTCAAAGGTATCGGGAAGACTGGCATAACTAAGGTTGAATCCGTCCACATCGCCAACGGAGACCCATCGCTCCAGCTCATCCGCGACCGTCTTCACACTACCAATAATCTTGACACCATTGCCACCCAGAGTCAAATAATCCGCAATTGTTTTCTTATCCCACTTCTGACCCTCCGTTCCGGGCACGGTGCTTGCCCAGTGATTGACCATACTCCGGACAGCTGGCTGCTCCACGAACCGGAAATCCTGGTCATCGGTATAAGTCGACAAGTCGTAACCAGTCCAGCCTCCGAATAGAGCCAGGGCACCTTCGCGATCGCCATATGATTTTAATTCATCGAACTTGGCTTGAGCCTCCTTGTCGGTCTCAGCCACAATCACAAGCGCCCCGGCGATCACCTTGATGTCTTGCGGGTTACGGCCCAAATCAGCCGCCTGTTGACGAATGCTGTCAACCGAAGGTCGCACTAACTCCGGTTTCTGTGCGTGGAGGAAAACGGCCTCGGCGTGTTTTGCTGCAAAAGCCTTGCCAGCAGTTGATGTTCCGGCCTGAAGGAGGAATGGTGTTCGCTGCGGGCTGGGCTCACACAGGTGAGGGCCGGGCACTTCGAAGTACTTCCCCTTGTGATTGATTTGACGAACAGCTTTGGGGTTAGCATAATTGCCCAGCGCACCCTCTGGCGGACCATTCTTCGAGGCCTCTTGTCTCCATGTCACGGCATCGTCTCTCCACGAGGCTTCCCAAAGTTTATAGGTGACATCGAGGTATTCGTCGGCAATGCGGTAGCGCTCATCGTGCTCAACCTGGGTGTTTAGACCAAAATTCCGCGCAGCAGAGTCGAGGTATGATGTTACAATGTTCCAGCCAATCCGACCGTTGCTGAGGTGGTCGACGGTTGAGAAGCGGCGGGCGAGAGCGTAGGGAGCATCATAGGTGGTTGAGGCGGTGACGCCGAAGCTAATACTTTCCGTTGCAGCTGCCATGGCCGGAATGCTGTATAGGGGGTCGTTGATCGGGAATTGCGCGCCGGCTGGAATGGTCGGGTCGAGATTGGCAGGTCCCTTGTAGACATCGTAGCCGCCCAGGACATCGGCGAAGAAGATAGCGTGGAATTTGGCATCTTCGAGCTTTTTGGCGAGCGAAATCCAGTACTTAATGTTCTTGTACTCGGAGCCCTTGTCGGTTGGGTAGCGGAATAAACCTGGATTCAAGTGTGCGGGGGAGTGCATGGCGAATGCATTGATGATGAGTTGTTTCTTCTCGGTGGAACCCATGATGGCGGTACTTGTGTGATATCGCGAGACTGAGTTGGGAGGGATTGAGGGAGCTCAGAAAGGCAATTGGGTCTTTTTAGAGGAGGCGCACTTCTATTTATTTGTCTATTGAATTTTTTTGTAGCACATTTTCTTGTGTAAACCCCGCAGGGTAGTGGGAGAGGATGGCGTGCAGCTCCTCGGCAAGACGTGAAATTGGAGTCTGATGGCGTCAGCAGCTTTACTCTCTCGGGGATATCTTGCGCGGTGGAGGGGTAGCTGGTATCGGAGGATTTCGTAATTCCAGCCCTGGAGGGGTTATTTCCTAGATACTGATGGAGTACTCGGTAAATGGTAGTTACTAGTAGTAAACAACTGTTTGAGATAGCTCGGCCGATAGAAGTATACCTCCACCGGGGTATAGTTAGTACTGCACAACACCACCAGTAGATCCTAGTGCTAAACTCATTCTTCATAAATATTGCGTATTCCGGGAAGCTCTTCGGTTCACATTTACGGGTAGAGGTTTTCTAATCTAGCCCACCTATGCATTCCCAACCGTGACAACTTCAAATTGGAGCAGTGGTGCTTGATGTATGGAAAGCCGTCTATATATATACTAGTACTAACCTTGGAAATACCACCACATCGTCCCAGTAGTTACCAACTACTACTAGGTAGATCTTGATGACAGTCCGTTTTTGATCATTTTAAAATCCCATTTCATGCATTTACAAGATCACAAAAAATCGAAAAAAAAAGGAAATGTTGGGATGGAAGGAGAGAAAAATCGAAGATAGGAGCTACTCGCTAACTACATGCTCTAACTATAATGCTCCAAGCTTGCCCAATCATAATCATAATAAAAGTCTCCATCTATCATCTGTCAAAGCATCCGGCCCTGCAGACCCGAAAAATAAAAGTACTAAGTGGTATTGATGCCACTGGCCAGCTAGCCACTTTGACCACTAACTAACTAGTACCTACCAGTAGTAGCTTTATGCGAAGGACCACCTGGGTAGTCTGCATATACCACGAACGGTGAAAGCTATCTACTTCGCCCAGCGTATTACGTTGATCTCCCGATGACAATAAGGACCAAGGTGGCAAGGGTAGTCACTGGCAGTGTCGAGCGTATGGTTGTACCAAAGCGCTCCCGAGCCAACATCCCCTCGACAAAGCCATCAATCAACCGATCAACCGATCAACCAACTAACCCGGTCCATCCGATCCCTCTACTCGTATACCCCTCTACATCCAACCCCCATGAGGAAAATGCATGGTGGGTCGATATCAACCAAGAAGTTAACTCTCGGCACTGCCCCCCCTGGCAACCCGCGGTCAGATCGATCACGAGGTTGGGGGGCCAGTTAGTGCCCAGTCTTTACGTCAGTTCAACCTACAAGTGCGAGGGAATTATATCCAACCAGAAAGGGTTCCTCGATGTGCTGTATCCGCTTGACCCGATCGGTGATTAACCTTCTGCGCAGCAATATTCGAAGCTTTGTTCGTAACTCAGCCTCTTCCAACGGCGGGTCGGAGAGAATCAGCCTCGCAGGAGCCCACCTCCACTTCACCCCCTGAGTTCCCAGTCCCACAATCACAGCTCTTTGGGGGCCGCTAGAAAAGATCTGGAAAACTGTGGGCCTCACGTGTGGAATGACGAGGGCCGAGAAATTGCCCAGATTGCCCAGATAGGGCCACCAGTGGTGCCCCCCCCTGTGCCAAGCTGCATACCAACGAGACTACCTACAACCTTGGAACGATAATAAACATGCGAGAAGAGTCGAGGAATGGGAATGGAAGGATTACATTCAGGCATTACTGCTACAACTGTATCTGTATCAGTCCATTGAAACATACTTCGGTGTGCCCGATCATATCCGCAGGACAACCGCCAGTGTGCTCGAATGGTACTCGTGTAGATTCTCGTTCTCGTATTGCCGAGACCAAGAAAACAGAAAACAGCCCTACCAAAGTCAAGCGATCATGGGTGTATACGTACGCCCCAGCCGGATAGTCGGCAAGCGGGAACTCGAAGGTGTGTTAGTTGTCAGTGGAGCATTCATCCCGGTGCTCTTTGCGCCCGGGACTCAGCCATCGGGGGGCTTAGAAAGAGTGGCCTTTGATGGTCTTGGGGATGAAGTTGAATGGACAAGGCCGAAACCGAACGAAAGGGTTTGCCCCACTGCGGAGAAGCTGATCGGATCGTAGCATTCAACTGGGCAGGCTCAGAGTCAGAGCTCTGTGAGGTAGTCTGTTAGTAGTAGAAGTAGTATTTAACTCTCACACCTTCCCCCCCTCCCTTCGGCCTTTTTTTCCCTCCACATCTTTGGAACTTTCCATCTTTCCTCTCACTTCTCAACTTCTCAGCCTCATCTCTTCATCACTCTATACCAATATGTCTACCAACGGCGCAGGTACCGGCAAGGCTCCCGCCCACCCCGAGTCTTCGCGCCATGATGAACGCGGTCTGGTCAAGGTCCAGCCCGCCCGTCTACAGGATCTGCAGCCAAAATATGCCGCTAGAATTGAGCATGACGAGGACAACCCCGACGCGCATGGATGGTATTCGCAGTTGAGTATGTGGTCGTTCCCTGAGCCGTCGCATCGCATCGCATCGCATAAAAGCTGACTCCTATTCTAGTCCACAGCCTTGGTGAATGTATCGGATTCTGTGGTGCCATTCCCTGCTGTCTCTGCTGCCCCAACCCCTTCAAGCCTGTCGACCAGGGTCAGGTTGGTCTTGTTTCACGATTTGGCCGGTTCGTACTACCTTAACTCCTCCCCCGCATTTGCACGACAACCCGCTAATGGAATATCTCATAGATTCGAGCGCTCCGTGGATCCCGGTCTGGTCAAGGTCAACCCGCTCAGTGAACATCTCACGACTGTCGACGTCAAGATTCAAATCGTTGAAGTTCCACGCCAGGTCTGCATGACCAAGGACAATGTTACCCTCAACCTCACCTCCGTCATCTACTACCAAGTTACTTCCCCGCACAAGGCCGCTTTCGGTATCTCCAACGTGAAGCAGGCGCTCGTGGAGCGCACCCAGACTACTTTGCGCCATGTGATCGGAGCCCGTGTCCTCCAGGATGTGATTGAGCGCCGCGAGGAAATTGCCCAGTCCACATCTGAGATCATCGAGGAGGTCGCTGCTGGCTGGGGTGTACAGGTTGAGTCCATGCTCATCAAGGATATCATCTTCAGCAATGACCTGCAAGATTCACTTTCCATGGCCGCCCAGTCCAAGCGTATTGGTGAGAGCAAGGTTATTGCAGCCCGTGCCGAGGTTGAATCTGCCAAGTTGATGCGCCAGGCTGCCGATATTCTGTCTTCAGCTCCCGCCATGCAGATCCGCTACCTGGAAGCTATGCAAGCAATGGCCAAGACTGCCAACAGCAAGGTTATCTTCCTGCCTGCTGTCAATCAAACTGCGAATGCACAATTGGCCGCCGCCGACAACGCAGGCGAGGGACCTAGCAGCCATGGACTCCAGCAACAAACCGGCATTCCTGACGATGGATTCCAACGCGCGATGAATGCTCGTGTTGTCGAGAACATCTAAACGACAGGCCAACTGGAAAACGCAGTCTGGTCACCGGATCTGCCTTGAAATGATGTTGTTTCGCATGAAGATATGACTCTTGCCTTCGGTTTGTGATTTATATTCCTTGCTTGCCCCTGGGGTTTGCGAGAAAGGCCGTCTGCCTGCGGTCTGGTCGCATCCCCCAGGGATTCCAATGCTCTGTACTATGGCTGGACTTGATTGGGCCCATGACGATACCCACCCTCTTTTTGCTTTATGATTACCCCTCAGTTCTGTATTTGCCGCATGGCTATAATGATAGTTTATAGTTTAATCCGAGTCAATTAACACTCCTATTCGTTGCCAAACAACATTGACATTATAATTATGCCTAGTACATTGATGAAATCAATAAGCTCTCATGTAGAATTTCACTTCTATACGAGAATAAATCTCTAGAATGACGAAATCTCCGAAAGAAGAGAGTTCATAGCTCCATTGTATGACAGTCGCACCGTCACCGCCTTGGGGAAGTGGAGGAGGCCCGCGCCAACGTGGATGATTAGCCGCCTCCGTTCAAAGTCCTGAAGCTGCTCCAACTCCTTGCATTCTTCCGTTCAATTTGTTTTCCGGTTGGATTGAAGGGTGACTACCTCTGCGTATCCAGAGACCTTTCATCCACTTACAATATGACTTCCTTAACCACAAGATCGACCACCAAACAACCACCATCCCCCAAACCCCCAACCGCGACAACACCCAACTTCGCCGACCCGAACTTCGACCCCGCCGAGTTCCTCAATGAATCCCTCTCGCCTTTGACGGTGGCATCCTTACAACCCAATGCTTCTCGAGTACCCGGCTCCGTGCCTCTGAACGAGCTGTCAGCACAAGTCCAGACCCTGCTCTCACAGATCAGTGCTCAGAACGTCCGCCTCTCCACTACCCTCTCCCAACTCAGCGATGAGATCCTTAGAAGCGGTGGACGATTGGCGTACGAGGTAGAAGTACTACGGGGAGAGACAATTGGCTTGTCAGAAACTCTGACTGATGTTCTACGCGACGACATCTCCAAATTCGTCCCGGTGTCCTCGACAGAGTCTTCCGCTGGTCGGAAGACAGACCCCGAAGAAGAGGAAACAGCAGGAGAGACGACCAAATCAGAGACTACAGAAAACGAGCAGGCTGCGGACACGCAGAAGAGTCCCGCGACAACGACAACAACGGACCCTGAATACATCAACAACCTCCGCACACTCAACCAGGTCCGATCACGACTCGAAGACGTTGTCCAAACGTTCGGCGACGCGATGGAATGGCCCTTGCCACCCTCCGAAATTTCCTTCTCCTCATCCTTTATATCTGTTTCCGGACCCGATTTGACCGCCGGTGGTCATGACCAAGAAGAGAAGGGCCAGGAAACCATGAAGAAGCTGCGCAACGAGATCACCCAACTACTGGATAGCGACGGGGCTGGACGGACTGGACTGGATGCAGCCACTCATCGTATCGAGACTCTACGAGCATTGGCGACGGTATGGAAGGGGTCGGCTGAGGAGAAGGCGCGACATCGGTTCGTGGATACACTGGAGAGGCTTGTTGAGGAGCGTCGGCGTATATTAGACCATCAACAGACGATTGCCGATCAGAATCAGCGTGGACCTAAGTCGCGGACTGAACAGAAACGTGACAACGACAGTGGGGGACCTGGTGGAGGATTGTTCCGGAATCTTCAGCGATTGCGGGAGGAAATCTACCTGGAGTAAAGGGAAGGAAGGGGAAGAAATAAAGAGATATTTCCAATCCATACAGAGTTTAATTCTAGAGATGTGCTTGATATGCCCGATGTGATAGAGAGATATGTAAATCGATACTGTGTCTAGCCATCGCCGGTGGGTTCCCTCGTGCACCGAAAACGGGCGCCGATCAGCACCAGTTGTCATCATCTCCCCTCGAATTGCGTACTTCCCTTCTTCAACATCCTGAAACAACCCGCCTTGAACACTCTACGATATGTTCTCCTCGCCCCCAATTCGATTCTGAGCTCCGGATCGCTGAGAATGGCCTCACTCAACCCGTCGTCCCGGTTTGGGGAGCCCAACTCGTCGGCTTCGACCGTGCTGAGGCAGCTCTATCACTATCGCCCACGGACACAAAGAGCCAAAACCCTCGCCCTCTCCGCCATTGCATTTCTTGTTTGCCTATGGCTGCTTTCATCCTCGTCAAGGGTAACTCAATCCCTCCCTCTCATTCATTCCCCATCCCTGATCCTAGCCGCAAGAGACAATCATATCTCCCATCGCTTGCTTGGCCGTCATTCGGCACTTCGTCATTGCGGCGAACCCACAGGAAACGCCAACGCCGAAGTCAATGTCAACGCCAACGCTAACGCAACGCCTTCTCTAGCAATCCGATCCCGATTTTTGGACCAAATTCCCATCCCGCCACCCATTCCCCGGGCGCCCAGAAGATGCGCAGGTCGCTCTTCCCTCCTAAATCAGGCATCACAATCAACAGCACCCTCCCTCATGATCTCGAAAAGACCAACCCGTCCCTGCACCTCCTGGTGCCCGCCACCAAGGGCTCCCGTGGCACATGTCGAACGCTGACCTCGTCAATGATCCTGGGATATCCGCCCCCAGTTATCATCGGATACGGACACGAAAGGCACGGTGCGACCGAGTTCGAGCGCATGGTGGATCGCATTATGCGCGTGCGAAATTACCTCCGCGATAGCAAGGCGGTTAAGGGCCGGGACTTTGTGCTCGTTGTGGATGCCCTGGATACATTCTTCCAGCTGCCCCCTCAGGTCCTCGTCAAGCGCTTCCAGGAGATCCTCCGCACGAACAATCGAAAGTTGCAGAAGAAGTATGGGTTTGCGGTGGTCCCGCCGTCGAAAACGGGGGCCTCCTCGGACCTAGTACAGAAGTATTCCCAGCGAGTCCTATTTGGCGCCAGCAAGATCTGCTATGCTGATTTGGAGGAAGACCCCGGTTGTATATCCGTGCCGGAGTCCTCGTTACCTCCAGATGTTTATGGTTGGAAGACAGATATCTACCCAGATGGACACAAGAACCGGCCCCGCTATTTAAACCCTGGCGCAGTCATCGGCCAAGCCGCCGATTTGAAACTGATCTACGACGAGGTTCTGCGTGTGGTTGAGCAGCGCCACAAGAAAAACGGCGACTACCAGGCTTTGACGCAGATGTATGGTCGACAAGAAGTGGTGCGGGAACTGGAGCGTCGCCGCACCACCAATGGCGCCAAGGAGTGGCTTTACAATCTGATTGGGATCTCCGATGCATCCAACCTTACAGGCATAACCGTCCGACTGGAGACGGGCCATCGCTACGAGTACGGGATTGGAGTCGATTACAAGTCCGAACTATTCTTCAACCAACACATGTCCCGAGCCGACGTCGAATGGCACAAATTTGGCAACATCACCAAGTCATCCATGCTCCAGGCCCAGTTTGGCGTCCCCCGAGAATCCCGCATGCTCCTCCCACCGGACGTTGCAGCTCTCCCGAACCCATTCAATCAAAGCCGCCTTGCAAAGCAACAAACTAACATCCCGGAGTGGAACTCCACTCTCGACAAATTGCCCAGCATGCATGACCATACATGGAATACACTCCCACTCATGACAAACCCGCATTCCGCCTCCGTCCCGGTCCTGGCACATATGAACGGCGACTCGAAACTGCGCAACGCATGGTGGGAGAAGATGTGGTTCTTCCCCTGGGGGCGAGCCTTACTACGAAAGTACGTGCGTGCCTCGCAAGGCTTTGAAGCCGCCCAGTCCGCACTTCTAGGCGGCCAGGACTTGTGGGATGTCCGCGGTGGACGAGGTGGGCTCTGGACCGACGATGCGAATTGGGTCAAACTTTCTGAAGTCTGCGAGGGACAGGAACGGGATCTTTTCGACGATGATCTTGGCCCTTGGTCGAAGGAGAATGGGGATCCGGATTCGCCTGTCTATAATAAGTTTGGAAAACTGGTTCGTGGTAAAGGGCCTGTGGATGAGGAGGATCAGTTTAATTTTGACTTCTGGTGAAGTTAGTACACCCTCTCTCTCTCATTGTTTATTTTTTGTCCGAGATGAAGGAGATCTCGCAGTGGGACTCTGTTTTCATTATTCACCTTACCTTTACCTTGTGCACGTTCCTCATCCTGGGACACTGTTCTGCTTGATACCACATTTCGTTTTGGCTTTGGGTTATAGCATGGTTGTTATGCTACGTGGCTGTGTTTGGCGTTTGGGGCGTTTCATTGGAATTGTATCATAGAGTTGCTAGTTTTGGTGTTCAAATTCGTGCACATACATTTAGCAGAGAATAGATACTGCGTTACCGTATTACCTTGGGTTTATTGGAACAATGTTGGTAGATTCTTGTCATTGAGTACCTAACAAACAATATGATCAATGTCCGGGAGTCAATCATCGACTCGACCTGACACTGGCACGATTGTAAACCCGAAATCATCCACACATATTGAGTTCAACTCCCATTCGCACTCCCATTCATACTCCCATTGATGGACACCGTCATACAGGAACACCATGAAACGCCTTCTCTCATAATACATCACCATAACTAGAGTTAGCGCCAACTCCACATCGAACCTAGAAGGCAATGAGACCTCGTCCGGTGACAATGCCATGATACCCTTTCTGAACGTTCTCAAATCGCGTCATTCCACACGATTCACTCTCAAGATGCGAGAACAAGGCAGCCAAAGCAGTAAACTGCTTGTCACAGCTTCCCAGCTTGTTGGGACAGTGATAAACCTTCTGCTTATGAACAGGCGAATTGAGATGTGATCTCAGTGACGATGCAGAACCGAACCCCCGGTGACAGTAGTAGCACTCCCAGCTATTGCCATTGTAAGCATTCGGGTTGACTTCCCACTTGTTCCGTTCTTCATCTTCTTTCCAGCCGATTAGTTTGTTGGTGATCATGCCGCTGCGATCATTCTCTCGGATAACCTTGTAGATGGTTTCGCGGTTTAGCGTTGGAGCGTTGGGGCACGCGCCCGACTCGAGGTGAGTACATGCACCACTGGCAGTGCCGAATGAAGACTGGCAAAAGGGACATACGACTGTCGTGCCGCGGTGAATCTTGGAATTCAGATGCTGGAGATAAAGGTGGTCAGTTATGCGCTTGATAGGGATGAGTTGAACTTGAAACAAAGTGTTTTATCAACCTCGGGAGTCGTGCGTAAATCAAGCAATGTAATGGAGTCCAGAGAAGTAGTAGAACGTACCATGTGCAGGTTATTCCTGTTCATAAAGTGTCGATCACAATCAGGACAGTATCGCTCGAAGTGCATCTCGGCCCGCATATGCTGGTCTCGCGCAGCAACCGAAGTGAATTCACTGGTACATGTTTCGCATTCGTATCGAGGCCAGTGGTTGGTGGCGTTCATGTGCTGCTCCACAGCTCTATGTGTGCGGAATCGACGATCACAGGTCTGGCATTCGGCCCAATGGCCATAATCGTCCATGTGTTCATCGCAGTCTTCTTGGTAGTAATACTCATCGTAACAGCTTGCGCATTCAAACATCTTGGAAGGTGACTCGGTGAGAAGGAGGGAGATAGATGGATGGAAGAGGATGAGAGGGGAAAATAAGGTCAAAGCGGGGGTGGTTGTGAGAGGAAGCTGGTGAAGTGGAGTGAGCGTGATCGGTGACAGTAATAAAGGTTCAAGTCTACATCCAATTAGATGGGCGGGGTGTTCCGTGCAAACGAACGTAATGCAAACGTCAAGTATGGATCGAGATATGACGAGTCCATTAGTGCATTAGTCTGCTTAGGGCATGGCTAGTATTAGGGGGACGAAATTGGTTTTGGCGAACAGAATTCTGGGATGTTTAGACTGTTTATTGACTATATATGGGGCCCGTCGCGGTTTTGAATATGACGAAAAGCAGTAAGAACAGTGGAAAATGGAGATCGGAGATCTGAGATCTTAGCGGAGACGTGAGCGGTGTACAATTCAAATACCCTGATCAAGATTTAAATGCTGTATGTATATAGTAGATGCAAATGCATGCAGATGCAGCTACCACACCATCTGACCCACATCAACAAACAGACTACAAACTTCGACTTGAAGCGATGTGTATCCTACAGCATATTACTTATCGGAGATGATAACCTGAATTCGGGATGACCTGAATGAGTTGACTTAACATGATATAGTCCGGGTAAGCATATAATCAGACACCTTTCTCCACTGGCGAGTTGAGCCACTGCTTTTCAGAGTCAAGAAGACCCTCTTGGAGCGTCCATTCCTTAATTACCATGACCTCTCGCTCCTTTGACCTCGGCTTGATGCTTGCAGGGAATGGCTCCGGCATACAAACAAACCCTTGGGTAAGACGATCAGCATCTGGTATGATCTCGTTCCCATGAGAGTCCTTAGCGGGCTTAATCGTAAAAGCCCAAAGTATGCCCGCCATCCCAAGGAAAAGACTCCTTTCAGCGACATGGATCCCTGGACAAATGCGACGTCCTGCCCCAAAGGTAAATGCATCTCGCTTAGAAGGGTCAGGATTAGCTGCGGCATCGCCGAAGCTTTGGAAATCATCTTTGTAACGATCGGGATTGAAAACCCGGGGATTTGGATGTCGTTTTGGATCCATACCAATAGCCCAAACATTGTTCAGCACACCCGCACCCTTTGGTATTAGGTATCCCTTGTATTCATCGTCTTGAGTGACGGCGTGAGGTACTGCGCCTAAAATAGTAGTCGGCATCCATCTTAACGTTTCCTTCATGCAGCCACGAATATACTGCAAATCCACAAGGTCGTCCATCCCAGGCAGTCGATTTGGACCAACAACCCGATCGATCTCTTCCTGTGCTCTGCGCTGAACATCGGGATACAGTAGCATAGCTTGCACAAAAGCGTAAAGTGTACTTGATGTGGTGTCGGATCCTGCCTCCAGGAGAGTTCCGGATATGTAGGCAGCCTGATCATTGCTGAATTCTTCCTTCTGCTGCACTTTATACATTCCTTCGCTGAAGCAAGGCTTGATGATATTCTCCTTGATGTCAGATTTTGCCTTCATCCAATGGTTGAGATAGAGTGCTTTTTCATTGCGGTGCAACTCTTTAGCCTTTCGTTGGGCTGGGATGAGAAACTCCGGCAATTGTCGCAGAAACGGGAAAAAGTCGATAATAGCAGCCGTCCCTGTTTGGTTTATTTCTGCAAATTCGGAGAAGCCGTCAAAAAGCTGCATCATTTTTGGATCTTCATAGGTTGGAGTTCGCCATCCGAAGACCATGGTAGTTGTAAGTGCATTGGAGTATCTGAGTATAGAATGGCGGGATATTAGTACGGGGTCATCCATGTTCGCATCTTATCCTATATTGACTAGGCGCTGCAGTAGGAAAATACCTTCGGATATGATTCAGAAAATCCTGCGGCTCATTAAGGAATTGAAATAACATCTGCCGATTTTCCAATATCTGATATGGGAGATACTTTTTGGAAGTTGTTACATTCAACAAGGAATGAACCATTTTGCGGAACTGGTGGCATGTCAGTAAGCACCCCTGAATATGGTGAAGGATTTCAAGCTCATACACCGCGCCATTTGGGTCCGTAGCCCTTGAGAAATCATTAGCAAAGCTCACAAAATATGCAAATGATAGAGTGAAAAGTTACCATCATGAGTAGCCTTAGGTTACCGCTGCAAAGTGTTTGCCCAATGTACATCTCCTGGCGATCTGAATAGATGCCACTTCTTTTATCGAGGAGATCCTTGACAGCTTCATCGCTTGAAAGAACGACAAGACACTTAGTTCCAAGTATGAGACTGTAAACGGGCCCATACTCTCGGGCCCATCTTTCAAATTGTAGATGTGCATCCTTCGAGGGCATCTGTATGGGTTTTGGTTAGAAATATGGACCAAGAAAGACCGGCTGACATACTTGATGAATGTTTCCCAGGATTGGCAGAGTTGGAGGGCCCGGTGGATAGTTCTTGGGCCGTTGGCCAATTGATAGGATACGGTATACAATGAACAGGGCAATCAAAGATCCCAGAATAAGAGTTATAGGCAACATGGTGACGTGTGAACCCGAGCATTTGATTCGAAAGAATTTTCCTCGTATATTTCACGCTGCTTTTATAATTTTCCGTTGTGAGGCCACACATGTATCTTCGCATCCTAATCATGGGGATGTCGGAAAACATGTGGGATGATATCGGGGGCTGTGGGATGGGTCGGACGCGGAGGTGGGGATAAAATTTATTGAGGGAGATCCATGTCTTGATTCGGGAAATATGACGAACAGAAATATTTCCTATGAAGTTTAATCTGAAAGGTTGGATATAATGTGTATTTAAAGTTAAGCGATTATTTTCTTTGATTTGAACCTGGATATTTTTACTAGTAGAATGTACACAGATATCCGATAAAGGGTGGAGGCATATTTCATTGTATCAACATTCATATCTGAAAAGTTTGAAAGCCCGTGATCAGGTCATTGACTTGTCGCATGCTAGTTTGGTCGTATTTGCTCAATATTGGGTCCAGGACCGAGTCATTCAGAAGGGATATACTATTCTGAGGTAGTAATTCGGCTACGGCGAGTCGATCTGCCATAAGGTTCGCCAAGAGCCAGTACTCTGCACAATAGCGATAGAACCCGTTCCTTTTCCACATAGTTTCGGGTTGGATATCGTTTTCGTCAACCAGAATATGCGGTGAAGTGCCTGAAGAGCCCATGGAAGTAAACAACTGCCACGACGTGTGCCAGTTCGCCAAGGTATGACGAATTGAAGTCAGGCTTTGGCACATGCTCACCGAGTTCCGGTATTGGAAGATCTGAGAGTGAATCGCTGCGACTTGTCAGTGATGCATATGGCTACCACAAGAGAAATCACTTACCAGAGGCCATCGCGAATAAATTCAGTTGGCCCAAGGATGCAATAGAGTGCCGCATGGTCGGTGATAATTCAGGTTGAGAGAGCGCCTCAAATGCGTGCCGGAATGAAAGTCCCCAGTATGCGCTTCCGGCTGGCAGATGGAATCGGATCTTTTGATGGCATAGATCTGCCGTCTCCGCTTGGAAGCATGCTTCTGGAGTTGCCATATTGATATTCATCTCCTTAAAGACCATCCGAGGAGGTAGATTATTGAAGATAACGAATGCAGTGTCGAGTAGAAATATCCATGTAAATAGTCGAATCAGCTCTTCCCTTGCGGCGAACTCTTTCCACTGGAAATCGGCCCTGACAAGAGTTGCATAGTTTATATGTGTTGCGGTTGTGATTCCGATATCTCTTGCAGTAGACACCAGATGGGCAAAACGGAATCGGCGGATACGGCTTTTGCTGCTGTCGGTTCCCTCCCAATTCTGATAGAGGCAGACTATGTAGGCAGCCTGAAGGGCCTGTAGCTTGGGGCGATGAATAGATATAGTACTACTCGAGACCGGATAGCCCAAGTCACTGTTGAAGTCATCATCAATGAAGACTATCTCCTCGACACAATTTAGCCACATTCGTGCGTCTTCATTATCTGGCATATCAGGAGAAACACAGGCACCCATGAGTGCCATTGCTGCCAAGAGGGCCGGCTTTGCTGAAACCGTGTCAAATGTAGGCCTATGCACGAAGTTGACGTTGGGGTGCCAGATAGCCCAGTAAAAGCCAAGGTATCTTCGAAGATTCGCAGGCGAGAAGAATTGTAAGCATGCATTTTTGAGAGATGATGACCATTCCAGAGTCACAGGGCTGTTTCGGGGTTTTACAGTGACCACCTCTTCAACCAATAGAAGAATCTCGTGGGTCTTGAGCGAGAGCGGTTCGTTTAACCAATTTTGTGAAATGGAATCAGAACTGCCGGCGTCGCTGATATTATCCAAGAGAAGAAGGGAGACTGGACTGGATTTCGAATGGGGTGGTGACAAGATGGTGGATGTGTGTTGTAGGATATCAAAATTCTCAAGCTCCAATGCCGAGGCGACCTGTTCTCTCTGTTCTTGTGTTCCGCAGTCAAAGCTCAATAAGAGCCCCGTGTTACTTGTGAAGCGGTCCAGGAAAGGCAATGAATAGCCACATGTAGTATTGTCAATGAACTGAGCATCGGATGTGAGTTGCGCATAATCAGGCCAGGGTAGGCTGGAACAGTCCAATGCGCTTTGTCGAAACAAGCTATCAAATGGAGTTGAGCTGAATGTTCCTTGCCCCTGGCTAGACATACCGAAAGGCGTATCGGAGCTAGTAGATGGGGTAGCATCGTGACGATGTTCGTTTGAGACTAGGGCCGAGGCACCCTGATCAACCGCAAGGGCGATCTCGTCGGAATTCGGAGTGGAGTAGAAGCAAAGGACGCCCTTTTTGAAACATGCTTGACACGGCTGATCCGCACTGCACGCCTTTTTCTGGCGGACACATCGGTCGCAAGCGCGTCGTCTTGCCCCTGCTTTTGATGGCCCACCCCCACACGTTCGTAAATGGCGTTTGAGTACATCACCTCTTTGGAAAGAGCCGTGACATGATTTGCATCGAAAGGGTCGGTCTGAAGTATGGGAACTGGATATGTGGCGACCCAGATGTTCGCGTCTTTTATACTGCTTATCGCATATTGTACACTGGTATTTCAAGAGCCTTGGTGATGACTCTTGGGGTGCAGTCGCTCCCTGAGAAGTGTTCTCGTCCGACATATTTTCCCAGCGATAAGAAGTCATCAGGATCCGTGGAAAGAGCCCGGGGCTACATTTTGCGGGGCGAGGAATAGAGTTGGCTAGCTTGTGGTGACGGTTCATGGCTTCGGTAGTTGTGAGGATGGTGATTCTAATTGGTTCGGAAATAGAAGGCATTTGATCGGATATAGCCAGGAGGCGAGTTCCAGTCAATATCCGAATTTCTAACTTGAATGTATGGCATTTTTTATGGATTCATTATACTTTCAAAGCCAGTGTGCCCAAAAGAAAAAGCAAAAAAGACATACGGATCGTTTTACATGATCAATGTTGGTGCTGTTAGGGTCAGGTTTCGCGTCCAAGACCCTTTCTGGCGCCAAATACCCGGCAGCGAGTTTAGAGCGGAGGTGATGTTGTTGAACCTGGTTTTCACAAAAACTTGCTGCAACCGACTTGTGAAGAACTTGCGATGTTCAGGATCGGTAGAATCCGCAGCACCGATAAAGCACACCCACACTAGGGCGTGAGCACCGACTCGTTCAGGATCAATCTGACTAACAAGCTGTTTCAGGTTTTCGACGAGCTGCCACTGATCCTCATCAGAGGATGCGCGACCGAGGTAAATATGTGACGCTTTGATGAAGGCCATCCGTAATCTAAGAAGGAGTTTACTGTCTTCCGAATCCATAGGAAGGTCATAACAGATCCAATCAAGATAATTCTCAAGCGGCAGGCGAAGGGCGTTAATTCCCTGGGCCTCTCCTAATAATGGCTGGCCTAGGAACTCAAACCTGGATAAGAACGTTAGCAACCCTTTTTTTACAAGGGTTCCAGTCGACATACATATGCGTTTGTTGAGTCAAAAAACGTTTTGTGGAAGAGTTTATATGCCCAACATTCTGGAACAGGCACAGAAGAGTTTGTAGTAGGTGACCATATTCGGAGCTACCCGTGATTGTTTCTCCGACCAATAGGACAATAATAGTTGCCCAGGTGCCTTGATTGAAAACATGATCGGGCGAAGCTTGGAACGCATCCTGGCGGAGCTGGGAGATAATAGCTGCACGGCCTTGGTCCACGGCGCCTTGGTAGTCTGGGTGGGAAAGAGCGAAGTGCTGAGCAGCAACAACACCTACTGCTCGACGTAATAGATCATGGTCGCAAGCTAGCGGTAAAATGATGTCTCGGTAGCCATTTGCAACATGGTCTAGTACCACCATGACAGGTGCAACATGTTCCGCAACTGCATAAAAGTGGTTAATTGGGTGTTTTTGGGGTAAAGAACACAAGTATCTCACAATGTGACATGGACATGCGGACTTGAGGGTCCATTGGAGATATCCAGTATGGAATCGATTCCGACGCGCGTAAAACCAACTCAAGAGAAGTGTCATGGGGTATCCCCGTTGCCACTTGGCTTAGAGCCTCATCATCTCTAGCCTGTTGAGGCGTCTGCGACTCGCTCTTGGAGGTATCGCTAGATTTTTTCACGCGTCTAACGCGTTTCGGCTGGTCATTCTTCCATCGGATTTTAGAAGGAGTCGCGCTCGGAGCATCAGGTTGAGGCCCAAAGCCATCCCTAAGCTTGCCGCGTAGAGCGACCCCTGAAAATCGAATTCGCCCCGAGCCCGAGCAATGGATTCCCTTTTTCAGGCATTTATTACAGCTGGGCTCCGAGTTATCGCAGATGATTCTGCGCTTAGTGCATTCTCTGCAACCTGCGGCAATGAAGCAATGAAGGAATGTGGTCAGCTCAGCATTGTGGCGAGTCACGTCAGGAATGATCGCCTGGGCCACCGAGACTCACTCTTGCTTTTGCTCTTGCTGCCAGAATCTGTCATCGGCGTCGCGTCAAGGCGGGGTTCTCTCTACATGTGTCTCGGCAGTACTCCGTTGATGGTGATCATAAATATGGTTGAAACAAGAATGGGAAAGGAACTCGCAGGTTGGCCGTCTCCACTGTGAGAGCGGGGGGTTCCGGGCCACCGGTCCGAGGGCGGCGAGACTACATTCTGGCCTCCAAGTGGTCAAATGGTCAAATTTACTTTGAAATAGATTCCAATAGACTTAGTTACACTGATCACTCGCTCGACTGTAGTAGTCGCGGTCCATGGTATTTCGTTCGAGCGTATAACGCCCAGTTGAGGATCCCACACAGCGCCATGACTCCCAGAACCGCAGCTGTGTAATTCATGCTGCTTCCCGATACTGGCAGCGATGTTGGAAAATCGTAGAATATCAGTACCAGGATAGCGAAGCATATAGTGATAATATTCACAGCAAATCCACTGAGTCCGGGTAAGCGAAATGATCGGTCCCCGGGCAGCCAGGTCTCTGATCGCTTTCTATACAGAAGTAAAGCAGCAGGGAAGGCGTATGAGATATGCTGAAGAACAAGACCAGTTCCGATAAAGGCATTGAAGGCAGATGAGGAGCCTAGATAAACACATCCGATGATGAACATGACAGCGAAGTTGAAGATAAGTCCCCATACTGGGACTTGGCACTGGCTGTGGATTTGACTTAGCCAATGGCTTCCCATAATTGCCCGGTCTCGAGCAAGAGACCAGGTCAATCTAGAAGCAGTTTGCTGGGCACCGATGAGGGCAAAGGTAGCTGCACAGCAGAGAAGAACGATGAATACTGTTGCGGCTGTATTTGACTGGGTCGCTTGACGCCACATTTCGTAAATCGGCACACTATACAGTAGTAAGGATGATGTTAGTCGGGTAAAATTACCAAATCGCAGGAAATTCCAACATACCCAGTGCTGGAGGCAACCACCGCATCTAGATCGCTGGTACAGTATAACATGGCGATCATGAATGCAAATGAGGTGACGAATCCAATTATCAGAGTGCTCATCAATGCCCGAGGAACGACGATGGCAGCGTCTATGCACTCTTCGGCAAGATGAAGGGCTCCATCAATCCCAGCATACATGTAATTAGGTGTGACGAGGCCAGTGAGAAAGGCAACCCCGCCAGAACTCCACCCACTACCATTAAGGAATGTTCCCCAGACATTAACAGACGGCTCATAATGTGGGGCAGATTTTGCGACGCAGGTAATTGTAATTACCAGAAAGCTAGCCAGGGTCACGAAAACTATCAAGGTAAGCAGAGCCCGTTTGGTATGCTGAGATAAAAACTTACAAGATACATCATGTATCCAGAGAGACCGTTTCAATAGAGTTATGTTGTAAAGCAGGACACAGCCATTAATGGCTTGATAGATCAAGAATGAGTGCCATGGCTGTGGGGTAAAGTTCGGGTTATAGAAAACAATCATTCCCACGATGCACTGGGCCGGAATGATAGCAATCCCCGTGCAGATGGCGATCCACGAAAACATATTGGTGATACCACAGCAATAACTCTAGTTTTATCAAGTCAGTGTATTTCCTTCTTGAGAGGCGCGACTTGAAGATCCTACCAGAGATCTATTGACCCTTTTCGGCGCCAGTATAGAGGTCCAGTGGTATTGCCCTCCCGCAGTGGGATAGACGCTGGCGAGTTCAGCGAGGGTTAATGTGCACGCTCCAACCAAAATGAAAATGAGAATAGGCCCATATATCAGTGTCACTGGACCTCCTTGGGAGATAGCAAGAGCAACGGTCCCAGCCAAACCCGCCCAGCTATCACAGATTACCCAGCTAGCCGATATGGTCTCCAGATAACTCATTTTCCGACCCCCTTCGGTATGGAGATCAAGGCCTTTAAGCTGAACTTGGCCAACTAAACTCTCCATCTGTCCTGGCTCTGAATATCGTTAGCTAAATGAACTATAAAATAGGCGGACAAGTGGTTGGATTTGGGATGTGATGAATGGCATGGCATGAAGGTGAACGCACGCCTTTCAGCCTCGATAGAAGCTACAGAAAGAAAGTATTAGTCGATTTTAGTGTAAAATACTGCGTGTATAGTCAAGTTAACATACCTTTCTCTACTTTCATTTCGCCGGATTCCATTGCGTTTTGGTCTCAATGATGCCAAATTAAAAAGAGGAAATAGTTGGGATGTAACAAGAAGATCAGTGGGAGAATGTTCTGCTAAAATAGGGACAGAACAGTCCTCACATGAGTATATGCTTCGTATCATGAACGCCAACGGAGCATATCTTATCATTGTACGGTGACGATGATAAGGTGAATTGTGCGGGGAAATATTATTACCAAAAGCAGAAATAAAGGAGAGAAAATTGTCATCCCGGGAAGTATAATTCGAGTGGCAATTACGTTTTCACGCCATAAGAGGCCCTTTCCGAACCTGATATTACCAATCATCTTCCATGCAATACGTCTCACTCCGGAGAATGGTCCTGTGGGGGTGAATTTCGCCCAAAGGCGTTTTGTTAATTAACCCCGCACATTCCAAGAATACCAATGAGTGCAGAAATACGTAGAAGTAGATCGCTCCCTTGTTCAATTTTGGGATTATTTACCTTTTTATCTTCAAGGGGTTTCTTTATCGGATAGCTTGCTTAAAGGGTTTCCTAATTTGATGGTTTATATCAGAAGAATTCAGAGGCTTTGCCTGGCTCTACTAATTCCATTACTAAGGCACGCGTTCTCCAAATTTAAATGGCCTGCCAGATGCTCGCAAGGCTCTGAATGGAATTGAACAACTTTCCCGGGAACTAGGTATCGGCAAGGCTATGGACTCAGATGCGAAGCCAGAAACATTCTAGTATGCATTATAATTGGACACCTGGGCATGGATATTTTTCAGTTCACATTGTAGATAAACGTAGCTATTTTAATCATCTTAGGTTCTACAGGTGGGATCGGAGTGGAGTAGATCGAAGCTCTTCTTTCACCGTAAGAGCCGCCCGGGTACCCTCCTCGATAGCCCCATCAATGAAGCTGCGCCATCCAATCGCCCAGTCCGAATTAGCAAAAAGTATGTTTCCATGTCGTTGGCGAAGCGCATCGAGCGAGCTGGAGATAAATCCTGGAGGGGAGAAAAACCATGCTCCCTTGGCAAATTCATCCTTGGACCAATTATGGAAGACCTTCAATTTATTAGCTATTTTCTCGAATAGAGGAAGACCATAGAAACTCACCAGGCGCTGGATATCCATGTTTCCAGGGGCCATGCTTGTCACGGCCGCTTTGGTTGCATTTACATCTTCCTCGGGCTGAATGTGATTGTGCTGTCCTCCAAAGCATACAATGTGCGTATTTCCAGCTGGCGTGGTTCCATCTCCGATCGCGTACGTGAGCTTGTTGAACGGATAAGAGATTCCAGTCCAAGAACGCATATCCTTATTCGATATCTCAGCATGCACCTTGACACACTGGTTGACATGACCAATCTTAGTTGCCTGTGTGCGGATAGGGTCAAGGGGAGGATTGAAAGTAATGTCGTTGAGCACATTGAGCGGAATTGTGGAAACCAAGCACGATGCTGTAAAACTGCGACCATCGCGAGTTGTTACAGTGACTTTCTTGTCCTCATCCTGAATCGACTTAACAGGGCTGTTAAATGCATATGATAGATTCCCTGTCGATAGTGCTTCGTTGAAGAACTTTATGGCAAATGAGGATTGGCCTTGCTTGAATTTGAATGAGATGAGGCAGTCCATGCATCCGCGGTAGGTATAGCCACACAAAGCCCACCAATGTAGAAACTCGAAAAAGCTGGTTGTCTCGAGGGTGCCACAGCTGCAGAGCAGAATAAAGCTTTCCAGTCCGGTTCGTTCATTTGGTGTGAGAGACTGAGAAATGACGTTCAGACGATCTAAAACTGACATTTTGTCGTATTTGCGTGCATCGGGGTTGTGGAATCCGGCATAGGGAAAGGGGACAATTATACGACCCATGTCACCATCGACATTCACAAACTTTTCCAACGCCGTGGCAAGTAGCGTATCCTCTTCCTCGTGACTCATGGTGGTAGAATGTTTGTCGGTGCGCAATTCGAAGTAGTTGACTCCACGGGAGAAATCGAAAGAAGGCTCCAGCTCCTCTCCCATCTGGTACCTAGAGATCTCCCGCCAGACATTCGCCTGGTGCCAATGGACCCAAGTCCCTTCCCATCTCGAAGGGGTAGCCTTCGATATTAGACGACCAAGATCTCCCGCCAATGCGATCGCGGGCTTCAACAAGGAGGACTTTCAATCCTGTATGGAATCAGTGAAAGTTGCCTTCGGCAAGTGAAGAGGAGGGGCTTTCTTACCTGCTACGCACATGTCTCGAGTGGCTGTGAGACCAGAATATCCACCTCCGATGACAATGACATCCCATGGTGTGTCTGAGGTGATTTTTGTTGATGGAGATATGACACCAATAGATGGGACACCTTGTTTCAGTCCATTCTGAGGAGTCCATTGAAAGCCATCGCGGGAGGTCATTGTGGAAGAATTAAACGCTCTGGAATGCCTGACCAGGTGAGAGGCAAAAAGTCCTAAAAACCCCCAACGGAATCTTTACAAGTTCAAGTTCAAATGATCGTGTGAATCTCGCAGTAACTAGCAGCATATATACTAGTACTGGTAGGCTCCATGCCCCGCTGTCCAACTAGTAGAAGCAACATCGGGACTCCAACTCGGAAAGGTCGAATTTTCACATCATACCCAGACATGTCCAAGGAAAGACAAAAAAGGCTATTAAAACGAGAGATAGGAGATAAGAAATCCCACAAACGACAGCTTGTATTCAGAAGAACCGATGAATCTGGGTTGCCATCAAGCTGGATATTGGTTGAAGTGGGTCATTGACAAAATTACCGAATTCGGGCATAAAAGTGAGATTTACTCCAGACCAGAATTTGGAACCTTCGCCAGTGGTGAACAAGCTGATTGGCTTGTAGTTTTTCAAGATCAATGGAAATTCAGATAACAAGAGGGGCAAATGAAACTTCGCGTGACCTACCCCAGATTCGAAGTTGTTGTTTCTCACATTACCTGTCCAATTGGGAAGTCCAATTCCCATGAGCGTCACCCGTGACTACTTTGGGACCCAACGACTGATGAGCATATCGTTCATAGCGAGAACTTAATCACTGTTTCCAAGGTTTCTTACCCCGGAGCAAAGGATATATCTAATTTCCGGGGAAGAAACCAGCCAATGCGGGGCCGCTGATTTCCGCGTGTTACACCGTAACCTTGAAATTTCCCCGCATTTTCTTCTCCTCACCAACTTGTGTTGTGCAGTTTCTATCGCTTCCAACCCCATCGCGATCGCGGGGAATTATTTCCGCTATGGACATGTCTTTCGAGTCCGCACAGGGCATCAAGCGCATAAGACAAGCGTGTGCGAATTGCAGGTAAAGAAGATCCTTCCTCTCAGGGGTTTGCCCGCAGCACTCGCCACGTCCAGACTGACATTGTGTGTAACGTGAAAAATCTTTAGACGCAAGAAGACAAAATGCTCTGGAGAGCGTCCTATTTGCTTCCATTGCCGCCGAAACCGAATCGCATGCCTCTACGAACCCTACTCTGCGACGATAGTGGCAGAACCAAACCAACCAGCACAGCCACTACCGACCTCAAACAATTACCAAGATTCTAGCAATGTGTGTTCTCGCGAGCCTCTGTACGAAGCCAGTGCTAATTCCAGTGATAGGCGGAGCTTCTACACCGAATAAGTACCATTGAATCCCGACTTGCGGAGCTCAGCGAGCAGTCAACACGGCGAAACGAGTTCGTTTTCCATTCGCACAAAGCAGTGGTGAATCTGGTGATAGGCTGACGACTTCAGTTCCAGCGATACTTTATTAAACCCATCACAATCAGGGAGCGATATTTCGCCATCAATAAGATCCCCGGACCTGCACACGAACTTCTCACACGCGATCAATTATTCGTATGTCTACATGTGATCCAAACAAAGGCAGCGAAGAAATCTCTACCTCGGCTAACAATCAACCTTGATGCTTGCTAGATCATACCCTCCACTGCCAGTGCTACAATCGGTTATAAACACATACTTCAGCCATTGTCACAATAAACCATATTCGTTTTTCAAGGAAATATCATTTCGAGAAAGACTGGCCAATGGCTCTCTCCCCCGGTGCTTAGTCTTAGCAATCCTCTCGTCCGCCGTTAGATTCTCCGATCATGATTACTACACGGGGAAGCCCCAGGCTTCATCTGAATATGCGAGAGAGTCGTGGTTATCGGTTCTAACAGAACATATGGCGGTGGAAGAAAATTTGAATTTACATGTCGTACAAACTGTGAACTTGCTTGCGGTGGTAGACTATACCGGTCAGTATCATCCACTGAACTCTGGCGATGAAGTATACTGACAGCGCTTTCTGTAATTCAGCTGGCCGCGTGAGCTCTGGATGGCTGAAAATTGGGCTCGCTGCGCGGATTTCACAAGACCTGCATTTGATGATGGAACCGACCGGTTATTTGTCTTATGCAGAGCAAGAGGAACGACGCCGGACCTTCTGGTCGGCCTACCTCATAGATAAGCTGATATCATGTGGCCAAGGACGTCCAATTGTTATACAAGATGACGACTGTTACGTGCAGCTACCCTGCGATGAGACCACCTTTCAAAATGGTACCTGGAAACAGACAAACACCTTAAGTGAGTTACTCAATTGGAATGCGGAGGTCATTGAAAATCCCAGCCCCTTTGCTCTGGTGACGCTCATGGCATCAATATTCGGACGCTGTACAAGATACGTGCACCGAGACAAAAAGTCAGATCAAATTCCTCCATGGGATACCAAATCAGAGTTTTCGGCGATCAAATCTGCTTTGCTACTCCTAGAGTCATATTCCAAGATTAGCGATCGGAAAATATCGGACATCCTGCACGAGACTCACCCAGACGAGAAAGGGCAGCTGATATTTGCCCATACCCTTTTTCACCTTTGTCATTGTCTCTTGAATCATCCATTTCTTGTTCGCCTGCGCTTGAAGCCATTTGCCAAGGCCCCGAGTAGTTTCTCGGCACAGGCACTCCAAGATGGGGCAGACCATGCCAGACAACTGCTCGATCTCCTACGCGAAGCCACCGAAACTGGATGCCGAATAGAATCCTCCTTTTATGCATACTGTATTGCAGTTGCAGGGTCAATCAACTCCCTGGCATCTCATTTCGAACACCAGAGTGTCGCCCGGCGCCAGTCTGATATTCTTTACTATTTCCAGCAGAGCCTCGATTTTCTGAACTCACTGGGCAAGTTCTGGACACATTCCGCAAACATGGTAAGTATCTTTGATCCCATGGATTGGACAAATCTAATGAAAATTCCAGGCCGTCCGCCTCAGTGACTTTCACAGCATTGCCGATCAGTTTTCCGGTCTTCTTGATCCAGCACGTCTAACAGAAGATCTTGATCCATATCATGAAGAAATACTGTGGTCCATGATAGACTACGGGATTCTGGGCTCAGATCCATACAAAAGACCCCTGATATCAAGACCCAACACCTCAAATATTCCCTCGCCAGATCCATGGGCCCTTCAGTCGAGCTTCAATATGAGCGCACCATCACGATCAGCCCCCGATAACACGGGTATCTTTGATGGATTTTCGCCTACAATGCGACTTAATGAGGTTGAGCATCTTTTAAACTGTAATCCTGGGACCAATGGATTGGTCTGAATTGCATCCTCTTCCGATCGTCGGACCGTCGGACCGAGATCCTGAATGCCGGGGCCAGCGGAACTCGAGTTAAAGACACTCTGTTGTTATCATGTAAATAGCTTAATATTCACTGAGATCACTTAATCCGTCTCGTAGAGGCTACAAAATAAAATAAAAATGACGACAAAGAATAATCTTTCGCCTTGGAACAGCGTACTTTCCGGGACCGGCGCCGCCATCCTTGCGAATGTTCTGGTCTATCCACTTGATATGTATGGTTCTAGCTCTGAATCCTACCCTAGAGGCTCTATCTAATTCCTCTAGTGTTAAGACACGGTTACAGATTCAAGTCCAAAGGCGGGACAAAGACGGAACGAGCGACCGTGGCTCAGAAACTGGCCCTCAGTACAATAATGCGGTGGACGCAGTCTTCAAGATCATCCAGGAAGATGGTTTCCCAGGATTGTACAGTGGACTGGGTAGTTCTGTCTCGGCACAGCATCTATGAATTTTGCATATTTCTACTGGTCAGCGGCTGCGAGAGTCCTACATGGAGCGATGCTTAAAGCCCGTGGTCGTACAGATGCAAACAGCATTGTGAAAGAGCTGGGCCTCGGTGCTGCAGGCGGCGCTATGGCCCAACTCTGCACGACTCCTATATCGGTTGTTTCAACGCGACAGCAGCTGGGCACAAAGGTCACGGGCAAAGAGTCAATCTGGAGATCCACGAAAGCGATACTGGACAGTGATGATGGATGGACTGGGCTATGGACTGGGCTGAAGGTAAACCTGATTTTGGTTATCAACCCTATGATCACGTACGGTGTTTATCAATGGCTGCGGAACATTTTGGTCAATGTGAGAAAGGACCTTGGCTCTTTCGATGCATTCAGTGAGTTATAATTGGTCTTTATATGGTCTTTGTTAACCATTCTAACATGTTCCAGTGCTTGGCGCTCTATCCAAGATAGTAGCAACGATTGTGACCCATCCGCTGATAGTAGCCAAGACTATGCTACAATCAAAGTCAGTTGGATCTCGGGGGGGCCAAGCCTTTCAAGGGGTTCACAGAAGTCCTCATATTCATCCTCCGAAACGAAGGTTTCTTACGTCTCTACAAGGGTCTTCTCCCGCAAATTACCAAGGGATTTTTGGTGCAGGGATTGATGATGCTATTCAAAGAAAGGTATGCCTTCAACCTTCTAGGTGTTTATCGATCGATATTTTGGGACGTTTCTCACCTCATCACAGAATGGAAACGCTTCTCGTGCTGGCCATCAAAACTAATAGCATGCGGCTTGGCATGAAACGAGCTAGAAGTTGAAGCGTCTAGACATGGACGTCGACGACTACGCAGGTGGGGTTCTTCCGATTCAAACCAGCTATGTGAAATGCTAGAACCAGAAGTAGAGAATAAATCCCTTCAACCTGGAACGAGTGGAATATTAACTCCTTTTGATGAAGACGAGACAACTGAAATTTGGTCCGGAACTACTCGAACGCATGGTCAGATGGTTGTTTCTGCGATAGCGGACAAGCGAGGGGCTAGTGGTTCTTTTCAGTGGTTTGGGGACCCCAAAGGATCTGTAGCTTGGTGCTAGTGCTTGGACTAGAGCCAATTCGTTGGTTCTTGATCGTCCAGACTGATGCCAAGGTTTGGGGGCCAGACTCGTAGGGCAGAATGTAACATCACAGAACTTGGCAACTTGAAAGTTTCCAAGGTCCTCCTGGGCTCTCCCTGAATCCAGAAATTCAAAACAGATTTCGATATATGTATAAAACGTACTCATTGTATTTCGAAAACATTTGCCCAACAAAATGGAGGCAGTACAATTGTACAGACTTCTCTACAATACAGTACTAAGTTTCGGATAACGTCCGAAACGAAACCGAAACCAAAACAATATCCACCTGAGATTTCAACGACCACCATGCATCACAGCACAAAAAGAGCTGCAGCCAGTGCCGCGCCTCCTAACGCAACATCTCCAGCCGTAGCAAGAGGCATGGCCGCGTTCGAAGTCGGTGTCGAGGCCTGCGAACCTGAACCGGAGGTGACTTCGGAAGTAGCCGCAGAGTTGGTAGTAGTCGCGGATGTATTGGTGGGAGTAGCTTCAGCTTTCTTCGCTGCTGAAGAGACCTGAGAAGAATAGTCACTGGCTGGCAGTGTGTAGGGAATCTTTGCGACGCAGGTGTCTTTCAAAGTGGCCCAGTGATTGTAATCATCCTCTGTGGTAGTCGTCGTGGCGGTTTCGTATAGCAGTGCTGTGTTGGTGAGAGCCTCTTTGTAAAGTCTCATGTCGTAGACACAGCAATAGGCGGTTGTGTTAATGACCGTCATGCCACCGGAGCAGCATCTTGTCACCTTAAACGTGTTGGGAAGCCAGCCGGCTGGACACTCGGTATCCGTGTCATTCGCGGCATGAACGGCGACAGAGACGAATGCCGTCAAGAGAAGGGTCTTGAAAGATACCATTTTGGGTAGTGATTTTCAAGTTGGTGATGTTGAAAGATCGAAAAGGGGTGTTTGTTGAAGAAAATAGTCTACGAACTCGCTAGGCTGGGGCGCAACCAAGACCCTAAGGTGGCCATGACCGCACTAGTAACTATCATTACTTGGGATACCGCTTGGTTACCAGCTTTTCGAGGGGCCTTGTACCATATCACACCACGTAAGATCGTGGCAGCGTTGATAGGATTCGATCACGCAGCAATATCGAGAATGCATGAGAACACGGATGATTTCACATGGCTCTACTTAGACTTCCCTGCCGGTCCGCCCCACGCGCGCAGATCGCACGCCGGTCCGCTGAGTCCGGGGTTTCGGGTTCGGTCCGGCCATCTCGATGCTTACATGTAACAATAATAAACCGTGGAAGGCAATTAATTTCGACCATAATATATCTCCCACCCAGATCAATTGACATTAGCTGAGTTACGAAGAATAGCGGAATGTCTGTCTCGAATACCCCCTTCGCTGATCCGCTTTGGCTTAATCGCCAAAGCAGTCCGTACTACAAAGAATCGCATCGTCGGCTGCAACGAGAAGTTCGCGAATATGTTGACAACAGCATAACTCCTTTTTGTGTATGCAAACTCTTCAATCTCTGGTCATCCTGCCATTGAAGCTAAAATTTTTACTTCGTAGGAAGATTGGGAGAAAGCAGGCTCCATCCCCCCGAGGTTCGTGACGATTCGTAATACTCCTATGGCACTTCGACCGAAGATAAAAGGCTGATGGGCACAATTTTCAGATTCAAACCAAACATGCCGAGCTAGGATACACAGCAGTCGCGTCATTCCCATTGGCAGCGCAGTATCTCCACGGCCAACGACTCCCAGGCGATATCAACCCTCTAGAATGGGATGGTTTCCATGATTTAATTGTCATTGATGAACTGGCTCGCTGTGGCTATCTCGGTATAGTTTGGGGACTTGGATGTGGAAATTCTATTGGTGGTCCTCCTGTCATTCAATTTGGCTCTGAGGAACAAAAGTGCCGGTTTCTTCCAGAAATGCTCAAGGGAAAGATCAGATTCTGCTTGGGGGTTACTGAGCCGGATGGTACGTCTTATTGCGCCATTTGAATTATTTCTCGATCTAATTAAATCTTGAACACACAGCGGGCTCTGATGTTGCCGGGATCACTACTACCGCCGAGCGGAAAGGAGATGTCTATATTGTGAATGGTGCGAAGAAGTGGATTACCAATGGCATGTGGGCGGACTATTGCACGGCTGCTGTCCGGACAGGCGAGCGGCCTCAGGACATCTCGGCACTTATAATCCCTCTCAAGGTTCCCGGAGTTACATGCAAGAGAATTCATAATTCAGGGGTTCATGCAAGTGGTGTGTACTACTCGACACTTTGCAAGACTGCCAGTGGCTTTTGCTGATCATTAATTTTTCAGGTTCAACATATATCGAACTAGATCAAGTCGAGGTCCCTGTAGCAAACCTACTCGGAGAGGAAAATAAGGGATTTCCTGTGATCATGAACAGTACGTGCTTTTCCCGGAGTTTCCTGTCTTAATCTAGCGCTAATCCCAAGTCAGACTTCAACCACGAGCGGCTTTGGCTTGCATGCACCTCGCTTCGCATGGCTCGCGTTTGTGCAGAGGACGCATACCAACATGCCATCACCCGAGAGACATTTGGTAAGAAGTTGATCGAGAACCAGGTCATTCGTTCGAAGTTTTCTGCGATGGCCCGGAGCCTAGACTCTGCCTACGCATGGATGGAACAACTGGTTTATATGCATCAAGACACAAAGGAGAACGGAACTGATGCTGGAATGGGGGGTTTGTTCGCAAACCTCAAGGTACTTGCAGGGCGTACCCTAGAAATGGTGAATAGGGAGTCGCAGCAGGTCATGGGAGGCCTTGGCTACTCTAAGAATGGCCGCGGAGCTCGCATTGAGCAGGTCAGCCGTGATGTTAGGGTCATGGTTGTTGGTGGAGGTAGTGAGGAAATCCTTTCTGAGTTGGCTGTTAACCAAGAGATTAAACATATGAAGAAGCAGAGCAAGCTTTAGCCCGAGGGTGAACCTTGGAAGTTGAAGCAGTTTCATTTTTGAAAAAAAATGAAAAAAAAAAAAATTGAAAAGCTTGGAATTGTATTTTCTAAGTTGCAAGTCTTTTAAATCCATCGACCTGCTTGATCTTACTCGCTTAATTGGTAATCTCAACTAAAATAATCGGCTCATAGATTTCGTAAGAGGGGCGAAAAGTAATATCGGACTACGGCGCTCCATAAGCGCAGGGTTGTCAGGAGTTGTATAGGTAGTACTGGTATAACGGAATTTTACATGGCACGACAAACTTGAAGGTTTCCAAGTCTTTGTTGAACGGCCTGGTGTCCGTCTACCTAGGTGGACTATTGGCCAATCTATTCCATCACAGGTAGCTACTAGCCTGCCATCAGCTCTCAGATCACAGCGAAGTCGTGAATCTGAAATGATTGTATTGATTATGCACTCTTTGCCCTCGAAGTCGCTGATCGTCGAATTAAGAAGGCATTTAATGATATCTACTATTAACACAAGCGATTGAAATTTGGATAGCTTCATTCATTATGGTGGAAATTTAGACAACAGTGCAAAGAACCTTTCCATCTTCCACGGCATCCCCTTCCTTCCACTTCGTCTCAAATTTACCAGTAGACGAAGCCGCTATGTTGATTTCCATTTTCATGCTTTCGATGATCATAACAGAGTCTCCAGCATTGACAGAATCTCCATTGCTTTTCAGAATAGAAAGGACCTTGCAGGGCATTGGTGCTGTCACGGTCTTCTGCTCAGAGTCATCCTTGGACTTGGCAATGGATCGGATACTGCCCGCAAATGAGAGTAGTGTGTCACGCTTCATCTCAACATAAGTCCCAATCACCGGAATATGGAAGAAGATCTGCTGGCTCTGATCCACCTGTCCAGTAAGCGTGTGCGGGCGAACCGAAGGAAGGCAGACATAGGCAGATGTTTTCACACCACTGATGGACACGGTCATGTTGGAAGAAAGCCACGACTCTACAATAGCCGTGTTATCTTCTGCCGGCTGCCATGATTCGATGCGAGCTTTGTATGGAATTGAGTTGACATACTCCCCGCTGCGGATCTCCTGACTGATCCGGTTGTACTTCATGGAGACTTCAGTGACAGCAGATTTTGAATCATTCTCGAAGTCATTTTCATCCGGAATAGACACAACAAAAGCTTCGGCTACGTCAACTGGTGACTCCAGCCTCTGAGCCTTCCAAATACACAGCGAACTTGGAACGATTTCCTTGCTCTTGTTGTGATAAGGCCAATCAACTGCAGTAATCACGTCACAGTGCACGTTAACAGGATCGAGTCTCTGATTTCGAAACTGTCTCCGCACGTTATGGAATGGCTTTGTCTGCAAAGGCTTTGGTACATAGTGAGGTAGATATCGAACCGCTAAGCTTGACATGATAGAAAGAACAGGCTCAATATCGGCGGCCTTTGGCAGGAAAGATGGTTGGAGAAGCTGTTCAAGGTTGTTCGGAATGAAAGAAGTTGTGTAAGCAGGGTCATGGAACTCCTTGTTCGATAAACAGGCTTGGAGAAAGAGCTGATTCGTTCTCACTCCAACACAAGCGGTATGAGCAAGAACCTTTTGCATCTTCTCGATGGCGAGAGACCGCGTAGGTGCCCAGACGACCAGCTTGGCAATCATGGAATCGAAATAAATTGACACCACAGATCCACTCCGAATAGCTGTCTCGTAGCGAATATCCCTTCCAGGGGACAGAACACCAGGAGCAGGAAGCCACAAGTGCACTTTGCCATGCTCTGGGAGGAAGTTGTTTTGCGGACTTTCAGCCGTCAGGCGACACTCAATAGACGCGCCGTGCTGAGTAACGTTATCCAGAGCTGGGATGGTACTGAGATCTCCACCAGCAGCGACGAAAAGTTGCAAAGATACCAGATCAAAGCCGGTCACCTCCTCGGTGATAGGATGCTCCACTTGTAGCCGGGCATTGACCTCCAGGAAATAGAATCTGCCTGTCGACACATCAAAAATGAATTCAACGGTGCCAGCATTCTCATAACCGATCAAGGAGCCAATTCGAACCGCGGTATCACTCATCTCCTGTCGTGTCTTGTCATCCAAGAATGGACATGGCGTTTCTTCGATGACCTTTTGGTGTCGGCGCTGCACTGAACAGTCTCGGTCGAAAAACGAAACGACTTTGCCGTGTGAGTCGCCCATAATCTGGATCTCCACATGCTTGCTGTTCTCGATGTACTTTTCCAGAATGCAGTCGCTTGAGCCGAATGAACGACTGGCTTCCGATTGTGCCCGCGCAAGCTCATCTTTCAGTTGACCAGCCTCCCTGACAATGCGCATCCCCTTGCCTCCTCCTCCAGCAGAGGCTTTGACCATGATTGGGAACCCGATATCTTCTGCTGCTGTTTTGAGAGCTTCTGCATCCTGACTTGAGCCTGAAAATCCGGGGATCAAGGGAACCTCTGGAGCGTGTTCACTCAGGAAGACCTTCGATGATCTCTTGTCGCCGAGTGATGACATAGCGCTGGCGGATGGTCCGATGAAGATCAGACCGGCATCACGGACGCGATTCGCAAAGTCGGCATTCTCGCTGAGGTATCCGTAACCAGGATGGATAGCCTGGGCACCTGCTGATAGTGCCGTCTGCACCAGCAGGTCAATGTCCAAGAAAGGGTTCACCTTCCTTTTATCAATGCTCCCGATATTGATGGCCTCGTCGGCATCCGTAACATGACGCGATAGTGCATCCCTTGGTGTATAAGTTAGCCTTCAATGCTCATCGAAAGACGAGTCCGAGCTGTCCTTACTCATCAGCATAAACTGCTATGCTGCCAATGTTCAATTTGCGACATGTCTTGATAATTCGGCAGGCGATTTCGCCACGGTTCGCAATCAGGACTTTGCGAAGCGCTGGGCGACCATCATCCCCCAGAGGCGGCTGTGCCACAAACAGTGGTTTGCGAAGGGGAAACGCATCGCCATCTGTCAAACTATTGTCGTTGGTGATTCCAGGCATCGTGTAGTGTTTCGGGTGGGTGCTGCAGCTCCCTCGCAAAGTTGGTAGAGATGAGTACGAGGCTGGACTACAACTCACATAATAGTTTCCATAGAGCACCACTTACTATAATAAAGTGGGCCTCCTTCCACTTCAGTACGGACCGCCAGCTCTAGGGAACCCATCGGACCGTGGATTTGCGTGACCTGATTGGTTGATGGTTGACTTGTATGCAAACGCCGGTCCGAACGGACTTGCTCGAGTGGGCGGAGATACCGGACCGGAGCCAAATCTTCCAATTGAAGTTGAAGTTGGAGATGCTACAGTTTTCAAAATATGGTCGTTTGTTAGCTTCTTGCTCCTCGCCTAATATGCGAAACTTGGTTTAGTATTCATTTTAAGGGGGTTGTTTTAAAAAAGAAATCGATTATTTTTGCTTCATTTCATATCCGAAATAGAAATTGAAAGATTTATGCGATTCGCATCAGTTTACGTCTGAAGCTATTCAAATTCTCGCCAGTCCCATATGCGACTCCGCGCCATGAACCCCTTGAAGAGAAACCACTTCCAAGCAAATACCGAGCACATCCCGAGTATCACGAGGATCGATGATGCCATCATCGATCAGCGACGAACTTGTAGAATAGGACTCGGCATCCTTTTGGGCCGTGTCTCTGAATGTCTGTATCTGCTTCTGAAGTTTCTCCGGTGAAAGCACATTCCCCTTCGATTGGGCACTCTTCAATTGCACAGTTTCCATGACACCAGCCAATTGATCAGCCCCCATCACGCTGCATTTCCCGGTTGGCCAGGTAAACAGGAACCTGGGTTTGTATGGCCTCCCGCACATCGCGTAGTTTCCTGCTCCGTAGGACGCTCCTAGAATTATGGAGATATGGGGGACCTTGGAGCAGCTGACAGCGGATACCAGCTGGGCACCCATCTTGATGATTCCGGCGTGCTCTGCTTTGGCTCCGACCATGAAGCCGGTCACATTGTGGAGGAACACGATCGGGGTGTTTTGTTGATTGCAAATTCTTATGAAGGCCGCAGCCTTTGCAGCCTCGGTAGGATTGATGACCGAGATTTGGTTTGCCACGATACCGACAGGATGTCCTGCAATTGGGATTAGCATATTTTCAAGGCGATATCGGGGATTGTTCGTACCCATTATGTGTGCCCAGGCCGTGATGATGTTTGTTCCATATTTTGGCTTGAACGTGGAGAGACGCGAGTCATCAACAAGTCGGAGCAAGACTTCACTCATGTCGAAGGGCTTTCGAATGTCTGGATTCACAAGGGAGAGCAAGTCTTCAACTGGATAACGCGGTGCCGCAGGTTCGATCAGCCCGAGTGTTGGTTGAGTGCGCATTTGCAGTGAGGCGACCCATTCCCGAGACTTCTGAATAGCATCAAACCTGGGTATCCAATGTCAATATTTAGGCAAAGTGCAATGTCAAAAACAGCACTCGGAGGCAAACTTACTCGTCGGTCGCAATTTGGTCCGCAAGTCCTGTCATTGTAGCATGCACCTTAGCTCCTCCCAACTCTTCGGCTTCGATAACCTCCCCAGTGGCCATCTTAACCAAAGGGGGTCCACCAAGGAAAGCCTGGCCTTGGTTTTCAACGAAGATGGTGTAGTCAGATAATGCTGGGTGATAGGCGCCTCCTGCAGTCGACGATCCAAAGACAATTGCGCAGGACGGTTTTCCTGCGGCTGATCTCTGCGCAAGGTCATAGAAGAGCTGACCACCCTTGTGGAAAACGGTGCGTTGTTGCGGCAAGAAAACGCCAGCGGATTGCACGAGAGAGATGAGTGGAAGATCGTTCTGAGTCGCGATCTCCAGGCAACGATTCACCTTCAATACTATGTTTCGAGTCAGCTCTGACCCACTATAGATCGTGGAAAAGAAGCATACCAGTCATGCTGTTCCATGCTCCTCCTTGGGAGGTCGGCACATGGGATAGAAGGAAACACGGCTTGCCACACACATTTCCGATGCCTGCGATGATATTTGCCCCGGGCGTGGATTCACTGTTCTCGTATCCGGCAAATGCGCAAACCTCCAAGAAGGGTGAGTCCTGGTCTAGCAGAAGAGAAATTCGATCACGGGCTTTCTGGTCAGCAGTAGACATGATGGGTAGCACATGAGTCACGACGTACGTAAGAGTTGGCCGCGTCGTTGATGTCGAAGGAGAGAAGCATCATTTCCTTCGGTGGAAACTTGTTTGAGGGCATCTTCAAACTTGTCAAGAATGGGTGTCCAGCCTGCCTTATTCGATTGATATTGCTCTCCGCGAAGGTCCAGGTTGGCGCTGATGCTGGGGTATGATGATCCAGTCGCCATTGTGGGAAGGGTTTCTTTGGATGAATGGCTATCAGCTTTCAAACGTTTGACTGTTTAAACGATGTTGGTATGTCATAACTTTGCTGAAGGGAAGTACAAAATAACTATGGGGCGGACCTGGAGGGGCTCGGTCCGGAGCCCGGAATCGGAGCTGAGAGTCACGGAACGGACCAAGTACAAACGAACCCAAATCAATGAGTCTGTTTTTGCAATTTTAATACGCAACGAGAGACTAGCTTTCTATTCAATCTCTTTGAAATCTTCTCATTCTTTCAATTTCATTCAAACTCGTTGCCCATCATGACCCCAGCACCTGCCTTGGTTCACGGTGCCAAAGCGCCACCTCTATGGTTCAAAACCTTGGGCGCACTGATAGATGAGCAAGCAAATCGTTATGAGGATCACACAGCTGCTGTGTTTTCCTGGCAAAATGTGCGATTGTCATATCGCCAGTTATCGGATCGGTCGAAAGTACTGGGCAAGGCGATGCTTGAGATGGGTCTCCGAAATGGTGACTGCATTGGGATTATGGCAGGAAATTGCTATCAATACATCGAGGTATTCCTAGCAGGTGGTCGTATTGGATGCCCAGTCGTTGTACTGAATAACACATACACCGCTGAGGAGCTCAGAAATGCCGTTCAGAAGAGCTGTAAGTTATTATGATATCTCACGTTGCTCATCTACTGATTGGAACGAAGCATGCAAACTTGTCTTTCTTGCGTCTGAGATCGGTTCTCGAAATCTCTCTGGACACATTAATATCCTCCGTGGGTCAAGTCGAAAGAACCCCGCCCTTCCTGATTTGCGTCGTGTTGTTTGTCTCGGGGGTAGCCAAGTCGGCGAGGCTGGAGTTGAGATGCAAACATACAACACTTTCACATCGAACGGACATTCGGTTTTTATGAATGACTCTGTCTTGAAGCGCGCGGAGTCTTTGGTTCGTCCTGATGATGTTCTTAACTTGCAATTCACCTCCGGTATGAAGACCAATACTGCCGCAATTCTTTCCCATTCTAATCAAATCTCACAGGAACCACTGGTTCTCCCAAAGCAGCCATGCTGACACACACGTGAGTCTCTTCCCCGGCCCAGAAATGTGATTATATATGCTCATCTCAAACAAGAAACCTTATCAATAATGCCCGGTTCGTTGGCGATGCAATGGCGTTGACCCATGAAGATGTCCTCTGCTGCCCACCACCTCTATTTCACTGCTTCGGTCTTGTGCTAGGTTTCCTCGATACGTATACGCATGGTAGTACCATCGTATTTCCTTCCGACTTCTTCGACGTGGGAAAAGTCGTCGACGCACTTGTTGAAGAGGATGTCACGGTGCTCCTAGGCGTTCCGACAATGTACATTTCCGAGCTGGAAGTCATGGAAAAGACAGGGCAGCGACCCCGACGTCTTCGAACCGGCCTTGCTAGTGGCTCGACGGTTTCACAAAGCTTGATGGATCAACTACGTGAGAAAATGGGAGTCGAAAAAATGCTCATCGCCTATGGCATGACCGAGACCAGTCCCGTTACATTCATCACGTCGCTCAGCGATCCTGAATCAAAAGCGACCAGGACTGTCGGCAGAGTGATCCCGCATACTTCTGCAAAGGTCATTGATTCCAACGGCAAGTTGCTTGGCAGAGGTGAGCGGGGCGAGCTTTGTACGAGTGGGTTCGCTCTACAGAAAGGCTACTGGAAAAATAAGGAAAAGACAAAGGAATCTATGAAAGAAGATGAGAATGGCGTTCTTTGGATGCATACCGGCGATGAAGCCATTCTTGATGACGATGGATATGCCCATATCACCGGGCGAATCAAGGACATCATTATTCGCGGTGGTGAAAACATCTTTCCCGAGAAATTGAAGAAAGGCTCATGCAACATCCTGCTGTCAGCGAGGCCAGCGCTGTGGCTATCAAGGACGAGAGATACGGCGAGGTAGTTGGATGTTTCTTGAAAGAAGCCGAGGGGACTCATCGTCCAAGGAACGAGGAACTGAATAAATGGGTGGGACAGCTGCTTGGTCGTCACAAAGCCCCTGCGTATTGCTTCTGGCTCGGCGATGCTGGTATTGGCAACGACTTCCCGAAAACCGGCAGTGGCAAGATCAAGAAGCACGTTCTTTGTGATATCGGGAATAACCTGGTTCACAATGGCCCAGTTAAAGCCAAGCTCTAGGAATCTTATTCATGATGGATCTTAAATCTCTCAAGCATTTTCCCAGTCATAATATCTACTGTAACATTCCCGATTGGGACACCCGCCCTAGTAGTAAACCACATCCCCTTTTTCACTTCAGACCCTACTAGTACTACACTTTCACAAGCCATGATCTCATTTTCTGATTCTAGGCTCCCAGAATCCAAATTCGAACCGCGAGTCTCTTTCTTGGCCCGCACTTCCCCAGGAAATAGCGCCGGATAACGCCCCGCAAACTTGAAGCTCATCGGTCCGGTCATTCCGGTCCGCCGGACCGTTACATCTGAGAACAACAAATGAGGTCACGACCGAAATGCGATCCGATGAAAGAAAGCAAAGACATTCAAAGAATGTTTTCGAGATAAGCGACCAAGCCCCTTTGAAATCGAATATCTCACAAACTCCAATCGAAATGGTCCAGCAATCACCCTCAGTCAGAATTGTGGAGGTAGGGCCACGCGACGGACTACAGAACATACGTGACTCAGTCCCAACTCAAACGAAATTGGAACTGATTCGACGACTTCAAGCGACAGGCCTCTCTACTATTGAGTTGACATCTGTTGTGTCGCCGCGTGCCGTTCCCCAATTAAAAGACTGTCGTGAAGTGCTCCAGGATGAGGAGGTGAAGACCTTCCTACAAAATCCACGACTCCGATTACCTGTCCTCGTTCCCAATGAGAAGGGTCTAAAGATTGCTATTGAGCATGGCGTCCGAGAGGTCGCTGTGTTCGTCAGTGCAACCGAGGGTTTCAGCAAAGCCAACATCAACTGCACCGTGCAGGAAGGACTTGAAAGAGCGAAGCGAGTGGCTGCCTTGGCCTTAGCGACGAAAGAAGCCGGTGAATCCCAGATTGCAGTACGTGGGTAAGTCAATTGAAAAGAATCACGACCTGTGGTTTTCCACGCAACGAATTAGCACCTTTTAACTCTCCCAGCTACGTGTCCTGCATCTTCGCAGATCCATTCGACGGCCAAACGCCACATTCCGCAGTGCTCCATTGTGTACAGGAATTACTTAAAGCAGGCTGCTACGAGATAAGCCTGGGCGATACCCTCGGGGTGGGATCCCCGTTCAATGTGCGCAGTCTACTCGCCTACCTGAAGGATAACAATATCCCTCTCTCCAAATTGGCTGGGCATTTCCATGACACTTATGGACAAGCTGTTGCCAATGTCTGGGAAGCGTACACCTGCGGTCTCACCGTCTTCGACAGCAGTGTTGCGGGACTAGGTGGGTGTCCGTTTGCGCCTGGTGCTAAGGGCAATGTCGCAACGGAAGATTTGGTGTATATGTTCAATAATGCTGGCATCTTTACGGGTGTTGATTTATCCCGGTTGACGGAGGTGGGGACTTGGATATCGAAGCAACTCTCGATCACCAATTCGAGTCGGGTGGGCACGGCTTTAATGATTAAGGACAGCACCAAGCTTGTTTCTGGCTCTTCCAAACCGCAGCAGACCAAGCCTCTTCAGTGGACTTTGATCTCAGAAACGGATGGCCTGTTACTTCATCGCTCGGGCGTCAATCTCAAGATCACCCTCAACAGGCCGAAGAACGGCAACGCATTGACAGCCACAATGATATTCGATATCACCAAAGCCGTGACAGATGCCAATTACGATGCGGAAATATCTCGCATCATCATCACAGCGAATGGCAAGTTTTTCTGTACAGGTATGGATCTGGGCAAGGATAGTACGCCTGTTGCTCGAGGTGTTTCGGCTAGCGATGCGCAGTATGCAAGATTAACTACGCTATTCGAGACTATCGATACTTCGCCGAAGGTGACAATTGCTACCATCAACGGGCCTGCGTTTGGTGGAGGAGTCGGTCTGGCATTTGCTTGTGATATTCGTATCGCCACAAACTCAACGGTCATGACTTTGAGCGAGGTGAAACTGGGTCTCTGTCCAGCGACTATCTCTAAATATGTCATCAGGGAATATGGACTATCGTTTGCGAGGGAGGTGATGCTCTCTGCGAGGCCAGTTAAAGCGTCCGAGTTAAAGACTCGGGGGATCATCACCGATGTTGTAGGAAATGTAGAGCAGTTGAATCTGAGGTTGGATGCGCTGCTAGACGCGTTGAGGATTGCGTCTCCCAATGCGTCACGCATGTCGAAGGAACTTATTCGGCTTGCTTGGAAGGATGGTGGAGGTGAGAAGCAAGCTACAGGGATCAAAACACTGTTCGACGAGATGATGCGGTCCGATGCTGATGGAGCACATGGTTTGAGGGAGTTCGGCTTGAAGCGAAAGGTGGACTGGGATGCACATACGCTGCAACAAGGAAAGTCGAAGCTTTAGCTTTAAGAAAGAGATTGAAATTTAAAATGTCTCAACAGATACTAGAGCAGTGTCTGGATATGGAACAATGTATGTGTTTTAAAGAATCATATTCCATAGAAGTAGCCGGATTATGGCCTACTGTACACTGAAACCCCGTCAGAGGTCCATCCAACGAAATCCAAACAAAGCAAGAGCCTAGCAAAATAGAGATGCAATTCGCCGCGCGAGAAACAGAAACGGCGTATAATTTAGAAAGAAATTAGACAAATTTGTCGAGCAAGGTTTACAGAAGAATCATACCAACGCCGACAAGGGTCGACATGGCAGTCACCAGGGAGACGGCGATGGGGGCAGCGGAGAAACCGAAGGTAGCAGGGCGGACAGCGAAGGCAGCACCAGAAGAGGTGGTAGAGGAGCCACCGCTAGTGCCAGTGCCGCCAGTGGCAGCAGCACCCTCGCCGGAGCCGGAGGTGGCAGTGCCAGTGGAGGTGGTACCAGCGTTCTGGGAGCCATCGCCGCTGAATCCATCACCCTTACCGGCACCGCTCTTCAGGTACTTCTCGGCGGGCTTGGGGATGGCGGGCAGAGCGTCACCGGAGACGGCCCAGTTGGGGGCGTTCTTCTTGGGGCAGGGGTTGGAGCCACCGGTGGCGTTGTACTGGCCATCGCCGGAGGGGTTGTCGGTCTTGTCGAAAGCAGACTTCAGGGCATCGTAGTCCTTGAGAGTGGTAACCTTGTTGTCGGAGATCTTGACGAGACCGTAGTTGCTGCCCTCCTCGGAGTACTCGTAGACGAGACCACCGGAGTAGACACCGGTCATCTTGGTGGAGTAGAGAGTGGCAACCTCCTGGAACTTGCGGGTGTTGGTGTTGCAGCCGTACTCGGACAGGAACAGGGGGAGACCGTATCCGGTGAAGTTCTTAACCTTCTGGTCCCACTCGGAGGTGGTGAAGGAGGAGGGGTCACACCAGGAGTAGTCGTTGAAAGCGAAGAAGTCGGAGCGCTCGTCATCAGTACCGCAGTTCATGTACTCAGCCATCTCGAGACGGTTGGTGTTGACATCGGCGGCGGAGTAACCAACGGGGACCTGACGGAGGTTCTGGGCCTTCAGGTAGGAACGCAGATCACGAGTGACAGCCTTGACGTAGGGGGCAGCCTTGGAGGAAGGACCGTCGTTGATGACCTCGTTACCGGAGAAGAAAGCGAGGGTGTTGTCGTAACGGGCGAACTTGTCGATGGTAGCGAAGATGTACTGCAGGTAGACATCGTTGTAGGAGGTGGCGGGGTCCTTGCGGTTCAGGGAGTACTTGGGAGTGTTGACATCCAGAACGAGGTAGATGCCAGCGTCAGCCAGAGCGGACATGCACTCATCGTGGTCGGCGGAGTTGTCGACGGAGTAGACACGGATGGTGTTCAGGCCAAGATCCTTGAAGTTCTTGATGTCACGCTTGCAGCCCTCGGCGTCAGCGATAGGGTCGGACCTAATTGATTGATGTTAGATTGAGGATCTTTTGTTTTGAGCACTGTTATTGCTGTGTTGAGTGCTGTTGGAGGGTAAAACGTACAGCTTGGAGGATCCACCAGGCTGGTAGTCGACACCACGCATGTAGAAACGGTCCTTGCCCTTGAAGAAAGCATTACCCTTCACAGTGATAGGAGTAATGTTGCTGTCGCGCTTCTCAGCGGAGGGAGCAGCCTGGACGAGGCTGGCACCCAGGGTTAGGGCAGTAGCCAAAGAGATAAAGTTGGCCTTCATTTTGGTTGTGGTTCTAAAGAGTGTATTAAGGTGAGATGAAATTCCAGAAGAAAAAAGGGAATTAAAGAGTGGTTAGAAAAACGAAGGACGACAAGAATGTGGGAGAGAGAAAGAAGGGAAGAAGGTCAACAAGGGGGGGGAAAGCCACTTTGTATGACGGGGGAGAGACCCTTTCGACCCGGACGACACACACCAACACCAACACCCTACGAGAGTTACAGCATCCACTTTTACCCTCCCACCCACTTTATCCCCCGACTCTCATTGACCGTCACTGGTCGATCGCCGTAAGGGGCCCAGGGAAAAAGTGGATCTGACCCTGAAACTGGCCCCAATCTGTCGTTGGCCACCCCCTATCCCGACTCTCCCGCCAGGGTCTGACGCCTCTGCATGCCCAGCAGGCCACACCCACACTGCAATGAGAGACACACGTCTCTACGGAGGGTACCATTGTGCCAATGTGCCAACGTGCCAACGCCCAGTGCCAACTGCAGTACCAGTCCCATTACCATTTACCCAGAATTATGTCCATTGTCGAGTGGAGTGATGGCTGAGACCCTTTCTATTTACGGGGTACTCTACAACCTTCGCACTCCCCCCCCTCCTCTCCAGGCATCGGTCAATTGACCCCCCCCCGTCCCCATATCCCTGATCATCGGCATCTCATCTACAAACGCGGTACAGTGTATGGAGTACAGTGTTCATGTCTAAATGCTACCCCTGGCGATGCGCGATGGGTATTGGCTTGGCAGCGAGACGCGAAGTCTAGGCGGTGGAGATCACAGCGACGATCGAGGAAATTGGGCCAGATGGTGCTGCTGCGCCTCAACACACCATCGAGACCCTGGATGAGAACAAAAAAAAAACCCTCTTTTCATTTTCAGGGTGTCTCATCTTTTCACTCTCCGCTCTCTCCTACTCCTCCTACCCT